TGTGTGTGTGTGTGTGTGTGTGTGTGTGTGTGTGTGTGTGTGTTTGTGCACGCTTTCCTTTTCCTTTTCATGGAGATGAAAACCTTTCACTTACCCAAGTGGACTTGTGATCATGGGTTCCGGACTACATGATATTCTCCTGAAATTTGGTTGTGTGTCTGTTCGTCTTTGTGTAGATGTTGGTTGCGGACTGACAATTACTTCATCTGGAGTTTCCTCGGACCTGTGGCCGTCATTATTACGGTGAGGAAGCAAACCGTTGTGTGAACCAGCCTTTTTGAACTGAATCAAATTTAACCATTGATCGCATCATAAAAGATGATCATTTGTTTCTGGTGTTTGACGTGTGTCTCTTTTGGGATGCAGTTAAATCTGGTCGTTTTGGTGATGACCCTGCATAAGATGCACAGCACGGCCGCACTGAAACCGGACTCCAATCGCCATGACAACCTGAGGTCAGCATAAGCATGTCACACAGTTTTGTCTATGGTTTTTTATGAGAATGAAATCATGCCGGCTGTTATTTGGAGCCTGGTCCATGCAGAGATTCAGAAGGGCAGGATTTTGTAAACGTTTCTAAAAGTAAAAGGCTCTTTGCAGCTGTTGCTAACACCACAATTTTGCCTTCAACTAAGTAAAGAAAATAAACGCTCTTGAAGAGGTTTAAAGTCGAAGATGAAAATCTCATTCAAAATATGTCAGTAAGACTTAATGAGGCTCTTACAAGTTTAAAGGGAAAAAAGAAAGATGAAAAAACTAAGAGTTTGTAGAGATATGGCCCGTCTGATTTCTTGTCAAGGTCTCACACGCTTTAGCATTTTAAGACTCACTAATTCATGGTCATTGTTGAGCAATGAGTTGATAGAAATTTGTAAAGCTTTTTTAATACTGTGATTATGACATGGCACGTAACACTTAACACATAACATGTTCTTTTTTTAAAATATTTTCCTTCCTGTTTATGCATTTCATTTCCTTTACTTGCGTCATTTTCCTTCCTGTTAATGCGTTTTCTGTCCTTTACTTGCTGTGTTTTTTGCAGGGCCTGGGCAGTGGGCTCCTTGACGCTTCTATTCTTGCTGAGCGTCACCTGGTCGTCCGGCCTCATGTTCCTGTCCGGTCCGTCCCTCCTCCTGGCTTACCTCTTCTCCTCCCTCAACACTGCCCAGGCCCTCCTCATCACTATCCTGCACTGCACTCTCGCCAGGAAGGTCAGTCCCATTGTTCAAAAGTCCAAAAACACGATTGACGATATCATATCTACCTGTAAGACCGCATTGTGGGACTAAATCCTTCATCGTGTGCAGGGTCAGAAGGATTACGGCCGTTGCATGCGTCTCTCTCAGTGTTGCGCGACTTCCTCGACCAGCTCTCCGGACTCAGTGAAAGGCGCTGCCCTTCGCTCCAACAGCCGCTACACCAGCAGCCAGGGTCGCAGAGCCACCGCCAACAGACAGGTGTGCAGCCCCTTGGACCGTACCTCTCAAAGCCTTTGCCTCCCTGTGTCTGAGCCCGTTTGATCAAGTCTGATATTTTCTGCTTCAGAGCCGCATTCGGAGGATGTGGAACGACACCGTTAGGAGGCAGACCGAATCCTCTTTCATTGCTGCAGACAACAATACTCCCACTCTGAACCGAGGTGATGTTTTATTGTTTCGAATATGTTTAAAATCGCACATTTCTCCCTGCTGTGGGAGATGAATATTCATGTTCTCTCTCTCTTTCTCTCTCTTTGTAATCAGCTGCTTTGGGGAACCATTTCCTTACAAATCAGGTGCTGCAGACTCACGCTGGAGCTTCTCCTTATGACACAATGCTGGCCCAGGGATACAACCAACCATTTACATCCACTGGTATGTTGTATTACAACTGTCAGCTCTCGGTAGAGCTTTGATTATTATTCTCTGCACGTGCATTCCTATGTTGTTATCTTTGACTGTCCGTTCTAATTTAACTGAGCCGTGCACAAAACCAATGCAAAAGTCTACACTCAGAACGTCTTCTTTGTTTGACTGTCAATAGGCAAGTTGCTTTCGGAAGATTAAATTCGCAGTTTAGCAAACATGTACGGAAGTGTGACAAATTATGATGGAACTTTAATCTTCAAAATGTTTCATGATGAGAAATTTTCCTTTCTTTCTTTTTTGTTGTAAACAACATTTCCAGCAGACTTTTGCATTGCTCAGAGGATCTTTTTTCTTTTTCTGTGCAGTATGAATGTCTGGAATTAAACATTTAAATGTGTCTCGTGATCTTGAAAGCTGTGTGTTTGATTCTGTAGCTGTTTACTTTAACTGTCTTTCGTGTTTTGTTTTGTTTTCTACGCTGTCCTTCTCTGTCTCTCCGTCTTAACGTGGACCAGTAGGAACCTTCAGAAACAAGCAGAGTATGAGTTATTCCCTCTTGTGCATCTTCTTTCCTTGTGCACCGTGACTCCAATCATAGACTACCTGTGCAGTATTTGCACGCCGTAACTGTACACAAACCATGTGACAACATAAACTGACATCTCATCAAGGAGCATTTATGTTTAAAACCTAAATACATGATAAAGTCTCCCCTTCCATGGGCGCTCAAATCAGTCTGTGCCCCTCCATTCATTTAATCATTCATAACTCCCTCAAAATGATGGGCTCCTGTGTCCTTTATTGTAAAATGCTAATTTTTCTCTTCTAACAGAGGGCAGTGTGTCTCAGAGCCAAGAATCGTGTGGGTTGGACAGCGTGTGTCTCAATGGAGGCTACACCCCCAACACCTTCACCCTGCATGGTCTGGGGACAACGCCTGGCTCTCGCGCCGGAGTGGTGGGCAGCACTGACCTTCTGAGAGAGGGAGGAGTTGGGATCGGAGGGGAGGACATCTCCCCGGGCCTCCTCACGCCGCACGGGGCCTCGGATCTGGGCGGCGGGGCCGGCATGCGCCGCAATCTGTCCGACGCGGCGGCGCTGGAGAAGATGATCATCTCCGAGCTGGTGCAGAGCAACCTGAGGCCCTCCGTTCCCATGCCGGTTCCCCCCGAGCGCTACGGGAGCCTGGCGAGGCCGCACCACCACGACAGGGCCGCCGCCCTCACGCACGCCGCCACCCTGACCCGCCACGCGCCGCCGCCCCAGGAGGGCTGGGCCAACAACACGCAGCCCGCCACGCGCCACAACGCGCAGGAAGGGTGGGCGCACGCCAGGCCGCACACGCAGGACGCCGAGATGCACTCCGCCGCGCGCGGGCAGGACGCCGCCACCGCGCCGCGCTCGCAAGACGGCTGGTCGCACGCCGGCCGCGTTTCCGGGGACCCCGAGCTCCTGAAAGACGGCGACCGGTCGCAGATGCAAGGTACGCTCGGCCGCCGGGGGCTTCAGGACAGGCAGCAGGCGCGTCCACCCGACGTCCAGGCTCGGCCCTACTCCACCCTCAGCCGCACCCCGGGAACTCTGTCCCGCCACCGCAGCACGCTGGAGTCGAGCGGAGGGGCGGACAGGGATAGAGAGAGGGAAAGGGAGAGGGATAGGGATCGCTACCGGGACAGGCCGCTCCCGCCCCCTCCACCGCCCCCCCCACAGGAGTCGGAGCCCCTTTACAAGGCCCTCGAAGAGCCGCTGCTGATTAAACAGAGAGACGCCAGCATAGACGCATGGAGAGGTGGCCAGGAGAGAGAAAAGGATGAGACATTTCTGCTGAAAAGAGACACGATGAGTGATGAATGGAGGGGAGGAGCCGAGAGGGACAGAGAAAAATCCTTTGCCTCTCAGAAGCAAGACAAGGAGATGGATGAATGGAGAGCCGGCATTGAGAGAGGGAGAGAGGAATCTCAGATGCTGGAGAAGAGAGACGGAAGGATAGAGGTCTGGCGAGGAGAGACGGAGCAGGAAGAGACTTTTATAACTCAGAAAAAAGATTTCGGGATGGACAGATGGCGAAGCGGAATAGAGAGAGAGAACGACGAATCCATATTTCTGAAGGACAGAGAAGGTTGGAGGGCAGGGATTGAAAGAGAGAACGAGAAACAAAAGGATAGAGCTCTGGATGTGTGGAGAGGAGGAATGGATTTAGACAGGGACGAGTCTTTCCTGTTCGATGGCAAAGATGGAGGCCTGGATGGAAAGAAGAGAGGGATAGATAGAGGTTCTCTTCGGTACCATGGCGATCGACAGGATTCTGACAGCTTCACTCTGCCTTTGACTCCCGATCTTGACCTGGATCCCGACTCCTCGCCTATCTACGCCCGAGATTCAAACCCTTCCCCATTGTACCCCGGAGACCGCCACTCACCTCCAATCAGCATTTTCCCCCGAAGTTCCCCGCCGACAAATATCTTCGCTCCGCGGGAAACTAACTCGCCCCCCAACAACCTCTACTCCCGCCACTCCCCGCAGGTGTACAGCCGCAGCAGCTCCCCGCCTCGGTTCTACACCCGCACCTCCCCCCCGACCCTGTCCTACCCGGACAGCAGCCCCGAAGGGCCCGAAGAGATCAGTCCCACCGGCGGTCAGCCTCAGCGGCCAGCTCTGGAGCTGCCCTACGGCCTGGGGCGACCCCCGCTGGGCCCGCGGCCCAATCACCTGCAGACCTTCTACCAGCCGCCGCCGTTGGCTTCCAACGGAGAGACAGGGTACTCACCGGAGCCCACCTCGGAAGGAGAGGACGGACAGATGCAGCGGGTGACCAGTCTGTGACTAGGGCGGTGGTGATTGGGGCATAGATACCAGGGAGGAGGAGGGAGACGGAGATGATTTCAACAATTATTGACTACCACCGTGATGGAAACTAGAACCGCGATGTTGAAAATAATACTGATGATTGACTTGTATATTAAAGGGATTTTTTATTTTTTAGTGAAATGGGGTTGTGCGAGTTGTCAGGATCTCAAATACAGATGGCAGCCTGTGAGCTCTCAGTTTGGAGAATAAAAAAAAAGATTTGGACAGGGCAGAGAAATTAAGATAAGATGTTTATGTTTGTGCATTTGGCAGACGCTTTTATCCAAAGCGACTTACAGAGTAGACACAATATTACATTTCTCATCACTATGACAATAAGCTATATAGAGGAGAAACACTGATCAGAGTCAGATAAGGAAAAGCTAGAACCTCAAATATGACATTGCAGTTTGAGTGAAAGTTCAATCATATTGATGTTTACACTTTAGCATCTGTTATATACGTCTTAGGTTTCATTACTTTTTTGTTTTTTTTTGCTATACTTTATAGCATTTTCCAACCCAGAACCTTAGCTGATATGTGGGAGGTAATCTTTGGAAGCCGCTGTGTAACAGAATGAGTGTTAGCACAGTCATTCTTGGGTCGAGAAAGTATGATTTTGTCAGAGGTGGAAGTGAAGCAGTGCTCAGTAAGAAGGGTTCGGTTGAACTGCAAATAAACCTTTATTTGCTCCGTTCTTCTGAGTCGCTGTTAGCTTAGTTTTTCTCACTGATTCTCCAAACCGAGAGCCGTCTGACTGCCATCATATTGCAAGTGAGAAGGATCTCATAAGAATTGCGCACAGCCCCATTTAAACCAAAATATCCCTTTAACAGTTATTACAATTACAACGATGGCTCCTCCCTGCTTCTATCTCCTGATCACCACGAGACTTCCCCCTTTCCATGTTTTGTTACTTTTGTATGACTGTGATCCACTCGTTGCTCCTTCTCCTCGTCTTCCTCTCCCTCGTTTGTCTTTTCTGAATCCCTGCCGTGTCTGCTCTCCCATTTGTGCTTTTCCCGATTTGGTTCATCCTCTACGTTTCTACCGCTTCATCAGCTGGGTGTTGCCCGTCCCTGTAGCAAACAGTGTGTCAAAAAAGCACTTGTGTGTTGCCAAAAATCCTCTCAAAGAACATGTGCATGACTTTCTAGTGGCTTCACAAAGCTACATACTGTAGGAGGACATCCTGAAGTGTACATGCGAGTGTGTGTATAGCTTGATGAGCATGTGTGAGTGTAAGGGTGTGTGTATACGTGTGCGTGAGGGAGAAAGTGTGTGTAAATAAATCATTATTGTAAAATTAATGTATCACATGGAAGCATTTTATCAATACCAACTGGAGGGTCTCTTACACACATCCCCTCCTCTCCCCCCGATTTTGACTCTTGCCCTGTCCTATTTCACATCAAGACCAAAATGTCTGTTCCCCAACCTGCCACTAACTGTTCGCAGTGGAACTTGTTGCCATGGAGTTTGTGATAGCAACCGAACACTGGACTGCAGAGCCAGAGATCATGTAAAACCTCAGAACTTTTCTGCAACCCCTGAGATCCTTGTACATATCGACCTAAAGTGTTCTGATTGTCTTGTATTGCTATTGAAGTTCAAGTAAACATGTGAAATAAATGTCACTGTCTTTCTGTTTGTGAGTGCTCCGAGAGATTGAGGTATTGAGAAATATTTTATTCATATTTTCTTCGAAAGCACATCCATAAAAGGCATTTATTATCCGTAACTCTAAATACTGATCAGGACTTCATTCATAGATAATAAACACAATTCTACCTGCCAATATATTGCATAGACATGAGCTTCTTTAAACTTTATTACACAATACATGAGACTTAAATATTGTTACTGAGAGATTTATCTAATACGTGAACAAGTTAAATGAACAAGGACTTTCAAGCTACTGATAAATTGTGGCAAGGATGACTCGTGGATTTCATCCAGATTTATAACCACGGTATTCAAGTCTAGAATATTGGTTGTATGAGAAATCATGGATGTGATGCAAATAATCTCTGTTCTGTTAATCAGACATCTTAACTGCAAAATTATATCTCTTGTTTTAGTCCTCACAATAATTTCATATATTCCCATAGCTGGGACCCATCCCAGCTATGGCTGGGCAAAAATAACAGTACACCCCAGACAGGTTGCAAGTCCATGATAGGGCCAGTTCACAAACATACGAACATCTTAAAGGTAATGCTGTGATGGAGCAACACATGAATTCGATTTTTTTTTTTCACCTGGGCAGGGCCAAATAGCGTGCCAAGTTATTGTTTTGTCAGCTTTTCTCAACAGAGATTGAAGACCAAAGACTTAAAAGATTCAAGTCGGTGCCCAAAGCTGAAGTCCCTCAAATGCCACTTGAGGCTGACATTTAAAGTAAGGACATATTCCCCAAGTAAAATTCTTTATTTACCTCTATCAGCTGTCATTTGTTTTGTGTTTTTTGTCTTCCTGGAAGGCATTTTTACTTTTTGAAAGTATCTGTTCAGGCTGTTTTGGATTTTTCAGAGTTTGCAGAATACCCCTTTCTTTCCAGCATCCTAAACGTCTGCAAAGATGACTATATTATCAGCAAAATAATAAAATGGGGCTGACATTTGGGTAGTTACTCTGTATTAGTCATTAGAAGCATTATATATGCATATTGGGAACAGTAAACAAACAAAACAAAATATTCCACTGAGCTGTATTGGAACTGAATCCACAACATGGTGAAGCTTATAAGAGTAAGTTCAAATGTAGATGGGAAAAATAAAACAATACAGATCAGACCAAATAGGCTCTGGAAGGATCCTTTCTATAAAACATGTCAAGATCAATTTTTTGCTTTTATGTCCTGTTTTGAAATTATTCAATTCGTGTTCACCAAAATTAGATAAAACCCAGAATAAGGGAACAATGAGCAAAAAGTATGTGTGATGAAATTATTTTATCATTATGTGAGATTTCTGTCCAGTTTGAGCATCAACATTCTTAAAAGAAGAGACTGAGAATTAACAGCATTCATTCCTTTAATAGTGTGTTTAGATATCTTTTAGTCTTTTCCTTAACTATACAGCACAATGGTTACAGATGGACGGACACTCTTATCAAAGCTATTTGTACACATTAAGAATATCTGCTCTTTTTCTTAATAATGTGCTTGTGCTTTCCTTCAACGACATTCAACGAGCTTGTGTAAATAAAAAAAAACTGCTACACAATGTATTCAGTGTTTGTAGAAAATATATCACAGCCTACATAATGCAGAACGGGAATTAATAATACTAACATGGAAAGCAAAAAGTGCTTTTACAGTATCATTGGAGTTGTACAAAATACGTATTTATTTACAAGTGATGCATAACGTGGTAGTGGTTGCAGTGTGATCAGTCTTTTCTCACAGATTGGTGTCACGTGTACAATAGTGGGAGCTGATCTTAAACTATTCTCCCTTTCTCAAGAAGTTTTTCTCCTTTGAGTTAAAGACAGCATCCTCCACACTCCAGTCTCTTGCTCTCTTACACTCAAAATGCTGAGGTATGTTATTTGATTTCACAGGAAATGGTCTCACATTCTTCAAATCCTTTGTGTATCTGGACCAGATTTAGCCAGCATGTGGATGGAGGCACATGCAGGGGTCTGAGGGGGTATGAGAGTTAGCAGACGGTATGGTGGGGTGACAGGGGGCTGTCCAGGGTCTCCGCCTCGGACAGATCTGCGCCGGACCTTTTAAACATGGACGAGATGTGGAAAGCCTGGAGAAAAACACAAACGAATACTCAATGTGAAGGTTTAACAGCCAGTGGACACGCTCGGACGCACAAAAACAAGCAGGCAAGGTATACTGACCACCCAGTACGCAGTGAGAGCTCCCTGTATGTAGCCTGTGAGGACGTCGGACGGGTGATGCCTGTAATCCGAGATGCGGGTCAGACCTGTGTAGACTGCCAACAGAACCAGGAAAAACTGCAGTACTGGCCTCAGCAGACGGGCCCCGCGCCATGTAAACCGGGCCTGCATGTAAAACTAGAAGCAATGATGTTCTTTTAGTGAAATGCACAACGCAAAAGGATCATAATAAGTTGAGACGTTGCCCCATAAGTCTGTGGCTGTAAAGCGTAAAATTTTCTGTAGTTTTCTGTCGGCAGCCTCAAAGCCTTTATGCAGAAAGGAAAACGTAGTAACTGTAAAATGTTTACCAGCAGCATCCTTTTGCTCTGTGAACCAAATCATTGGATTTCGGTTGACAGCACTGACTTCAAAAGTTCTTCCAGGCGGCCACTTGGCTCCAATAAAATGCTGATTTCACAGCTGAGGCATCGTTTGATGAAATAATTATCCAAACATTTGAAAAAGGTTGTTATCTAATTTTACGCCGTATTTAATGCACACTGATCACTTGGGGAGGAAATCAAGTGCAATTTGTTATTAAAGTTCAACTGTGCCACTTAACCAGACCGCTATCATCCTCGCCACAGCATGCGTGCACGGGAACTAAATCTACTTAAAGCCTGACGCGTGTCCACTGCCACAGTACTGCACACATTGAACACATTTAGCTGCTTCTACTTATTAAATTGAGATTTTGTCAAATGAATGTGCAGTTATAAAATAAGGATTTTGATTCGAGTGTAGTGAAAGTCTTGACATGTGTTATTAAGCATCTGTGAGTTGACACAGTTTTAATGGGCTGATCTGATTTTCTGTCACACTTTCTGATGACTGCAGGCATCTGACCGGAGCAACACACAGCTAAAAAATAGTTATTTTGAAATATTAATCGGGATTTACACCTATTTCATGTGAAGAGCATCCCGTCAGGCTTTTGCATTCAGAATTATCCGATTCCCAGACGTTAACCTGGTTGTGTTGATTTGGTTTCAGAAGCCTTTTCAAAGGAATTTCAAGAGTCCTGTTATCTTTCATCTAATACAATAATCAAGGCCCATGTTATCTCTGATGAATACACAGAGAAAACAGTAAGAAAAACCTGTGACAGAATGACAAAACAATGAGCCTGTGTGCTACAGGGGACTTATTTCCAAAATGATGCTTGTCAAGATGCTCATTGGGTAATATGACCTTGGATTTGGTTGTATGGATGCAGTAAATATTTTTCCACATAATTGTCATTACAGCCAAATCTGTGCATGTGTGGCTGTGCAACAGTGCACCAAACCAAATCTTAAACTTTTGTCAGACCAGTTTACATTGGTCAAACACTACAGGGAGATGAGTTTGCCTTCTTTTACCCTATTAATGCAACGGTGTTTCACCATACCATATGTTAAAAATGTTTAGGGGAAAAATCAGTCTCTGATCCTTAAACTGCGTTAATCCTTCATCTGTCGGTCAAAAGCATGTTAAAAGGTCAGTAATAGCAAGTATGAGCACAAACAGGAAAGTTAAAGAACTGTTTTTCTTTGAATTTGACCATAAAAAAATCAGCACTCCTCCAACCCTCCAACTCAGAAGGTTTGTAATGTGTTCAAAGATATGTTGCAATATATCATAAATAGTCAACAATATTTTGCAACAGTTCAGAGATAGAGGGAAAACCTGGGTAATTGTACAGTTGAACAAAACTGTGAAGATCAACTTTAATTAGGGTTGAAAAGAAAGTCATAGGGCAATTTCCATAACTTTTCTTTTGTCAAACTCAATTTTGAGTTTTGGAGCAGCATAGGTAACATTACGTTACATTACATTACATCAGCTCTGCAGATGCTTTCTGCTTAAAAACTCATAGGGGCTACATGAAGTTCAGTATGGAGCCCCACGGCGCGTTAACATTATTGATGATCAAACTGTGTCAGTTCTCCGCTGTAATGCCTACTTTTAAACCTTTTACATGCCCACATATTCCAACGTAGAGTCTCCGAGCTTTACACACAAATATAGGCGGGAGCCAGATAACACACACACTCTCCTACACAATGGAGCTGAGTTGTGAGACGGTGAGGCGAGGTCACACTCCTCCCACAGCGAAACAAAGCAGTCTCTGTTTGTCCATATCTCCCTTCATTCCCTCTCCGTTTTCATTCCCGCATTTTGCTGCTAACTGGACTGATGAGGAGTCCCTGTGTCATTCATCCCCTCAAAATTTTTATAAAGAGTCCCCCGGTAATTGGAAATTGGAAAGACCACGGTTTTTGTTTGCCAGTGCCAGGGTTTTGATGACAGAGAATATAGATGAAGATACTCACTGCCAAATACAGCATGGTGTACATCGCAAAGGAAGCATGGCCGGAGAAAAAGGACTTCCTACAAATATAGAGAAACAGACTGATTAAAAATGTTGGAGAAGGAAACAACCATACAAACAGAGTGTCTCTTTCTCGCACACACCTGGCTTCCTCCTCTAGCCGCTGGTCAGGCTGGGGGCAGTTCACGGTTGGAACGTAGGTTCCAGGTGTGCAGTTCAGGGAAGCGTATGTGATGCCGCATACGGAGAGAAAGTGTGGCCGCAGCCGCCCCACGCTGAGCTTGGCCATGTTGGTCAGCGACTGGCCGACACAGCAGCCGAACAGAAAGCAGCCCAGCTCTTTGTAGAGACATGAAACATACAGGTTCCTGACAAAAGCCTTGGAGCTCACGCTTTGGAATCGAACCCGGTAACACTCCCCGAGGGCAATCTAAAGATAAAGACACAATATCAGCCGCCATTACATGCAATCCTTTCTCTTAATGCACAGTAACTGGCTGGCTGATGATGATGAGTTCTTACTGTAAGACCGGTGATGATGATTCCACCTGCAATGAGTAATTCGTCCGGTATGGCTTCACTGTGCAGATACGGGTAGGTGATGCTGGGGTCCCCACATATGAAGCCCCTTCTGTAAGGACTCACTGCCTTCAGCTCGCATGCAAAGAAAGGAATGGATGCTGGATGGGAAGAGAAATAAAGGTAAATTGAGATTTTCCAAACCATATTTTAAGGTTTAGGTTGTTATAAGAAGCATGAGACTGAGCACAAAGGGAGATATAACAATTAGAAAATATCCAGAGTTTCCAGTGCCAGCTTGGACATCATGATGTTTGTTAGCTTATTTTAATGTCCATAGTTCAGTATAACCGACGGTAGGAAAGTAGATTTGGATTTAAAGCAGTGCCATAAAAAAAAATAAAAAAAACAGACATTCCAATTTCTAAAAAACAACAACTTTGTGTTGGAAGAGGAGCATGCAAACATGGATTTTGTGTAGATATCTACTTGTAACAGGGCAGAGGTGTGAGGAATTCAACAAAATACCTGAAATACCTTGTTTTTAGTACAACTTTGACTTGAGATGCTTATCTGCATTACCACACAACAAGCATTAAATGCTTGCCTCAAGGTTTGTGCGGCACATCTCAAAGCAAGAGTCACTCTTGAAGAAGAAGAAGAAATAAAGGACAATACAATTCTGGATGCTGAAGGTTTCAGTTGTTAATAAAGACAACAAAAGCTCAGTATTTCGCACAATGCAGATGCACATGTTTTAACGCTGATTCTAACGTGATAACTGTAGTTGAGCTGCAAATAAAAATCAAGAGAAATTCATCACAGATCACTGAGAATCTAACTTGCAAAATGGTCACAGGGGAGTCACTTTAAATAGGGTGGGAACCCTGACATTTCCACAACACAACAATTAGGAATGTGGGGGTCACAAAACTCCTCCACTGGGATGAAAGTGACTCCGAGAGCCAACAGCAGAAAGCTCCCATTTCGTGAGTGAATGCTGGCTGAATCCATAGAGACCGCGAGCAAGGGGGGGAAAAAAAAAAGTGTGTTAAAGAAGCTCAACAAAGAGCCAGTTCCCACTGCGCATGTGCGTGAGAGGATTTCTGTTGATGGGGAAAGAAAGAGGGGGGTTGTTTGTGACTCCCGTTCAACTCTTCCCAGCAAAACAAAGAGTAAATGCCGCGGCCAGAAGCAGCCTCACACTGTCTCCGTTTGTCCCTGAGAGTGCTATCCTCTCTTTCTCCGCGTTGCATGCCTGCACACACCGAAGAAAAAGGGCGGATAAGAGATGGAAAGAAAGAAATAGATTCTTCCACATACCCAGTCTGTTAGTACAGGCTACTCCTTCATCCAGTTTTTTCCAATTAGCCACCATTGCATAACCAGCCTCTTGTCTGACGTACAGACCATTGGAGGGTGGGATAACACCGGGAGTAATAGGCAGGCACACATGAGTACAAATGCAGACATCCAAATGGATTGCACATTTATTTGTTTTTAGCAAATCGAATTCCCCCCGGGCCGACCCTACCCTGAGAACCAGAGGTTGTCATGGAAACTGTGCAAGTCCCTGGACGATGCATGAACCAGCTGGTACGGAGAGTTCAAGAGCACGCACGGCCAGAAAAAAAAAAGAAAAAAGAGGAAATGAATGTACAGCACATGGAGAAAGTGAGATTTTTCTCTCTTTCCTCTTCAACATATCACAATAGCAGGTTCTCCTCGCCTGACATCCTTCCAGCCACAGGTTCATCATATATATGCTGCCCATATGGGATGTTCACACCCTTGATTATTGTGTTAGTTCCTGATTCTTTGTTGGCAAAATAAGGGATGTAAATCACGCAGAACAGAACTAAACACGTTCATTGTAAAGACAAGGAGGAAATAACAGAACATGAACATATTTCACAGGTGTGTTTGAAAGAAATGCTGATTTTAAAAAAGCGGCATCACTTAGTTTGCTTTGCCCTGAAAAAATATTAATTGTAAACATATTTAAATCAGAGTTAGACACTGTAGCCTATATAACCGATTCATCAGGCCAACCATTTGTTGGTGAGAAAACAAAGCCAACATGAGAGAAAGGGCTATTGTTGTATTATTGTGGGTCTCAATCTGTGGTCTATGATGCCATGGCCAACAGCTACTATAAGGCTTCTACTTTTGCTTTTATCCAATTTTGAAAACCAATGTAGCCTACACAAGGAGTGCACGTGAAATACCAATAAACATACCAATAAATAAGGCAGCTCCACTATAATAATATCATAACCAGTTATAGAGAGAGAGATTCAGTTCTTTGAAACGAAGTTAATTTACCCAGGAAGAGGCAGAGGAGATCTAAGCCAACCAGAAGTTTTCTTTTGGATAAAGCAGGTCCACCGGGTTGTAAAAGTTTCTTGCCACCGCCGTTCTCCATCCCCATGCCGTCGGACAGTTTGAGCTGGAGCTCCGCGCTCGGGACGGGCGTGTCAAACATGATTTGCTGCCGGTTAAAAAACGCGCTCCCGTCTGAAACTTTTTCCCAGAGAACTCCTCACGCTCTCCGGACGGTGAGCGACAAAAAAATGAAAAAAGCCTGAAGCCGGACGGCGTGTTTAAACGCCTCCCGCAGCACCTGTTGACGTGCTGCTGCCCCGTCACACACACATTTTTTTGGCTCGGGGGGGGAAACTAAACGAGTGTCATCCGTCTGCACGACGCGTCCCAACTTGCAGGAGCGCACGCGTTACCTGGAAGACGGGGGAAAAAGATCACAATCGTAAGGGGGAAACTTTTCCATTGACATTCCTTTGGAATCTCTGAGGCAATATTTAATGCAGACACTTTTTTTTTCTTCCCCCGACATCAGATAAGTGGGTACCAGACGCATCACTCATGTGTCAGAGACATTGGATGGGTGATAAATATCTGGGGTTTTTTCCATCATTGTGACCTGTCGTATTCATTTCGAAGAAAGACCTAATAGATATTTTTTTTAAGGTAATCTAGGTTATGATGCATGCTCTATTGTTACATGATTTGGCCTATTTCCTGTATACTGTATACTGCTTCTGCTTATAGTAATGATGTTTAGAGGACATGCTCACTAAAGTTGCAGCCTTTTTATTATTGACACAGTTTCATGGAGTCAAATTCCTCGTATGGTCACACATACTTGGCAAATAAAGCTGATTCTGATACTGAATTAAATTCTAAATAGGCTATCGGGTTGGGGCAGTTATGTTGGTTCATGATAGAAGGCTTTTCTAAACATCGCATTGCTAGATTACTCAATATCACATACTTTAAGTTAGAAGTCACTTGTTCTTTCACTGAAGACAATTTGTAATCTGAGAGTCACCTGAACAATTGTGAAATGCCAAATAATTGCTAAACCACCAAGCGAGCAGCCAAACGTTATCCAAGAAGCTGTCTTCACAGGCAGACTCAACGTCTACACGATTCAGAATATACCTCCTTCGTTTTGTCTGTCTCAACTATGAGAGATCATATGAGAGGCTTTAACATGTGCACTAAATAAGTGTAAAACATCTCAGTCTATCATTCTGGTTGCTTTTTAGTAATGAAAATCAAGAGGGTTGGATTGGACTCCCTGGAGAACGGATGCAATATGAGGAGGAAGGAAGCCTAAGCAGGGAAGAAGACCTCTGCTTACAAGAGAAATAGGGAGGAGGCTCTATAAAAGTAAGCCTAGAGGGAAAATGAATGTTTTAGGAACAAGGATCTTACATAATGATTCAAAAAGAAAAAAGTATGAAGAGTAGCAGACCAGTGATCATGGAATAAGGAATTTACTAAAGGCTGACACAACGATAAAGTGTAACGAGATGAAAAAAGCTCAGAGACCAAGAAAACAGATGCAGAGAAATAACACTTCTCTACATAACTTGAGTACATAACTTCATTCTGTGTGAGTCCTCTGTACCTTAAGCGTTCCACCTGAGACAGTCCTGCAGTTGGTGGATTGCAGGGTTTTGTAAAGTAACCCTGTTCACTGGGCTGAAACGGGATGGTGTGGTTTACTATTTGTTTAATTTTCATTCATGCTTTCATCTGGTTAAAGACCCCCCAGTGTAGATTTTAACAACAAGGGGCCCCACCAAATATGGCTCAAGGAGTTGTTTTTAGGTCGCTGTTCAAATTGGTGGAAAAACCACAAAGCCACATCCAACATGCCAAAAGAAAGTAAAACGACTCAAATGATCCTCAAATGGATCACATTTCGAAATCTTTAGTCGTACCTTTAAGAAAGCATTTTTTTAGTCGACAAAATTATTTTGGATTTTAGCAAAGGTGCTAAATTATTAAGCTAAATTATGAGACGGATGATGGGAGGAAGCCACAATACCAAGAGAAAGTCCACACATACATGGACTTTGGTATGGCTCTTTCCACAAGAATAACCTGCCTTTTTTCTGTTTAAACAGGGATTACAATGGCTCATCGCCCTAAGAAAATCTCAACACCACAGAAAAATCTTTTATTCTGTAGGTGGCAGCAAAAGCATTATAGTTCGGCTGTCATATTTGTCTTCCGCTGATGGTCACATGTTTTTTTTGTTTTTTTTCAATACGTAGAGTTGAAAAAAAAAGACAGCATGACTAAATGTGAAGTGAAAACAGAGTCAGAGACTTCCCTGTGAGAAAGCCCGGCACACCACATGGGTGTGCATTTTCGTCATAGAGGCCAGGATCTAACCCTGACCTCAGAAAACCAAAAGTCAGACCTGCCTGTGTTCGCGTGCTCTTTAAAAATGTGAGCGGTCACTTTCCCTAAACCATTAAAATGTGACATGTCTTGGCTTGGTTTCTCATCATTTCTTTTCAATATTAGATTTCATCATTCTTTCAGATGACAGATCACAAGACGTTGCTGAGTAAGGCTTTATGTCACTTCCTGTGGCCAAAGATGGAAAAGCTGAGTCTGGAAAACATTATATCAGTGCCACGCGGATTTAGAAAAGCCAAGAAACCCTTTCAAGGATCAAATTGCACACACACAGAAACTTCCGTCCTATCAGATTTTGAATTAGAAACTGAATTAGTGTCTGTGTTTAAGGTTTTGCACAGAAACTTGGAAACTTCTAGTCGATTTCATTTTTGTGCAAAGGCAGTTGGTTTCACTGAGGAACAGATTATCTGGATTTTCTGCCCGACTGAAGCATATGACCTCCTGCAAACACCCAAAATGTTGAATTTTTCATTTTCTCTGTTTCGTGGCGACTTCCTTATTTCAATCACTCCCACGTACAAACAGTCCCCAACCTTTCCCATCAAACTGTCTCACTTCTCAAATGTCATTCCTTCTGATATTTTGTTTTTACCATGAGGCCCTTTTTTACCCTTCTTTTTAAGAACATGTGGTCGGTTTCTGTCACTTGAAAGGCCACCCCAATGGACTTTACAGACCTGCAAAGCCACATATTATTTCTCAAGCTAAAAACAAACCTCTCAAGCAGTCTTTTTCAGGGTATACTTTTGGGGTTAAATAGCATTTATTTAGCAGCTGGACAGAAACGGGGGCCCAGGCTGGAATCAAAGTCAGGCTGCTTTAACAAAGACAAAAAAAGGTGCAACAGTATTGTGTGAAATGTGTCTGACTGCCAAAGTGTAAGCCGGAAAATCATTTGACAGTTGTTATGTATCCAATCCAGTTTGTGTGCTTGAGATGGTTAAAAATATAAATATGGATGCGAATTATCCACATGAATGTATTTATTCTTTAAATTGAGTTTTTGTTTGGTCCACTGTGGTTGTTTTAAAGTGCTAAAATATGTAAATAAAGTCGGATTGGATTGGAGGTTCAGGGGTGCACAATTGATGGCTCCTATCCCAGAAATGTGAAGATTTAAATGCATGTGAGAATAGGATTCAGGATCTGGATACTTTTGAAAATGGGACATCTGCTCATAAAAATTCAGCTGCTAGATTTTTTTTTCTTGAAGTTCTGACATGAACTGATTAAATAAATAAACTGATTTCATTTCCGAGCCCAGTCTTAGAGATACTTATGAATTCCAAAAGGGAAGAGGTCTCGCTATTTTTGCTTGTTTATGCGTGACATCCAGATGAATCTTAAAGATTGTGTCACTCGCTGGATTCCAGGCTATTTTAGAAACTTCTGAAAGTTTTTTTCATTGGCTGCAAGATGACCAGCCCTTGACCCTGTTCATTCCTAAATTGAAAACCAAAACACTTCCAGTCTTTTGCCAAACTTTAAACAGCCGTGCACTTCCCCAAAGATTAAAACCCCACAAACATTCCCACAATAGTGAAGACTTCAGAACAGCCAACCATATTGAGTCCAAACTTATGTGTGTGTGGGATTACCATCAATCACAGCGTCAATTTCACAATAGCTCCTTGAACATTATCAGATCGTTTTTGTGGGTGAGTGTTGTGATTACTCCACGATACATCATGTGTTTAATCCACAGTGTTTATCTTTGAAAATAGCAAAGGTCACAAAAATAGGGCCTAAACTCTTCCTTCTCTCTCTGTGATGAGGCTTTCCATTTAAAGTTTAAATGTTATTAGCTGCCTCACTGCACGATGTCTGCGCTGCCCCAAAGTGAAATGATCATCATTCGGCTCTGGCTGTTGCTTTGTGAGGATGTACAAGTTGTGCTTAAATTCGAAAAAGATCATAAATCCAAACATGCTGTTGGAACATACACAGTTAGCTTGTCGGTAAGAATGTGGTAAACTAGTAGATTCAAGCTTCAAGTGACAACGCTGTGGCTTAGTGTTAAACAGGTATTTTAGAAAATATCATCCAGAATTATGACGTTTTTGACTTGAATATAGTATTTAAAAAAGTCACCAAAAAACAAATCCTAGCAGGCAATCTGATGGTTTTGAAGAGAATAATTGGGGGAAACTCAATTTAGCTTTCTTTTTCTCTCTATTTTGTTGTAAGATATGGATTAGCTCAAAAGTAATCAGACAGTTATTTACCCATTTACAGTTAAATGGCAGGATTACAAATTGATTGCACCCCTTTGACAGTGTCATGGAGGCTAATAGTATTATTGTTGTTATTTACGGGCATCTTTTGTCATCAAGATTGAGAAACACTGATTTTATTCATTTGATTGTCTCTTAACTTTCCTATCAACCTCAGATGTGAAGGAGCGACTGATTTTTTAACTTCCTTTCACACTAGCAGAATTTATTGGACACAGGACAGTACTGAACGATATCCAATAAAAAAGCCGTGACTGAGGGCTCAAATCCAGCTCTGCTCCAAGGAAGATTTTCAGCTGCTATAGACTTTATGGAGCCACTGCATTGTGTAGTTCTGTTAAACTTGTTGCTTACCATCACTAGTGGTTTGAGTCAGAGTGAACAGGAGAAGAGAACAAGGGCAAAGTTGAAAACGTTAGGTACAGGAAAGGGAGGATTTAGTCACAGAAAACTTATTTCCTCCATTTCTTTCATTCTCTTGTCATTCCTATCTGTAGCTAGGGAACTTTTTTTGTGAATCAAATATGACTAGATTTAAAATGAATTACCACAGAATTGATAATTACAAAGTGGAGCGAATTGTATTTGACTGAATTTGCCATATCTCACCTTTTCTTTTTTGCTAAACTGATATGATTTTTTTTTGTCAAATGGTACAAAATAAATAAAGTGAATTACTTTCAATAGATTTTCTTTTTAGAAGGGAGCTCCTTCTTTTCTTAATGTGGTGCTAATGGTTGCCCCAGATGAAGCAACTCTTCTGAAAATGCTGTCTCAAATAAAAAAAACTCTCTTCACCACAAGCTTTTAAAAAAATTGATTCCTTAAGTCTGTTGGCATAGTTTGATTTTTACCATTTTTACACCGTAGCTGTGCATCCGTTGGAATTTCTCATTTAAAACTTCTATGACTGGGCAGATTTTGAGGCCCATCAACTTATAAAAACAAGGTCCAAACTGAAAAGCCTTATTGCCCTGCTAACAGACATGCAACTTGTCACATTTCGTTACTTTGATCTGACAAACGTGGGTACAATGCCATGCTCACAGTACAGTTTATATTCAGGGTGGTGATAAACACCTCCAGTAATGTAGCATATGGTTTAAATTTCTGCAACATGATTTGAATTCCTCCTTTTTTTTCTCCAGCCTTGATTCAGCTGCAGGACACACCACCCAGATAAAACTTCCGCTGTCTCAACCCAGTGATTTCTCTTTTTTTTATGTACCCTTATTCCGAGACCATTCGATACACTTTGTCACGTCTCTCATGTTTACAGTCACCAGGAATTGATGTGGTCTTGGGATCTTAATCTAACAGTTTAGGCATTTCCTTCTCATTCAAAGTCTGGTGTTACTTTACACCAGATTTGTACGCAATCATGCTTCACCAATTTCATCATGAACATGGAAAACGCTTCCTAAGTCTGCACGAAAACTTCAAATCAACATTTATCAGATATTGACAATTGCAGGCAGACATTTAAGAGACTCCTTTGGAGCAAATCAGTCAGAAAAAGCCATGAAAAACACCCCCGTATCAACCAGATCTGCAAATATTTTAAGCAATACTATGCTTACTCTGGAATACACTGACAAACATACACGAATAGGCCACGTACATGTTACATGTCCTGGTCTTTTCCTAAACCTGCACCAATCAAAGAGAGTAAGTCAACTTTTATTCATTCATTTATTTATCCATTTATTTATTCAACTAAACGGCTGGATTAATTTTACATGCCAGCAAAACTATGGAAGAAAATGGTCTGATTTGGACTACTTGGGGGTTAGTTACAGGTTAGTCACGCCACCGTCCATCTTGGTTCTCACCTGGAATTTCCAGCTCCAGCTACCTTTGATTGTGATGGCGGTGATGTGATTGGTTAATGAGGTCATATGCCAGGACAACTTTTTTTTCCCCTACTTGTCTGAGAGGGTGGGGGGGGGGGGGGGGGGGGGGGGGGGGGGGGGGGGGGTGGTATCTGACCAGAATTGTTGTCATATTTAAAACACCGATGCTCCACCCATTCCAAGCATGTTTTCACGCCCACTCTTTCCTGTACGGTCAGTTATTCTCTCAAATATTTTATTATCTCCAATGTCCGATTTTACCAATGCTCTCAAAGTATAGAGGGAAAGTTGAGGGCTTGTTTAATTGTAACGGAAGGATACCAGATTGGTTTTTTCTCTCTCTCTCTCTCTCCCTCGTTCCCTTCCTTTCGTTTTCCATGACACTCTCCACCGGTGCGCTCTTGCGCAACTGCGAGGACATGTGCGGAATTTTTCTTCTGTCTGGTTTTCTCGCCTCCTGTAACAGTAGTGAGAAAGTGTCTGCGCGCGTGTGTGTGTGTGTGTGTGTGTGTGTGTCGTTGCTGTAGGGAAACCCATGACTTCCGCATTTTATTTTTTTTCCCCCCCCTCAGCGCGCAATAGCTATAAAGACGCGTCATGGTGTCCGGGCTCTCCACAGTCACAGCCTGACCAGCGACCCCTCCACAGCCCAGCTGCGAGTGGTCAGCTCCGTAGAGGGCAAACAGCTGGATTCGTGCACCACTTTGGAGCAGCTTGCAATTTTTTTTCTCGCAAAGCTCAGATTCCCAGCGAGACGTACTTGATGACTTCTGCCGAATTGGACGTGGAGTCTCTCCAGAAGAGCGGCCAGCGGCGCAGAGCCTGCCTGGACGCTTTTCTGGTCGGGTCCGTCATGCTGCTGTTCGTGGCCGTGTCAGCCCTGACCGCCGGCGGGTTGATGGTCCTCAAACGGCTGGAGGGCCAGAAGAAGATCCAGCCCTATGGTTTTCAGCCGGAGAACCTGAAAGGAGTCACACCCTCTCCAGCTTATAAGGCAAGCAAAAGTTTATTGTTGTTGTAATTCTAATAGTAATCTGTCCAAACAGCTGCTTTGTGCCTTTTAATCTGATTTTTGCCCATTTTAATCCCATGATTTTTCTTTCTTATTTAACAGATGGAGAACTTTGCCTTCCTGCAGCCCACATTAAGTAAGTTATTTATGTCCTATTTGCTCTCTTCATCCTGTAAAAAAAAAAAAAGTTATATCAGCTTTTAAAGTTGCAGAAAGTTTACAGTGATATGAAAATTGAACTGCTTTTGTCTTATGGTAGAAATAGTAAGATATTCAGACATATGAAAATTGATATAAGCTACAGTTGTAAAGTTCTGTAAAAAAAAAAAAATAATAACAGAAGAATAAGAAGAAATTGTGAAATAGACATCATAGTCAAGATGAATTTCATTCAGTGGAAACATCATCTAATGTTCAGACTCCTTTGCTCTCCCTCAGGTGAGCTGGACAACGCCACCATGACGTTCGCAGAGGTGGAATACGGCGCAGGGACGTCCGTCGGAAGCAACTTCGACTGGAACGGGCATCAGAATTCCCTGCAGCCCAAAAAGAAGGGGGTGTACTTTGTGTACCTCACCCTCAGCGTCAGCTGCACCCACGAGTGCAACGCGGGCCTCCTCAGGATGACCGTGGACGATATCCTGACCTGCGACGTGGAGCTCGAAGCCAACAAAACCTCGGCCAGCAAGACGTGCTGGACCGTGAGTGGACTGCAGGGTCAGCGCCTGAGCGCCCAGATGAGGGTCCTGAACGACAAATTGGGGAACTGGAAACTGGTTCTAAAGGACTCAAGTCTCGGGATATTCCTTGTCGACTGACGCGGCTGTCTCCTCGTGGCGTGTGGGTCATATTTTAAACAACACCTGTGAGTTTGTTTGTTTTTTACTGCTCAAGAAGATGGCGAGGGGCAGGCCCCGACGCTATTTTCAGAGGGATGATGATGTTTCTCTGGTTGTAAGATAAACGTCCTTTACAGGGTTTTATAAAGGTGGCACGGTCAGGAGGATGGTTTCAGCTGTGTGCTTTTAAAGAGGATATGCAAGAGACTTTAAAGTTACCTTTTTATGTGTAAATATGTGTATACGTTTGTGAAGATATTTATTTGATAGAATTATTTATGCATCTGTATTTATAATTGTTAATACGCTCACTGAAAATGTATTTTGGTGTACGGTAGATGCCACTACGTTTTTACCTAACGTGCAATGTACTTAAATGTATAGATATGACTTTATAGCTCTGTTTTCATCCCATTTACAAATACTTTACATTTAGTACCAACAAAGCCATACGGAGGCCCGAAAGACGTCTTAGCTGAACTGGGATCTGCTGCCGTAACAAATGGTTATTTAATCTCTCTGCCAAGTGATCAGCAACAGAAATGTATGTTTCACAGAAACAGAAGACCAAGTGTGATCAACACAGTCGGCGTGATGTGGTCATTCTTTTCTTGGGTTTTCATAAGTGATGGGAGAAAATGTTTAGCCTGTAAAAAGAAAAAGAAAAATTGTAAGTCCCATGGACGAACTACTCAGTGCTGAATGTATTTTACTGTTGTCCATATTAAACGTGGATCTCTTGAACGCGGACTTCATTTGTGCGTTTGGAAAATGACATGAGTGAAAGTGGAATGTGTGCACCGTCTATAGCTGGAGGGAAAGTTCCCTCTTGTCACCGAGCCTATACGCATAACTGAATGCATCTCACATCCTGTTTATTTATGATACAGTGCGGTTAAGAGAAAAAAAGAAAAGGGGGGGGGGGGGTCAGCCAACAAAAAGAACAGGCAACTCGAACATTATACGAACTAAAACCGCAGGTACCTGTTTAAAAAGCACACCTGCTGTAAGCATGTGATGGAAAATTATTTTTATTTAGCAAGTGCGCAAAAAAATCACCTGTCTAGAACTTAGAGTTGTCGTGCCTGTCTTAATAGAAGTGCTCAATCCAGTTTGAGGAAATCTCGGTTTGATTGAAAATCTGTTGAAATTAAGTTACTTTGAGGGGGTTAAGCATCAAAACCATGTGATAAAATGTTTTATACTTCCCTATGAAATGTGCAAGATAAGCATTTCCATATGTGTGGTTTTTGAAGCCTGTACTGTGTGTGTGTTTTTGGGCCTTTTTTGAAAACGCTTATTCAGCTAAATGAATGACAGTAAAAAAAAAAAAAAGAAGTTATTTCTTAAAAGCTACACACCATTAAAAGCAGATGAGCTCAAATGGGATGTGAGTATTTACTGTGACGCACCTACTGAAGCCTCCGGCCAATGGTCACTCAAAAGAGGAGCGCTTTTCAACCCCCACAATCCTTAATTGGACTCCAGTTCTAACCTCCTGCCTCCGAGAAGCACAGACCACCCGTTACTCTGAAACTGTGTCGTGTCACCGTCAAAAGCCTGATTTCCCACACAAATATGCAGTTGGTCTCCCACAAAAAAGCTCTAAAAGACAAATAGGATGTTCTGCATCAAACAGCTCACCCAGTCACACACACAGAGGAGGAGATAGCTGTTTCACAGCTTTACAGAAAGATGAAGCCATTATGGGTTGTCAAGGTCTAATTCATCTCTTTTGGAGATTTGAACCTTGACCTGCCACCTATTATCAGGTGAGGAGTCATAATGTGTGCTGCATGATTATTGTGTAATCAGAACATGGGTATTATTTCAGTTTATTCCTGGGTCTTTCTTGAAACCAGAGCCATGTCACATGAATTGTCAACTGTGGCCTTTCTTCACACTGGTTACTGTCCGGCATCATCAGGTCTAGAATTTTCTTCTACTTCTGATGTATTTCATGTATTCTCTCCTCCTTCTCGAGTAGGAGGAAAATAGAGAATCCCCTTGACTGTTGACAATCTTGTACATATCGTGGATCTTTAAAGATCCACAGTAAGGCGCTTCCTCCAACTTTTTGCTTGTGTTTTGGTAAATAGTCAACAACAAATATCTATGATGGTACAACTTCCAAGCTTATATTTTTGAAATGGCAACATTTCGTAGCCTGGACAGTTTTTTTTAAGTTTAATCAGATCCTGTTCGGTCTAAAACTAACTAGCTGAGACCATTTTTTTCTTTACAACATCAGCTACAATTGAACAACGTAAATTGATGTAAAAATGACTTCTTTCTGTGATCCAGTTGCTGAAAAATCAATCAAACCTGTGACGGACTCCTCTGTGTTTTCTCCCAGACAGGTGTGATGGAGCCCTCATTCCTGAATCTGGTTTGCCAAAGGTTTATTCTCGTTAAAAGGGAAATTTTTCTTCCTAGTGTCATATGCTTGCTTCTTTACATCCACTGGTGCCTGGAGAGACTCGCTGGAGCCATTGGGGATCTTTTGTATTCAGTTCGGTGATTTAGTGAGGAACGGTTGACAGTTACTTGCACACGCTGGAAAAATGATCCAGTCACAAGTGGAGTGGATATATGGAACCACATTTTCAAAAGCTGGTACAAGTCAGCAGTTTGGAATTTGCTACTCAGTTTGTCATTCCTTTCATGTACATCAAGTAACAAGTAATGAAATCATGTAACTCATTACCTTTTCACCTGCAAATGGCAACGGAAACCCAGTTTATTGCACAGCTGTATCAGGTTCTTTCCGAAGGCTCAGTGAAAAGCTGCTATGATGTGCAAACCAGAGATTCAAAGCATGTGCATAATTGGCACCATTATGCACAAAGAACACGTATACTGTGCACCATTATGCAAATAGCTTTTGACAAACAAAGGAAAGGAAATGCATTGGACTCCAACGCGTTCTTCTGATGAGAGTATTAGCAGGACTGTATTGTAGTAAGATGGATCACTTAAAGCTAAATGTTTGATATGCTGTTGGCTTTTTAAAAGAATGTTCGTTTAACTGAAACTTTGAAACTATACTTGCAATATTGAAAGTGATAATTAAAACCTTGTAAATGTTTCAAACTATTAACGCCGGTTTCTCTGAACAGTTCCGTAGAGGCTTTTGCATTCCACTTTGCAAGAGCGCAGGTCTTTGTGTGTTTGTTTCACACAGAGGATGTTTATCTGTGCATCGTAGCAGGAAATGACCCAAATGTTTAACAGTTCTCTGAGGTTACTTTTTTTTCCTTATCGGTGATCTGGCTACCTGCCTCTCCACCTGCCTGCAGGGTTTTAGATGCTATGCTGTTTGTGTAATATGTTTTAAAATGTTCTTTTCTTTTTTTTCTTTTCAAAAACTTTTCATTGCTTTCAAAACCCAAGTTGCATTTGTACCTCTGTGTTTTTTTTTTTTCCATTTGCAATGCAGCTGAAACGCTGAACCGTCTCTGAAACTGTCATTTGCAGAGTGTGAGAAGAGCTGAGTCAGCAAAACTAAGCATTTCACCTCATTACCCTCCTTCCTCTTCCATCCTTTCTCAACTCCTACTCTACCACATCCTGCTCTTCACACATGTGTTTCAACTTTTTGAGCACCTCTGTAGATGTTTGGCTGTGCAATATGGGTTTATTGTGGCTTTTAAGCAAGCTTGTGTCCATGCTCGTTCCAAACATGACTAAGTACGTGATTAGACTAAGAGAACTTTCTCAATCTCTCCAACTATTGCAATGCATTGATTTAATCACCTTTCTTCTTGTGTATTTGTTTTAAAATGATGCAACTGTCCATTTTGTTTGAAAAAACGCAGGGATTTATTCAAATAACCAAATATGTGCTAAAATGTTAATTATTTATATAGATATAACCTGAATATCAGGTAACATTTGTTGCTTTTTCCATAGGTCACTAAAATGTATCCATCTAGTACAGCATATATTAGAATATGTATTTTATACATGAAAAAAAACAGAACATGTTCAACTAAGTGGAAAACACACATTTATAGTCCTTTACGGAAATATCATAAAGGCCCCCATGAAGTTTTCTTTGGGTCCTGGATGCATTTCTTGTATTTTGTCTAGTGTGACATATATTTGATCTCCGCTCTGCAGGTGGAAAATCCCGGCCAGGAAACTGCTCCATAGATCGTCTAAACCTGAAGGCTGTTCATTTGAGGGTTTCTGTGTCCAGCAGTGTTTACTAGAGAAAACATGCAAACAGCAAGGTGTTACGAAATCACTCCACTCAGAATCAAAGTGGCAAACAGTTGGTGTGCAAATAAATGTAGCAACAAAGGGAAGTTGGGGAAAGTGATTACAGAAAAATGAAACACCCACCTTCTTGACTTCATTAGTTCTATGGGCTTGTCATAGGCGCTGGTGTTTTTCATGACATTGTGCTGGATAAGCTTGCATTTCGCTGTCGGATTTAATTCCACCTTGGAATAGAGGTAGTAATAGCCCTCCTGCTGGATTGTCAATAGGCCTTTGGCATATGTCATATTTTTGGTGATGGCTTCCCCGAACAGTTCCCATTGCACCACATTGTTTTCGCCTTTGGGATTACTGGCGCCTGACATAGAAGTGAGAAGGAAAGAGTTTAAAATTTAAAAGAAGGTCATTTCAAACTAATTAATGGCGTAATGTGCATGGTTAGATTTGGGTCTCTTACGGGTACCTACCCTGCAAGTGTGCAAAGGGCCTCTGTTGTGTTTGCATCCACAGTTTGGGAATCTCTGTTTGAAAAAAGCAGATTAGAATCAAGGAGTTCACTGATCATTGCAAAATGTGCTCATGGTTAAAGCATGTTATCTTCGCTCATGTCATTCCGTGTGACACATTTGTGTGGCTTAACTGTTTTTAGTATTTGAGGTACAGCTCATAATAGCAAAGGAGAGTAACTAATTGCCCACCTTTAGATCCTATTTGACTGGATGGGCTTCCAATCTGAAAAGGAAAATAAAAAAGTTAAAAGGCAAGCCTCTAAAACAGGCTGTGCAATTCCACGCTGCAGCAAACATATTCTATGCCCATGTTACCTTGTGACCAACTGTTGCAGGACTGGACAAGTTCTGGCAGAGGTGATGAAATCTGCAGAGGGAAAGTGCCTGCAGGGGATGGAAAAAAAAGAAGTTAAGAGTTATCCGAAGTGCACGGGTCAGTGAAGAAACGAATCTGCGTGGGCTTGGAAGTAAACTGACAAATCTTCCAGTAATTGTGAGAACACTGTAAGTCTCGTCGAGATATGTGAAAGTGTAAATGTGGAGGTGTAGAGATGTGGTATTCTACACATGCACATCCGAGCAGTTTTTTTTCTCAATTCAAATCTGCATAGTTGCTTTCATGCTTTAACATGACTTTTGTTTTTGAAACACTACTTGATGATGATATTATGTAATAATCTAATGTGAGACCAGACAAAATAACTTGATCTGTTTCTCGTTCAATTGACAGTTATAAAAGTTTAAGTCAGGTCAAGTTGAAGATATCAGATGGATGTGGGATCTTTGCTTTTCACTGCAAAATCTACTCAAAACCGCAGAATTTAGCGGTGGTGTGTATGCAGGATGTGTAGAATAAAAGAGGCAGATACAAAATAAAGTGGCATTATGGAAAATATTTTTAGAAAGTCAAGCCAATGCTTTAAAGGAAGCAGAAGTTGAGTCAAACCCATTTGACACCTATGTCATACTAAACACAAACTTTAAGCTCCGACGATGACCCACACAGAAACTGGAACACTCATGTGTTAATGGGTGAAGACGTGGACATTTTCAAGCAAAGGAATTCCCCACTCCAAGTGTGAAGGCCTATTCCAAGCTCAAGCGGCCACAAACAAACATGCACACACACACACAAGCACATGACGTGTACACATGACCCTCACCTCGGTTTTTTGGTAAAGACTGTAGATCAGGCAACCCTCTATCAGAAGTCCCAGCACAGACAATCCCACCAGGAAGAGAAGTAGCCTCTGTCCTTCTCTGGCCCACCTCGATCTCTTTTCATTTGGCATAGCGACGTAGCTGGCCTGACTGTCCACCACGAACACCTGAGGACAGGTACCCACGGCCCCCTCTGCCATCCCACCGGATTGGGATGTTAAGGTCAAAAGTCAAGGGGCAGGCACTGTAAAAGAGAAGGTAATGGATGACAGGAGAAAACAAAGAAGTGAGCACCCCACATGCAATGAAACCCACTTCTGGAAAACAAAGTGATTTCTACATCCCTTGACTATTTCAGACACACACACAAGCACAAACAAAAAGCTGTCCAGTGAAACTAAAAGCTATGTCTACATCTTCTTTTTTTAACACATTTTCTTTTAAGAGCTTTAAGGGGGATTACCTTGGATTTAACTCTTCCTCCACAGATCACTCAACCATCCAGCAGCAACACTCCAGCCCGTCGTCACACAGTCCTCTGAAGCTTGTACACTGACCAGCATAAAAAATGCTCACGATGGTTTCAAACTACACAATAAAAAGGAACTCTCTGAACTCAACTCCACTCTCTAATTCTGCTCTCGGTTTTTACAGCTGACGGATCCCCTTTCTAAGAGAAAATAAGACCTCCAAGGGTTCAGAATTTAGTCTTCCCTCACCTCTCGTGTTGACTCGCCTGCTGTCAAGTGTCACAAATATTGCTTTTGAAGCAAGCTATTGTCAGAAGGAAATGAAGATGACAGGAGGAAGAAGCATACAGATAAAGGGTTTGTGAGTGAGTACATGTGTGTGTGTGAGTAAAGGACACTCCCTTTTGTACATACTTATCGTCCAATAGCTGACACTTCCTTTTCTCTCACTACAGCTTCTCCCTCCTTGTGTTGGTTTCATACTCCATTGCACACTTTCGCTTTATTTACTTTATGGTCTACTTACGGAGGGGTTTTTTTTTTTTTTTTTTTTTTTGTCTGTCTCTGAAAAATGAGAAGTCTTCTAACAATGCTGTTTGTAATGCTACCAAACCACACGCAGCTCAGGGGACCCGGCTCGTAAATATCATGCCCCTTCTGATGTGTGGGCAATGCTGCGACCACAGCTTTGTGTCACCCACATCACCAGCTACCTTTTCCCCTCTTCTTGCACTCTCAGGCCAGAACTCTCGCGCACGCATGTCTGTACAAAAGCCAAGGGCGAAACTCAACATCGAGATAAAAACCAAGCCAATGGAGCCAGGGGGGTCTGCATTTAAGCATCGATAGCAGGCACCGATTTTAGGTGACTAATGAATTGCAGAAGCCTGTAGACGGTGATGCAACTTCCAATTCTACTTTCCTCCCATGCTTACCGGCAGTATTTTGTTCAAGAGTTGCTTCATTCTGCACAGGCTTGGACTATCCCTTTTCCCCCTCATGGTTTCAATTATCAAGATTTATCGTATTTGTTACTTGCGGTATTACAAAAGTGACGTTCGTTGTGTTTAACAGTTTGTGACAAACTGAAGTAGCAAAGAGAATAAAGGCAATCCACACAAGTCGTGGATTCTTTCTGGGTTTGTGAGGACTTTAATGCTACCATTGTAATGCTGTCTGGAGGGGTGTCAGGATAAAAGTTTTCTAAATAAAAACATAAACTGATTTATTTTTTTGTTTTGTTTCTGAAGTCAAGTGGACCTTGTCATGCTTTTTTGTGTTTGTAGTAGGAGGGGATCATTCGACCCGACACACTCCATATGGTGAAACCACACAACTCGCTCACATACTTGCATCCCACACACAATAAATCACTTCCTCTCTCTCTCTCTCACCCTCACACAGATGGACAAGTCCATAATATGCTCTATGTAGATAAAAATGCAGGGAGTACAAGTGGGTCTCAGTGGGTAGTTTCCCATAGCTTCTTGAAGTTGCGGTGTCCTAAATGTGGCTTTAGTCAGAAACGGTCAGACCCTAACGTGCAGAAACCCCAGATGCTACTGTAGAACTGACTGAACTGACAAAAGTTCAGTGTTTTCTCAAACTCTCAAGTGTGCTGTACAGACTAAATGTAAAAAGTGTGTTTGTCCACATCTCCAAATCAACGACAGTCTAGTGTAGTTGTGACCCACTTTCAAATAATATTAAAACTGTGTCATTCTTGCATTTGGCCTATAATTCTCTGTGCTCTCACTCGCTGCCGTTTGTTGTTGCCGTTCTACATGTTGCAAGCACACAAAAAAGTATGTTTGTGGTTAATAATACGTCATGGCTTGTTTTAGGAATGACTCAAATAACTCATCTGGACTTCTGGCGGATGAGCTATGCCCCCCTCAGCTAAACCCAAATAACAAGCAAGACAAACCACGCTCTCTTACTGAAATAATTCACTTTGAAAGCCTTTCTGGATGGCAAAAAAAAATAGACAGAAAAACACAGTATGTTGTGTGTTGCAGCTATGGACCCACACAGGTTGTTGTTGGTTATGATGTAATCAATGCAGTGACTACATTCCTATAAAATACCCAAATGTCATAATTGGTCACTAAGCTCTTGTGCCAAAAAATGTATGTAGTGTGGTTAACATGACATTACATTTTTACTTGGCACCTGTTCTGCATTGGGCAAAAGTCTGCACTTTAAAAATTCCCACTTGGGTTTTTATCAGAATTGGGAAAACAAAAAAGGGGAAGCTTAGCACTGTGCCGTCCCGTATCCTACAGCATGCAACCCAACACAACATGAATCGAATGAAAGTGCCAGTGTCTTATTGTTGAGAAACGGAGATTCTGTTCCTCTTGGTAAATGTGATCACACTCACGGTAGCCATGTTTTTACGCCCAGTGGGTAAAATGGATGGCTGTTGTTTACTCACCACATTAGCATTAAAGAGAACCATTTGTTCATTCATTTACTTAATTCATTTGAAAAGAGGTGATGATGATTCCAAAAAGCAGAAGTTGTGTGTGTAACATTTATGGCACTTGTGTTATTTGGGCAAAGAAAAGTCCAGACAGCAATCGAGTCATTAGGATGCTCAGACGCAGTTCCCTCTCTGAGGACTCAGCTATTGCTGGGGGGGTTTCCCACTTACTCTCATTACAGTTTTAACCCTTAAAAGCCTGATACAAGGAAAAATAGAAAGAAAGTTCTTCCTTTTTCGTTGTTGTTTGAAGTGTTTTTTCGTCCCTTTAATGAAATACGAAAACAATTAAACAGAAATCATTTTTGAATATTCATTACCTATTATTGTGCGATAAGTCAAGATTAATGTTGTGTAGTCTTCTGCCTGCTGTTATCAGGTTTATCAGATTGTGTAACAACAGGGTTTTGACCAAAGTTTTTACCATTAAACGATGCAAAAGGCCTCAGACGCAAAATCATTTCAGAAACCATATGTATCAAATATGATGCATATGGCATTATAGGGTTAAATGCACAAGCAGGTCTAAAAACCTCACTAAGACTAAAGGGACCCCCACACACACACACTATAAAAACATTGCATGACCTTTGCAAAGGACAGTGTTTGCTGTACCAGGCAATGCGGTGACCATTTTGGAAGATCCTTCTCAATAAAAATCACTCATTACACATTGACCATCAGAGGGATGTTCGCTGAAAGTCTGGGGCAGTGTGTCCTTTTGGACTACTCCTCTTTTGTTTGTCAGGCTCCTGTGTCACTATGAGACTTTTAGCCTACAGGTGACTACTTTTGCATCCACAAAAACAAATAAAATCTCATGTCTCAATCATTGTTTTGAGAGCATGCTGCATTCATCACTCAAACCACATTAACCGTATTGCATCTATGTATCTGCTGCAACAAGCGGTATCATTTGGATATTACCACATCAGAGGTAAGACTGCTCTGACACAAATAATTAAACATGTACGAGATCACTTAAACCCCATCTCAGATTGCAACACAGCAACCTGGTGGATGTGGCTTTCATAACAAAAAGGAAATCTAATGATAACTATTTGATATCATATCACAGAATGAAGCACAATTTATTAATTCATTATTCATATTTAAAACTGATTATGCCCCTTTTCAGTTACTCTAATTATTGTCAAACAATCGTTTTTGTTGGACTTATTTCTTTTAGCAAACAGGTAGTTTCCGATTCATTTTCTTTTCTTTGTTATTTTTTTACCAAATAAACTTTAAATGATATTTCTATTTAACACTTATTGGCTTTCTTCTAATGAGATGTATGGGTATGTGTAAGCAAAACTAAACTGATGAGGAAGACAAGGATCAACCTGTCTTGAACGACTTTGATGAATTGAGCATGGATTCATTTTTTTCTATATGTACGACTATAGAAAGTTAGATGAAAACACATTGCAGATACTTTAAACATACAAATGTAACAGTTTTTTTTTTAATTGAACGGAAAACATAACAGATCATAGCATAAATGGTCTGGCCTCTGGTGTCTTGCTGCACATGATATTTGTGCCTCTGTGTTTTTTTTAAATGCAAACACTGAGCATTGGTTTATCCCTACCTACCCACCCATTGATTCCCATTTCCTATTTTTACAACATAAAATTCCCTACCTTTCATGTTCTCTCCAACACAAACAGATCACTGAACACATAATTTTTCTCACTTCCCATACTCATTGGTTTCTTCTTGTTTGTGCAGGCAAGCTTCGGTTTGCAAAAAAAGAAAAAAGTCAAAAGTACACGTTGTGACACATTGTTTTGATGTCATCATGGTTTGTACTGTACTAAAATATAAAAACCTGCTTTCAGATTTGGGAGGAGTAAAATATCAATCTTGAGAAATATCAGACAGTGTATTTCTCCATAAAGGGTAATAATTATCTTCACATAGTAAATTGCTTTTGCATTGTATTTCCAAGAGATCAGTCACTGTCATTAGGACACAGTTACGTGTTTAACTGGACTTCTGCCTTTTTATACTCTGAAATTTCTGTGTTTTATTGATCACTATAAAACTTATTTGCAGACAGGTGACAGCTAACATGCCCTGTGTGTTCAGGCTGTTTAATGTTTGGGAGAACCCATAAAGTTATTGGAGCTGGGGTTTGATAACAGGTCTGACAAGACCGCCACAGTACTTGAAGATTTTTTTGTTTCACTATTCTACGCAAAACGTCTCCAGTGTATACTTACATGATTATATCAAACAAAGAATTAAATTGTTTACAGTTCTATTGATACTTGAGTGCAAAGTTGTTGTTAAGGCAGGACTGATGTGGGTCATGGAATATAAAACTATTGTTAAGAGGTTATATGCTTCAAATGCTCAATATTTATCCAACTCTTGATATTATGCATCACATATAAAGTGTAAATTAATCCAAAATGACACTGTAAATGTAGCTGTAAACACAAAAGACTTGGCTGGAGCCAATCCCAGCTTCCACTGCCCAAGAGCCATGGTGGACTTGACCTGCTGTGTCTTGTGCTTGTTGTGTAGAATACATTGTAGATTGCATAGAGCATCAGTCCATCCAACAGCCAAACATGCTCATACCATTTTTGTCACAAAGATGTATTCAGTAGCTTTGCGCTTTTAATATTGACGCCAAGTCACAGTAGTTCTTTTGGCAGCTGGGAGGCCGTGGAGGGAAGACCCAGGTCCTTGCAGTGATTGGATGAATCGCGCTACTCTCCCCCCTCTGATTGGTCGGCAACACGTTCTCCTACGCAGGCCTCCATCCAATCAGAACAACGCAAAGTTCTGCTGCGGAAGAAGGATGCGAAGGAGATGGCCGAAGTTAGATAACCCAGCGGGTGGAAATATACACATGTATATTTGTATGAAAAATGGTCACGGACGTTAAAATGATGGGAGTGAGGACCAGGGGGCCGCTGCTTGGCCTGGTGGTGGTCTTTCTGTGGTGCCTAGGCTCCGTGCGCTGTTTCGGACAGAGCCAAGACAGCGAGTTCACCTTTTTGCTACCAGCCGGAAGATCCGAGTGTTTCTTTCAGTCAGCAATAAAGAACGGTACGATGGAGGTCGAGTATCAGGTAATTGTGTGCGTGGCCAGCAAACACAAACACACGCTATCTTCATAATTAAATGCACATTTAACCAAACGTTATATATACATATATATACGAACCTGATGCTATCATTAGCATGTTAGCCTAGATAAAGCAACTTGTGCAACGATGGGATGCGAGCGTGGTTTCAGAATAAATTGGCAAAAAAAAAATACACAAATGAATGAGAAGATGATAAATGCACGGCTGAGGAACTGAGAAAAAGGCAACACTCATCGTCTCGGTGACTCATGGGCTGTTAGTCGAACCCTCTTCCCACGGGGGAACACCTGAAAGGAACCACAGGTTACTCCTAATGTTCCTCATCATACTTAGATCATAACCATTAGGTCATCAAGGGCTGCTTACTAACATTCTGATTCAGATTATTTCTAAAATGAAACATTTCTTCAGGAGGAATATCGCAGAGCTAGAGGCAACAGTTTTTTTTTTCACAGATTTTATCAGAAAACTTAATGACGTTTGAAATGACGTTTGAAAACAGAATCTATTAATATTTTGATCTGTTCCAGCAAAATCCACGTTGCATGTGAACTAATCCTGTGGTGAGATTCTGTAGCCGTCAGCAGTTGTTTGTTAAGTGGGAAGGTCTCAGCTATTGTTCTATCCTGTAAATCACAAGACAGAGTTTGAGTCAGAGTGCCCAGAAACATCGTGCATGAGGTTGTTCAGTAAGAAATGATCACTGCTTTTTTTTTCTTAATATTTTTAGTTTGAGTGCAACTCAGTTTTTTGTAGTGACGGCTCAGTCCTTCTGTTCAACACACTCCTGCACAGCAGGTTTGACAGCCAAAGAACTTCTTTATATTTCCGAATTCATTGTAAATTTATATCTAATAATATGCCACAGAAAAACTTCAGTCTGGGGTCTCCATTTAAGGACACATACATTTGTCCAACTACAGGGGATGCAATGCAGTATAAGTTAGCATAATGAGACACTTTTAAGGCCTATTTTTTGTTCTGGAGGGTTCGTAACTAAGGGAAGTGACCTGGAATAATCTAATTGGGTTACGCTTTACTGTCTCTTAGCGTCCTTTTTGGTCCAAAAGGACGTAATGACGTCCCCCGGCTTCCTTACAGTGACGGCACTTAAAACGTTGGTGTACATTCTTAGTAAACCAGGTCACGGTAATCCCAAGAGCTGGAGTAAAGACGACCGCTCGCGCTGGAACGTGATACATGAGACCCCTCCTCTGTTTGGAGTTGGCTTTCTTTACTCCTTCATCACATTACTGTCCTCAGAGGTGTGTCTCCTTCTCCTAAAGATGAAGGCGACTCTGGTATTTGTCTGAGTTTGCAGCCTCAAAACGGATCCCTATATCAACGTTAAGTGAGATCAAAAGAACGTTTCTTTAAGTGGAGCAATGCCACTAGTTGTGCGTCTGTTTTAGTCTCTCTCTTATAAGTCCTGTCAACCCACAGATCCTCAGAAAAATTCAATTTGGAGACAGTTTTTTACATTATTTTGTCTCTGCGGAGATCTGACACATTTTTGGGTGTTTGTAGGTGATAGCAGGTGCCGGCATGGACGTGGACTTCACCGTCTCTTCCCCGAAAGGCGTCCAGCTCGTCAGCGAGTCTCGCCGCTCCGACGGAGTCCACGTGTAAGCGCCCCGAATACCAGACCACGTTTCACATTGCTGCCTTTGCAGGGGTCCCGGCAACGTTTGCTTTTCTCATGTTTTGACTACCTTGTTAATCCCAGGGTGGAGCCCACAGAGGAGGGGGACTACGAAATCTGCTTTGACAACAGCTTCAGTCGCTTCTCGGAGAAGATGGTGTTCTTCGAGATCATCATCGAGGGGCAGGGGGGGGACGTGGGGGGAGACGAGGAGTGGCCCGGGTTGGAGGAGCCCGACGGAAGCATGCTGGAATACAAGCTGGAAGACATCAGGGTAATTTTTTTAAAATGATCTTTTGTTCTTTCAATGATTTTTTTAATTCGAAACAAAATAGAAAAGCACCAGCTCCCACTGGAGAAGCGCGAATTGACGTCTTCTAGTTTATTTGGCTTTAGTCTAACATCAGGGTCCTGTTAGAAAGAGTGTGACGGCTCACACCTGAAAGACAGATTAAGCTGCCTCTTTATTTACAGTTAGAGGAGCACTGAGCGACCCACTTTTGTCGTCTGCTCTGCGGTGAGCTCACAGGCTGGGGACGTGGGGAGTTATGGCGCACAGCTGAGCCCGCCCTCGGCTCTGGCCCGCTAAAGAAACTCGCCGGCGATAAGGAAAATGCACCGTCAAGCTTTAGACTGTGCAAACTGTCAAAAAAAACAATATTCCTGGAGAGACACTTATGATTGTGCCTCTTTAAAATCTGACCCGCGCTGAATAAGAGTGAGTCAGTGTGGCTGTGAGCTGAATCTAGCACCAAAGCGAGAGGATCTGTGGAGATCTCGTGCATTTCAGATTGTTTTTTGAGGAACCGAGAAAGAGCCGCTGATGTGTATCCAGCTTGAAAAGATAAAAAAACCACCTCCATCAAACCACATTTAGGCTGATTCCGTACAAACATTAGTTTTTTTTGCATGGCTGATGAGGTTTAGTTCACCTGTTTTCAAATACTTTGGGAACAGGGAATGAACATGAGTCCACTGGCCTGCCGGCACCAATGCAGAGTATAGTCAGGCTCAGGATTTGACCAGTACCCGTTCACAAGGAAGCTTTTACCAAAAAGCGGACTTGGAACGGTTGAATCGGTTCTTTTTCACCTTGGACTAACTAGATCCCTCCATAAACGGTTGTGCTGCCAGGAAAACATTTAACATGAAACTGAAGGCTTAGACTTCCATCCATCCATCCATCCACTATCGTAACCACATTTTCCCTAATGGGGTCGCGGGGGGACTGGAGCCTAACCCAGTAGTCAATGGGTGAGAGGCGGGGTACACCCTGGACGGTCCACCAGTCCATCACAGGGCCACACAGAGACACACAAGGACAAACAACCACTCACACTCAATCCGAAGGGCAATTTAGAATGTCCAATCAACCTAACATGCAGGTTTTTGGACGTTGGGAGGAAGCCGGAGAGAACCCACGCAGACACAGGGAGAACATGCAGACTCCACACAGAGAGGTCCCGGTTCCCCCCGGGGACTTGAACCCAGAACCCTCTGGCTGTGAGGCCACGGTGCTAACCGGCTTTAGCCGATCCACTTCTTTTAAACGCGCCCGTGAGAGCAGAGCTGTTTTCAGACGGTGCTGAACATCTGCACTCCCTCTCTTCCCCCCTCCCCCCCCTCTCCCCTCAGGAGTCCATGGACTCCCTGCACCGGCGCCTGGAGCGCAGCCGGCAGATGCAGACGGTGCTGCGGGCGTTTGAGGCGCGGGACCGGAACCTCCTGGAGGATAACCTGTGGAGGGTCTCCTTCTGGTCCTGCGCCAGCGTGCTGGTGATGCTGTGCGTGGCCCTCACTCAGGTAGATAGATCCCCCACCACGCCGCCGGCCCCGGCCCCCCGGGGCCCCGCCGCTTTTAGCCACGAAAATCAACGGGCTGCTCTGCCTCTCCACAGGTCTACACGGTGCGTAAGCTGTTTGAAGATAAGCGGAGGGTCTGCACGTAGAGAGGAGGATCCAGCCGCCAACACCTCCAGAGCAAAAAAGGGAATGTTGGTGGGTCGCAAAGGGCCACCTAACGCCGGTTAATTTCATTTCATTTAGTGCCTTCAACGTCAGATCTTACCACAAAACAATGGGGAAGTGCACTATGCTGCGCCACGCCTCTGGAACTGGCTAATGGTGACGGCTTTTTAATCACAGGAGCAGAACGTTAGGTAAAGGTGGAAGGCTGATGTGTAAGACGACGCCGGTCTGCTGGTTTACAAGTGGCGACAATGTGCAATAGCGTTATCGGCGTGCTTTTTGTGATCTCCACCCAGTAAGACTCAGCTGTGAAATCAGTGGTTGAAGTGTCTCATTGGTTACAGACTTGTTGACGATGACATTTTTAGTTTTTGCTCCAATTTATTTTTATTTTTTAGAGGGTACCAATTCCTGCTCATGTGCCAGTATGTGTCCACGCTGAGGTTTTTTACGGTTAATGTTGCAAAATAAACGAGAGGGACCAGCGTGATTGCCAGTAGTTTGTACACATCAGCTTCCTTCCAAGACACGTGTCGATATCTGTTTTTACTGACGCTGCGTTTTAGGTCATGTCTTGCTTTTTTTCCTGGCTGTATTTTCATGAGTCAGAAGAATATGAGTTGTTTTTATTTGTTTTTTTTACTCTCCTCATTTTCTTTTTTTCATTTTTAAGTAAAGAAACATTCTGTAAAACAAACAAAAAAAATATCAGGTTCTACTCGGCTTAACTCTCGACAATGATATAAAGATGTTTTTTCACGTAGGAAGTGCTTTGATACATTTTATGATATAAACATGTAGTTATGAGTTAAATCTAAACCTGATGAGATGATCTTGGTTTTTCATCTTTGTGCTCATACAACTTTGGAGGGGGAAAAAGTTGTGTGGAACTACGGCGCTGTCACAATTAATGCTCCCTAATGGTGTTAAGACAAAAAATAAATCAATTACACAAACGGTATTTTTTACTCAAGCTTGTCCCTGCATTGACCCCAGACCAGTTATAAGAGCCATGAGATGTACAGGTGTGTTCTGAATCAGGAAGCCAGAAGAAAAATAAAACCAATAGCCAAACTATTGTGCGAATGCCTTTATTCCATAATTAACAAGTCACACATTTGGCAGAGTTGTTATTTCTTACAGTTGCCTCTCAGGTGAGGGTTCTCAGTAGTGTTCACATGTTGTAAATGAGTAATAAAGCACGAGGCTACACTAGTGTGTGGAAAGTTACCTGGTATTATTGCTTTCAGTTTAACGTGATAGACGGAGGCGAACCCATCTCTCACACACACCCACACATAATGTTGGTTTTGACACAGCCACTGTCGTGGTCTCGACCTTTTTGTTTTGTCAGGGCCAAGAAATGCAACAGCTTTCAACCACAGAAAGCCGGTTTGTTTCAAGTGCCCTCAAGGGGCGCAGAGCCCCGCTGCCTGAGCCAATGAGAGGCTTCACCTGAGGGCTCCTCACCACTGGCCGGGACGGGAAGGGACTTGTGGTGGTCGCCTGCGTGAGAGGGGCCGTAAAAATTTCCAGTTAGTCTCCGATCCCGCAGAAAGGGGGAAAAAAACAAAAAACCCAGCTTTCCATCGCTTTTCTCCATCCCGTCGACTGCGAAAAGCCCTAAAAACGACTAGCGCAGTCAATGGCGCGCGTTGCCACTGGCAACCACTGTTACCATGGTGACCACGGCTCCATCCGAGAGTGAGTAATGAAAGTCTTGCAAGGCTGCACACAGAGCAGAGGAGGGTTTCTGTGTGCGAGGAGCGGTTTGCATCTCTCTGACATGCAAACCTGGAGGTCTTCATCTGAACGCGCTGGTGAAAAAGGCCTCAGAAAAGAAGGAAACTGAGAAATGAAGGAAAGTATCGATAGCAGAAAAAAAAAGCACCAGCCACCACGCCTCCTCCTTTCCATTCTTTTATTCACTCTTACACCTTTTTTTCCCCCCCTCCTCTCGTTATGGCTGTCATTTCTGATGTCATTTTCAAAGGAATCCACATAAGATGCAGAAAATGAGCAGGTATGGGAAGTAACTGTCAGAGGATGATTGACGGAGTAAAGTTGTTCTCAACAACAGCTTTTTTGTGGTTGTGTTAGTCACACCGGGGAGCCAGCTACATCCACTGACCTGTGCTTACTCAAAACAGAGAAATCGTACAACACGACCGTAGCATGCTGCAGTAAAGTGAAAACAAGCTTAGTAATCAGCAAAAAAAAAACATTTAAGCAAACAAATTTCATTGGTCAGTCTCGGTTTAAGATGCCTATTTGAAGCTAATAAAATGGAAAACTGCGTTGATTTTATGAAAAAGTGCCGCTTTCTCATTGAGGTGCTGAGTGTGGAAATTTACTGACGAAATGTAAGCAAAGATACACTGAACGGAAGTTATTGATTTTTTTTTCGCGTAAAAAAAAAAGGAAATTCATTTAATTCCATTCAAATGACAACACTGAGGATGACTACTGGGTTTATATTCCTAACTAAAATGTCATCTCTATCCCTTTTTCAGAATACCGAGTCATCATGTAGTTGTTAAAAATATCTACACATTTAAAGGCAGTTGCATACAAAATGCTTCAGCATCAGATCACCAGATACAGTAGTCTGTAGTTACAACATGAAACAAAGTCTAGTTGCTATTTGTTCTGCTTGAGAGGAATATAGATGTGTAAACTGTAAACTGAGTCTGTATGACCAGAATAGAACAAAACACAGGGTTTTTTGTGTGTTTTTTTTAGTCAAGCAGGGAGGGCTCTGAAGGACGGATGACGGTGGGTCTGTTGGGGGCAGCCGGGGGTCTTCTGCTGCAGGTCAACAGAGGAGGGAAAGGCCCGTGGAGGGGGAGAGAAAACATGCAAGGAGAAAAAATGACATCAGTCATGCACCAGTGGTTCCCAAAAGAACGAAAAAAAAACACCAAAAGCCAGAATGTACAGTTCAACCCTTCACCGCCAGCTCTGAATGTAAAGCAACTTTCTAGTAAAAGAGGATGTGAAGCTTTCAAACAGTCAAGAAAAACCTGAAAAGGTCCAACATTGAGAGAGATGCAGAGCACGACGGACTAAAATCCACACACCTGATAATTGACCAGGACTTTTCTGATCTGATTTCTGCTAACTGCGTTTTGTTTTGTAATAAAAAAATTTTTACAATAGTATTACAATATAATAACACATAATAGAATAATATAATAACTCCAAGAAAGCTACCAAAGACTTTTCCACTAGCTGTCCATCCAGTGTTGTGCAAAAATTGGCCCAAAAAATTCAACCACTACCAGTAAGATTAAATATCTGAGATAACCAAACATAAAAGTGGGCGTATATGCTCCACATTTAGAATGACATGAATTTAAAAAAAGATCGGATTTGATCTCACGGTTATCGTGTGCAAAAGTAATATTGCTGCTCTATCGTCGGAAGGGTAGCTTCATCTGTGTTAAGACCTAAACCGGAAACCCCCAATTTGGTTTTCATCAGCTGAAAATCACTTTGCGGTGTAACCATAAATGTGCGTACACCAAACAGTTTGTCCTGTATTACCATAAAAACGACAATTATTGTCCACATCTAGATAATAAAAGGCGCCAAACCGAGCTGTTGAATTCCCACAGCTGTTTGAATCCCTCAGATTGAGGGCGGGCGTGTGCACGTGTGTGCACGTGTGTGTGCACGGCCTTACCTGGGAATGCCCGGGGGCAGAGCTGGGGGCACGCGGGCCGGCCTGGACGGAACCAGAGGCACAGCAGCAGCAGAGTTGGGGTCCGCTCCGAAGGCCGGCGGCGGGCCGGGCCTGGACGGCACGGGGGGCGCCCCGAAGGCCGGCGAGGGGTTGAGAGGGGCCGGGGCCCCCGGGGTTGGGCCCCTGACGGCCGGGGGCCGGCTCGGGGGGGGCGCCGTCGATGCGGCGGGGCGGGATGCTGGAGGAGGACTTTGACAGAGAAACAGTTTATGTCAAAGCAGGTGAAGGAAGCGGTGGCTTCATGAAGCCGAAATCAGGAGATACAGTTCTGTGCAAAAGTACCGACACACCCATGTTTACTCTCTGTCAGCAGGAAACAGGTGCGGAGCAAGAAAAAAGAGGAAAGGAGGCAAAAAGTGTGTGAAGTCTGAGGGTTTCTGCGTCAATATTTGATGCAGCTTTATTCTCCAGCTCAACCTGAACCCTCTAAGACCCTTTTATGTTTCTTTGGAGTGTTAGTAAGTTGGTTTAGGGCATATACAAACAAAAGATTTCTCTGTAAAATAGGCGTAAGGACGGAGTGGAAACCGAGTGAAAAAGCAACCAAAACAGATCTGCATCGTTCTTGCTGAGGAATAGTCAGCAGATAGTAGCTCAAATATCTATTTTAAAACAGATTTGAATAGCATTGGTAAAATAAAATAAAAAGACTTAAAAAGTGCTGTGATTTTAGTCTGAACTCCGATTTCACTGTAAATTCCACCCAGCAGCTTTTGGATGACATCTGGTGGACATTTTGAGAGGAATTGACAATTTTGTTGTCAATACATATTACAATATTTACTTTTTCTCCAGCAACTTACACGACTGTTTTACTAATCCTTTCCACATATATTTCCATATGAATATACACCACTTTTCTTTCGTTACCTCGGGTCTTTGGCGATCCAGTTGTCATCTACAGGCGGAGGCACTGGTGTGGAAATGGTGGATGTGCTGATGTCTCCGATGATGACGAGGGCTTCTTTCAGAGCATGATACATCCTCAGCATCTCGTCCCTCCTCTGAGCCTTCTCTGCCGACTCCTCCATCAAACTGCCCTGGTCTCCGGCCGAGTACAGATAGGCCAGCAGCTCGGAGTGGATGAAATCCTTTGCCTGGACATGAGATTAGAAAAACCGATGCCTGGTGTTGTCAGGAAATAAAATTAAGTAAGTCTCAAGTTTAAGACACGGTCGAATTCCTCCCTGTTACCATTCCATCCTCTTTTTCCATTTTCAGCTACTTTGGGATCTAATCCAGCCAATGTGCTGATAATGTTAGAGGAGTAGCGGTTTATCCAGGTTAAATGTTTAGTTGTTTCATAACCAATCGGACATCAAAAATCCTCTTTTAGTGTCCAGTTCGTCTTCAGCCACGGCACTACTTTAACCGGCATCTGAATTTAAAGGCGGAAATGGACATGAGCTGAAGTTAGGATCACGAATGTGGTAAATGTGCACGTCTAACAGGCATTTTGAAGTTTTTACCATGCTCTCTTCAGATGTCAGACTTGTTGTGGACAAGCCATTTTGAATCTATGATTCAAATCTCTAGAACTTTAGCTTAAAAAACGGCGTATCACACATGTCGGTGCATAGAACACAGAGGGGCTGTTCTGAAATATGGCTAGACGTCTGATTGTCGAGGGGGTTTATGTCAAACTCGGAAACCAAACAGAGAAAAAAATCATACGCTGTTGATCATGAGGTGCATGATGGTCTTGGGCATCAGGTCTCTGATGGACTTGTTGACAATGCCGATGTACGAGTCCACAAGGTTGCGGATGGTCTCCACCTGGCGCTCCAGCTGGGGGTCCATGGACACCGTGTCGCTGGGATTCATGGCGTCCTCATTGTCCGGCTGCAGAATGCGGGGAACGGGAGACGTGGAGGAAGCAGAAATGATGCGACGGCCCATTAAAAGCAGAGAAAAGTCTCAGTAAGCGTCTCTGTACGAGTGAAAAATCCCAACTTTTCTGGGTTCTGAGGCATTTTTTTCTTTACAGAAACTTTTTTTAAATGAAATTTCGAATGGAAATGATCAGGAAACTCCAGGCACCAGGTCTAAACTGAAAAAGTTTCAGTTCTTCTTATCTATTCGTGAGCACATCGGTTCTGGTAGGCAGGCATGCACGCTCTTAATTCCCCAACTGGGGAATAATGCAGTTCATACACAGAAATAGTTTATAATTCATGGTGTGAGAGCTTTCTCTAGACGACACTTCCACCTAACCTGAACCCGTGTTTCTGACGACACGTGAAACCTGTATTTGCCGATAAAGCATGCATACAAACTAGAATTTGTTGGTAATAAGTGAAATTGTTTTGATATACATTCCATGTAGTGGGATGTTGCCATATGTGGTTAAAATTCCCTTAAAAAAAGAGTGTTTCAATTGTAAACTGTGCTGCACTTTCTTAATGACACATATACAACTACGCAAACTGACATAACTTAATTTTGTGTGTCCAATATAAAAATGATGACTGTTTGCAGATGACATGTGCTAAATACACTTTTGTGCACCTGATCTTTCTCTGGGTAAACACCAGCCCTGAGGAAGGAGGCCTTCCAGCTGTCCACATCCTCCTGGGTGTCGCAGGCCAGCTCAATCTGACGCAGGTCCTTGTACACGTTCCTGTGGGGCACACGAACAGCCGCCCATAAACCGCAGACTCAGAGCAGAGAGCAAAGAGAAAAGACGGAGACGTCCGCACCTCTGCTCCGTGTTGAAGATGGCGAAGACGTGTTTGCTGGACATGAAGCCCTTCTCCACATCCCTCAGCTTCAGGTTGTCGAGAGGAAGCATGTACTTTTTCTCCTTTTCCTGACAAGACACCCAATGATGTCAAAACGATTTATTATCATCTTTACGGAACACGCGCTCAAGATAAAAACATTATTCCACAAATAGATTTTTTATTTTATTTTTTTAGCCTGTGGCAGCATTTTTATTACAGTGTCGATAGGAGTAATGACTTAGCCGAGTGATAACCTTCCTCCCGTATGGAAAAAATATATCAAGATAGTAAATTCAACATCCCATTATTATCCTTACTTCTTCGTCTTTGTACCAGGAGAGAGACTCAGCAGTCAGGACGAACCAGTAGTCTTTGGAGCCTCCCTTCATGATGCTTATGTTGATGGTCAGCCAGCCTCTGCGGATGACCTACACACAGTCCAAACAAGAGCAGACGGCATCATTACTCATCTCAAAAAAGACATTTATAAAGGGCACACACTTGGAAATCAAAGACAAATCCCTCTCATTAAATATATATAAACCTTTTAAAAATGTGTGTTTGCCAGTTATGTAGTTAGTGGTATACGCTGATATTATCCACAAATCAAGTTAAGATTTACTTTAGTTTTCCTTCTGAGGATGAGCGGACAGAGCCTTTGACCACTCAAAAAAATTTGGTCAAGAGTCTTCGAGATATTTTCCATTTCAAGATTCCTGAATTTTAACATAATTTTTCTTTACATACATATGGTATAAACACATAATTAATTGAGTTTGAGTTTGATTCGCTTTATGTTGTAGAAAATGATAATCTAATCCAAAGCACTTTGTTGGAGCTGTATCATGGAGAGACATCCAGAGAATTAAACTAAAGTGGCCACTCTTACCCTAAGTAACTGAACTATAAAGTGTGCATTAAGCTGGGAGCCTGAGCAACACAAAAACAGTGAAACCTTTAATTGTCTGATTCACCAGCTGCTACCATGACGGCACACGTAGTACATCCATTAGAAATATGACCGTAAAGCCCATTTGTCACAGTTCAAAGGCCCGAAAAACTATTTTCCCTCCACATGGCAAGGAATTTTCACTGACTAATGTTCACTGACAAAGAATCCTCTGTTTACCCACAGCAACAAGAGCACAACACATGTATAGCTCTTTTATTGTCATGATTATCACTTGATGGCCGCTGATAAACCAAATCACTGGCATTTCAAATGCACTGACATCATCTTATCGACCATATAAACCGCTGAGTGCCATCATTAAGGAACAAGAGCCACACTGTAACCATTTTACATCGCAGAGGTTTTCAGATGAGTCACATTTGTGAACTGCTGTTTCCTGTTGATCAGCAACATTCGTGAGCAATAAAACTGAGAAAGAAAAAAAAACAGATCAGCAGAACCTCAGCAGAGCGTTAAAGGGAAGCTCCAACGCATTTATTACGGCAAAGCCAGAGGTTCGCATTACAAATCTGTGAGTGATTCTCTCACTTCCCTCTCCTCGAGCAAAAAGCACCAAAAGAAGTTCTCGCTAGGCCAGAGTTACCGTCGACTCCCCCCACCCACCAAAACAGGAAGCAGGGGGCTTCGCTGCTGACAGGAATCTCTCCCTATGCCCGTTCAAAGTGGGAAAACAGAAGGAGAAACGGGAAAGGGGAATAAAAAAAAGAGACGCAAGGCACAGGCCTGAAAAGGTAAAATAGCTAAAAGGAATAAACACTAGAGACACAGAATAGTAAATTAAAAAAAACGAAGCAGTGGGAGAGAGAGGCAGCAGGGGTGAGTAAAGGAAGGGCCAAGCTCTATTTACCTGATTAGGCATGACTCTCTTCTTGGTGGGGTTAGCGGTGGTCCTTTGCTGGGCACTGCAGGAGAGGATAAAAACAACGGATAACTGGGATTAACTGCAGAGCCAAACAAAGATCAGAGGCAAACCCATTAAACGCACAATAATGTGTCTTGTGTTGTTTTAAGATATGATCTGTTATCATTTTGCAACAGAAGATCTTAATGTTTTACAATGAACTTGTGAAAAAGTTTTTTATGGCCTGAAACTCTGCACAAGTGATTCGTTTTTAAGGCTTTTTTTTTTTACATTCCAATAGTGAAAATTGCAATAAATGGACTTTGCATTTTAGAAATGCTTTAGATCATGTGTTGCCTTCACAGGTCCCATCCACTAGAGAGCAGTGACGAGTCCGTTGTTTATTTGCTCTAAAATATCAGTCCCTTCTTTTCCAAAGTTGCCCCTCCGTTAGGGAGACCGTTTCCATTTCTCACACACATAGAAAAGAAGAAAATCGCTATCTGCGATTGGTTAGACCTGACACTTGACTACCTGGATGTTGAACAGAACCACATAGAGAAAACTTAAGGTTTACATATACATCAAACGTAGAGTCCAGACTGACTCGTTCTAATGCCTGTTTGGATACGGTCATAACACTCACATCTGGAAAGCATCAAATTCCCAAAATTTCAGAATCTGATACCAAATTATTCATCTTATTGTCATTTGCAACCACTGATTGCAGATTTCCTGATTTGCTCGTTGTAGACACTGATATGGCTCAACAGAAACACTGTGCCCGTTTCAGCAACGTTTAGCTGGCAGCTTGTTGACCGATTGCTCGATCCACGTGAGCCCTCAGAGATAAAGCCCCTTGATATTGCACGTCGACTGATATGACAACGACGTGATGCTAAGCGTTCCCGTCCGCACGGCGTCTCACTTGGCAAATCCGATGAAGTCCTCGTGGTTAGTGTTGATGTAGGAGAGCTCAATGTCAATCAAAAGCAGCACCTGAGGAGCGGAGACACAGCGTGAGCGCACGGGGCCAAGGCTCTTCTCCAGCACACACACACATACCTCCAACACACACAGACACACACACCTGGTCTTTGGTTTTGCTGTCTCTCTCTCGGATGTACGTGGTGACGATTCTCTCCGTTTCCTCTCTCAGACGAGGGTACGAGTCCAACTGAAAGGCACAAGAGGACACTGCTGCGGATTGTTGCACGGAAGCGCATGCAAAACAGCGACCGCATGCAGGATCGCACGCAAAAAAACTAATCATGAGCCGTGAGCTTGAGATTCCGTCTGATTGCACCCAATGAGAAATCAAGACGCAGCTTTGTTGTTTACGCCTGCCAGAGAAATGGCATCTCAAGATCGTAGCGAGTCTCAATGAATCAGAGGAAAAGTTCAGATTAGAGATTAGGAGGAGGAAGATTTGATACAGCGAGGTGGGATTTTTCTGTGGGGGGGGGGCGCAGAAAAGATACGTGTCAGCAGGTAAATTTCAAAGTGTGAGAGGAGGGCGTCCGACCTCAGTGCTGTCGGGTTAATGGGATTTCTAGGAATCCAGGATCAAAACCGGGTACAGTGATTCTTTGAGGGTCAGCGTGGGGGAGGTAGCAGGATGGGTGTTAAGTGAAGCCTTTAAGCAGCGGTGAGGGGTCACAATTAACCACACTGACAGTGGCACATTAGTTCATTCTGGTTTTGCGCTCCACTGTACCAATCCCTGCTCCCGCGGTTGGGGTTTAGGCCCTCGGGACTCTGCGATGGACGTTTACCTTTTCCGTGCACTTCCTGATCAGGGTGATGAGCTCGGTGACGACGAGGTCTACGCATTTCAGACAGGGGTCTTTCAGCTTAATGACCTGCTTTTTCACTATAGCCTCAAACGCCAAGTCTGGGGTGAACAAGCCTGTCCTGGTGGAGGAGTCATGGGAGTTGGAGGTTTGATGTCGGGTCAAAGAAGGGGCGAGTGTAACGTGGGGCCATTATGAGAGGAAAGAAGAACCATAGCAGGAAGAGGGCAGGTTAAGTTTGAATGGAGCGGTGTGGGGGGGGGAAATAAGATGAGGGTTGAGGAATGTGAAAAGAAAAAGGAAAAACAGGAGTCACGTTAGTTTTTCTTGACGTTCAGAACAGAAACAAGCTGCAGGTTTTCTTGCACCGCAATTGTAAGTCGGAGCTTTTGAGCTATGAACCCTTTATTTCCAGATCTTTATCCACATTAGAGCGGAAAAGGAGCAACGAAACACAACAGAGAGCGGCCCCCATTTGAGATATTTCCACATATTGATGAGACTGTACCGCAGTGGCGATGGAACACAATAACATGTGAAAATGGAATGTTTTCCAAGGCAGCAACACAGAGCATCCAGAGAACCGCGATGCGCCCTTAAAGCCGGGGCTTCAGACGGGGCCTGCAGCTTGTTTCGAAGTGAACCTGCACAGCCATCTACGTCTGAGCACACAGCCGCTGACAGACATCAGTGCGCTACAGTAGAGCCAGGAAACAACTCTATGTACCATCTAATTCAATTTGAAGGGAATTATCAAACTGAATAATGGTCCCTACTGAAATATCCAGCCTGAGCTTGCAGCTAAAGAGCCTTTTGTAGATCCCCTTTCCTTCCAACGGCAGGGCGCGCATAAAATATTTGCTTAATTCATGTTAACACCATGCTGTGGACATTCACACTCAAAAGAGGGTAAAAAAGGCCGACGCGACATTTTCGGTTACCTTGCCCTTATTCAAGCTCTTAGGCTTACTGTGACCGAGTTCCTACACCAACACACCGTCAAAGACATGTGATGAGTCTATCTGATCAAGAACCCGTGGAATCGAATGAGGCATAATCTTATATCATAATCTAATTCAAGAGTTTGAGTTGAAACTCCTGATACTAAAATAGGTTTTTGCACCAAACCATGCCGTAAACATATTTTTATTTTCTTCCAACACAGTTTTGGAGCTCGGGCGGTGATTACTCACTCTGAGGGTCCCGCTTGAAGAGGCCAGATTAGGGAAGCTAAAGACTTCCACATAAAGGATCTATTTAAACATTTACACCCATTCAGTCAGTTAAAATCTCTCCTCAAAAAATGCACCCTTTTCTTTCTCCTATTTTAATAACTTCTAAATATAGGCTCAATCTGAGGCCTGTGTGGCCTGGGCATTCGGTCTGGTCCTTTACAGATACCTGGGCTGCCCCATCGAGACGCGGGGAGACCACATTTACATGGCACGGGCCTTAAAAAACTAGCAGAGGCAAAAACAAGCAGCTGCATTTTTCAGTAGGGAGGTTTTCAGTTCGAGGAAAAAACAGATCGGAAAAAGTCCTAAAACACACAGCGGTAGCGTAAAAAAAAAAAAAAGACGGCCGCCGCCGCCCAGGTAGCCCCTGGCATGGGCGCCACAGTCTGCCGGGCGGCCATGCAGTGATACCTTATTGGTGCACTGTCTGACTGTGTTGATGAGCTCCTGGATGACCAGGTCGATGCATTTCAGACAGGGCTCTTTCAGCTTAATGATCTGCTTTTTTACTATAGCTTCGAAGGCCAGGTCTGGGGTGAACAGGCCCGTCCTGAAGGGCATACAGATGAGACACACATGGAGCCGTGGAGACAGGTGGAGAGAGCGTGAGACAAGCAGACAGAACACAGACAGAACAGACGGACACGGAAAGAGAACAAACAGGAAAAATTGGAGCAAAAACGCAAACACGAGCCCAACGAGATGCCCGAAGGTGATACACTAAAAACTGTCACACATATAACAAAAAATGCATGTTGAAGCCGTGTAACACAGACAGGTGACAGGTTAGCAGCAGGCAAACTTGTATATATATATATATTTTATTTTTTTGGCATGCTCTTCAACTTGCCTGACTCCATGGATATTCTTGATGGCATAGCTGATTTCTTTCCGCAGCTCCTTCTCATCAAACTCCATCTACGACATAAAAACCTGAGATTTCATTTGCTGTAAACAGAATTTATGGCACCTTTTGACAAAAACAGAGACAGAGAATGGTGAAAATCTTCACAATCAATGAACATTTGGGCATCATAACAAAAAAAAGTGTAATCGGGACTAGAACTAGACTAGAACCGGGACTAGGAGACCGAACTATAAGCAATGGCAACCTGACTTTCTGTAAAAAAACACTTTCACACCCTTTGAAATGATTTAATTCTTAAATCAACCGACTGAAAACAAAAACGAAAAAAGAGTCAATCTCATTTGAGCACACTGAAAATCTAAAAGCATAAAAAGATCACCTTAACGAGCTCAAAAGGAAATCGCTCGTGAAAGATGCGGTTGATCTTTGCTCCGCCGGACAGGTTGGAGGTGTCCACCTGATCTCCAGACCCCTCTATGCACTTCTCGAAGTCCACGCCGAACTGCTGGACCATCCTGCAGAGTAGACACGGTAGTGTAATGTGTTGGGATTGTTCCCCTCTTTGCTGCGTTTGCCCTGCTCAATGCTGGGGCGTGTTTCTCGTTTTCTAGTTCTACATGGTGGAGTGGGTACAGACTGTAGCAGGGCCTTGGTCTTGCGTGCGGGGTCGTCGGGCCGAAAGTTCTTGTACTCCTCCACTTCCTTCTCCAGCGACAACTGCTGACTTTGCAGTTTGCTGCGTAACCCGGGCAGCGTGTCGCGGATGTGGTTGGTGAGTTGCTGGAACCAAAAAAAAAGGACACTTAGCTGAAACGTTTGCGCCAGTCTGAGCCCCTAAACGCACGCGAATCCGCCCCCCCCCCCCCCCCGACTTTGGGGGTTTTGTCCATGTGGGGGGCCCCCTCGCTCCGCTATGTGTCGGTACCCCGGATGGGAGAGGAAGAACTTCCTCTCGGCGGCCAGCGCCACTCGGATGTCTTTCTTCCCGTCGATGTCCTTCTGACTGCGGTTCACCACCCCGATGTAACCTGCAGCCATGACAAAAGCAACCGGGCCACAGAGAGAGAGAGGGCATGGCGTGAAACGGACGAGCAAATCTAACAGACTCTACCCATGAAGAGAGTATTCTGCAGAATGGGACTGTGGGGAAGTAAAAAACATTTCACAGCTCATATTCAAATGAATACAGTTGGTTGGATTATTATCAAAAGAACGCTCCACACTGTTTTTTTGTACTTTTGGCTCCAGGTCAGACTTTAAATCTAGGTATAAGTGAAGAACCGGGGGTTGTTTTGTTAACAACAACCGACGCTGTGGAAAACATTTGAATAAATTCTCATTCCCTCTAATGCCGAAAGGTACTTTAAAAATAAACGGAGCGAAAAGGAGGTGGTGATTTCTACAAGCTTTAAGTCTGAAAAATTAAACATGAGCATGCAACAATGGAGCAAAGCTCTACGTGGTGAAGCTTTTAATCTACTTAATCAATGATTATTTTTATTTTGTTATTTATTTTCTGTACCTTTATATTCTGCTTTTAAACTCTTTGCAAAGCACTTTGAATTGTCGAAATGTGCTATATAAATAAACTCGCCTTGCCTTAATGGGAAAATCAAACTTCAACACTTTCTCACTGTGTGTGCGCGTGTGCGCGTGTGTGTGTGTGTGTGTGTGTGTCTGTGTGCGTGTGTGTGTGGTACCTCTGCGGAGTGGCAGCAGTTTGTTTTCCAGGATGTCTCTTGCATCAGTACCCTCATCCATCAGGTCCAACTTTGTGATCACGCCGATAGTCCGCAGCCCTACACACAAAAGGGGCGACATTCCGAGCCGTTTGTCGGGGGCTAATCTTCACTTTTAACACAATCTAAACGTACACCTCTCTGTGATCAGCGATCGCTGAACCTGAGGCTACTAACCATCAATCTCAAGCGGCAGCTCGTTAGCTAGAAATGCCTTAATAACACCCCACTGGTTTGAGAGAAAAATAGCCAAAAAATGGAGAAACTCTCACTGAATCACATCCCAGCTAAATTAATTCAACAAATTTTAGCTGCCGGGTCTTTAAATAATGTAACTGTTCATTATTCCGACAGGCCTGTTCCAGCAATGAGGCAAAAATAGACGGAAAGAAAAATGAATGACAGCTAAATCCGCTAATGGCAGCAAGTTCCAGAAATGGTTATTTCGGGACCATGTCACGGCTGCACTTGACCGTCAGCTCACCCTGAGGGTCCACCTCCTTGGAGATCTTGAGGGCGTCGGAATTGGCCAGATCCGTGTTGGCGGGGGTGACGGCCAGGATCAGACAGCTCTCCTTGGTGATGAACTGCAGCAGCATGTCTCTGATCTGATGCTCGATATCCTGAGGCTGGTCTCCTACGGCCACCTTGGTCATCCCCGGCAGGTCAATCAATGTCAAGTTAAGCACTTTAAAACAAAAACAAAAGAAAGAAATGGAAGAAATAGATTGTGAGATCGGTACAAAACGTACGATAAGAAATCCCATTGTTGTGCGTGTGTTTGTGCGTCACCATTCGGAGAGTAAACACGCAGGTTGATGGGGATGGGGGAGATGCCCTTGTTGGACCCTGTGAGCCGGTCAGTCTCTGCTTCGATCTCCATTCGGACTTCGTCGAAGTCCACAAACTTGCGGCCTTTACAGTGAAGGAACTCTGCATATTCTATGAGCAGGAAGCAGAAGTTTAGACAGAAGTTAGGGGGGGAATAACTCCAAGAGACAAATGTGATACGAGAAAGCACAAAGAAGTACTCTTTCAACCAAATGGGAGGCATAAAACGAGTTAGACTAAGCTTCAAAATGAGCCTTGAATACTGGAGGAATGCATACTGTATGTTCTTCTTTTACAAACTGAAGGCTGTAGATAACCACTGCATGCAGAAGAAAAAACAACCAGCCTGATCCTAGAATCTAGCTGTTCTAGAAGTATGTGCAGGTCCCTCAAAAAGATTGTTTGAAGACCACAAAAGCATCTTTCAAATAATAATCTAACTAAGTGGGTCAGAAAAAATCTAGAAGGCAAGTTCAGTTTCACAGAGCAAGAGTGAATTAATGCAGTGGCATGAGCTTCATGTTTGCGCAGAGCAAATTTGTCCACCATCAAAATTCAATCGAAACTATAACCGAATATGGCAACATATAAAACATCCACTCTGACAACGTTATGGATTCGTTTCGGGGTTTAATGCAACCAAAGAAAGGAAGAAACGGGTTACAGCTACACACAAAACCCGGTTAACTGTCCCAAAACTCGACATGCTAAGAGGTTTGACGGGCAAATATATGCCGCCACCATAATGAGGTCTTATCTCAGGGAAGGTTTGCCTTATTTCTGCTAGAATGACAACAAAACCCCGAGCTGCAACTAGAGACGCTCCCGGAGTGAAAATGTCCTGTAAACCAGTGAAAACATTGGGACCATAAGAAGTCAAAAGGACGACAAAATTACAGAAGTTAGGAGTCGAGCAAGTATGCAAAAAATATTGCTTTGTGTGTGTATTTGAGGAACAAAATCTCTCAGTTTCTAGATTAAATCCATTGTATTTGTAGTTTCTATATGGAGATGACAGATTAAATGATGTGCGGTGTTTTCTAATGACTCGGCATCCCATCTCTGTGGGCTCAGGTCTGCACAGGACTCGCCTGCTTTACTGTTGACCAGCTGAAGGATGAGAGGGCGACGGGTCACGATGCCAGAGCCTCGGGGTAAAAAGTCCCTGGAAAAGAAAAAAAGATGTAAAGTTTAACACGCAAATCAACTTCAGGATGTTTGGAGAGAGGCAGCGACTGTCGCACGGACGTTGAATCAATACTTCATAAAGATTTTTAGCAACAAAAAAAAGAAAAATGAATCAAAACACGACGTTTCGTCGGACCGAATGAGCACAACGGCATTTCATTTGGAAACTAAACAGGCCCTAGCATTCACCCAAAAAACAAAGATTGAACTTACAACTGTGTTTATTATGAGCCAAACATCTCCCCCTGTCCCTTCTCATTCGATACACTCTCATCAGAATGGAAACTCCTGTTCAATAGAGCTGCGATCATTTCCAGGTCAGTGGCCCTACATCTCTCCAGGCACTGAGAACGTGTCCTCGTGTGTCTTTCCGTTTGTGTGCTTGCCCGGTCAGCCGCATGGTCTGAGAGTCAGCGTGAGACACACACACACACACACACACACACACACACACACAAAAAAAACCCACAACAAAACATGCATACGTTCCCCACGAGCATCACATGAAGACACACACAGATAAAACACTGTGCCCGAAGTCCGCTGCTGACAAAGCAGACAGGAAGTTACACAACTCCCCATTCCCATCCTGTCTCTTTTGTCTCTTCCTGTCACTCGACAAACGGCAACATGAGCACCAACGAATACGGTCACCGAGCGGTGCGTCAAGTAAAACACTCTGCCGGTTTGCCCTGAACTTTTCCGTAAACTTCCGCGTTTCCCTGACCAGAGCAACACCGAGGCAACACAACGCACTCTCAGGATTGACCCGATAACACAAAGTGGGAGTGTTTTGTTATTAGGAATCCTTTTGCAGGTTCCCCCCTGCGGATTTAAAAAGAAACATGCCCCCGGCTTTAGCTTTCCATACTTCACACCAGGCCACCGGCAAGCACGGAAAGACATTGTTTTGGGCCTTGGAAACTCTCTGCAGGCCCATTTTTTCTGTTATTATTATTATGATCATTGGGTTTTTTTTTTTGGAGGGGGATGTTTGGGAGCCAAAAAAAGAGCTCGATAGTGACAGCAGTCATTACAGGACCGGAGCCGTTTTGACACTCGACTGAAGTGACTGAATCCCATCGTTGCTTATGAAAAAAGGCAGCGCGACGCATATTCTGAAAAATGCCCAATTATGCGTCGGTCTCGGTAGACCGAGGGGCAGAGGCAGAGCCCCCGCGTCCAAACAGAGGGCCGCTTGTCCTTGCGGTTCAATGGGGAGAACGTAAACGCATTCATTTATGATAAGAGCAGTTAGTTTGGCACGATTATTAACAAGTCCGGCTCTCTTAAAGTGAATAAAAACACACACACATACACGCACACACACTGATCTCAAAAAGCCCCAGTTACACGTCTGCGTGTTAGTGGACTGAGTAACAAACGCGCTAAACAGCCAAAGGCCTCTGCGGGTATCTGGTACCCAGTGTGTCATACACACATGACAGTGCAGCTGGTGACATCACTGATGACCCCGGCGCTCGCACATCAATGCCCCCACTGTCTCCCCGACCCGCCGCTTGGGACTCGGACACAAAAGGCGAATGGAAAAAAAAAAAATAAAAAAAAAAAGGGAGCCATGGCCGTCTGATCAAAATTCACCAGTTCCTGGATCACACGCACGACCAATCTGACACCTCCACTGAGAGGTTAAGAGGCAAAAAGCACAAAGCTGCCATGGCCATCCTGGATGGAGGATGGAGGAAAGATACCCCTCCTCCTTCCCTTTTACTGTGTATCTGATTTATATCCAACCTGAGCGGACCAACCGGCCGTTTCTGATAAGAGATCCTCTAAAACTGTGTCAGAATTCCAGTAAAGTGCTCCTCAAAGATGAGACAGTTGGTTTTTTTATCTACTTTGCGGGAAGACTTCAGACATGCTTACTGTGCTCCTTCATCTGCTGACAGAGAAATGCGTCAGTGTTCATGCCCAGAAAGCAGAATGCTTTCACTTTTATTTGTTTTTATGGGCCCCAATATCTGCAAACAAGCGTTTTCTGCCCCACCCTCCGTAGGTGAGAGACCTTTGAGACGCGAGGTCTGTGGAGAGGTCTGGTTTACAGCAGGAGCAGTCTTAAGGGGAGAGTCTTTGTAAATGTTTGACAGGATGTGACTGCTTGGAGAGGCTCTGACTCACCGTGGTCATGCTTCCATAGAGGGTCACATTTAGCTGCGCACTACTCCGAGCATTTCATCTAAAAAAAAAACCCACTTTCAAAAAGAACCCCAAACACTCGACGAATCAACAGCTGTGTTCGTGCGTAAAGTGCGTAACACCAATTCTGTGAATCGTTCTGGTCCAAAATGGAAAGAATTCGTTGGAGACAACGTTAGAAACTGGGAGGCACCGAGAAAACGGAGCGCGTAACCAAGTGCTTAGTTGGCGAGTTTTACGCAAAAGCTTGCTGCTTTTTGTTTTTGTTTTTTTTATCGCACCAAATCTTCCGACGAATGTGGGAATCTTCCCAGATTCCGCACCAAATCTGGGGTAACACATGCACTTATCATTCAAAACACGAATTAATCGAATAGTGCCAGAAGTAGGGTACAACCTTCCGACGAAATTCTCCAACACCGAGCTTTTCCCCGCGCTCTGACCGCCGACCACCGCGATCTGAGGCAGGTCCAGGTTGCAGCTCTGGCCGATGGAGCTGAAGGCGTCCTGGAGCTTGTTGATGAGGGGAATCAGGTCTTCCATTCCCCGGTTGCCCATTGCGGAACCTCGGTGAGCCCTGCGGGCTTGATCCTGCTCTCGCTGGTCAAATAAGAGCCAAAGGGGGTCCCCTCCGGCGGTACAAAAGTTTCCAGATGGCACGCTTTCCTCTCAGAGGAGTTTCCCCTCCGGCTGTTTAACCCGGAACACAACTAATGCAAGTGCCCAGGGGTCCAGACAGCGTTCGGTGCACCGGCCAGCTGGTCAAGCGGCTGACAGCATGATAAGAGGAGCTGCGTTACACCGAAAAGTTCTGTCATCATCCGGTCAGGCGACACCCAGCCTCCGCCGGAGCCTCTGGCTCCACCCCGACGCCCCTCTGGCCGGCCATTGGTCAGCAGGCACGTCCGTCAATGGCCACAACAAACACAAGGCTATTACGAGTTTTCCAAGAGTTTAGTTTTTGGAGTTGAGAGAAGGAAAGTTAGGAAAGTAAGGAAAAAAAACAGACCCAATCTTCTTAACTGGTTGATAAATGATGAGTCCTGTTTTTATTTAGTGTTTTTATTTAGAATTTCATAAAGAAGCATTGCAGAAATAACGTTTACGTGAATTATCTTTAAGTCATGGTAAACTGGTTCTCAAGGCCATTTGAAGATAAATATATTTTTGTGTGCGTCACTCTTAGAATTAGTTTGTTTGTTCAACAGCTTAATGTAATTTTCTGGTTGCAGAAACAAGCAAAAAACTCGTTTTTTCCCTCAGAGTTTGCTACAGGAAGCGTTTGCTCAGCTGGTTTTTATTTTAGATAGTAAATTGGGAGACTTTTTAAATGCGGCCCTGACCAAAATTGGAGAAGCGAAAGTGTCCGCAGGAGGGTGCTGCAAACCAAGGGACAGAAGAGTCCAGCAGAAACGCCCTCAACGAGTCCAGCTGAGACTGACGGTGAAATGCTAAAACTGCAGTTTAAATGAGTGGCTAAAATAAATCAGAAATGCATCTTTAATTAAGACATTGTGCAGTTCAACATGAAAATGAATATGATACACCCACAAAGTTTTTACTAGAATGCAAAGTTCTTAAACTGAAAGATTCGTTTGAATGGATAAATATAGGTGACATTATAAGATTGGGTTTGGGACAGATGCTTCCTGACCATAACAGGCCGGGTATCCACAGTCTGATTATCACTAACTGCTTAACTGGTAAACTGTGTTACCAAAGAGCAAGGCTCTTCGTTTAAGAATGTTATCAAACGGCTTCACTTCTTGATTCACTTCGTGTTATCTTCCCAGCTTGCTTGTCCAACCAAGGCAAACGAAACAGATTTTCTTCAGCTGCTTCCACCCAACTTCTTCCCTTTCTGCCTAAAATCTCTTGTCTGCTTGTTTTGTTTCAGGTTCTTTTTTCATTTTTGGCTAGATATCCACACACTGGATTTTTCCCTCCCTAATGTGCTGACTTTCTCTCCTATTTTTTACTTAATCCGTACACTTTTATCATACAACTCCACTGCAAATGATGTCAAAAACACACATATAAATACACATAATAATGTCAAAAACACAATGACATATAAATACAACAGAAACATCCCTATGCGGCTAAACAAATCAGTGGTCGTCTGGCTTCGTGACTGTAGAGTAGAGAGTTGTCTCTGCAGAACCACCAGAGGCAGAGCACCTATTCTTGTCAGGGCTCGCTTCTCCATCTTTATGGAAATTGACGCTGGCGTAGTGCAGCTGGTCGGCCGGGGGGGGGTTGACGGTGGCGTAGACGGACTGCACCGGGTTAGTTTGCTGTTTCTGCAGCTGGATTTCTTCATAACCGTGATCTCCATTATTTCCCTTGAGTGAGAGGGGGGGGGGGCATTGTGATTGATGTGACATAATGATACGGTATGGAAACATGCAAACACACATACCTCTGTGCTCTGTTCAGCATCAGTCTGCGTGGAAGGTCCCCCTGCAGCACAACAAGCTACGACAAAGAACATTTGAATACATGACAATGGGGAATTGTTTTTGTTTGTTTGCCAGCCTTTACTCTGTAAATTCAATCCCTTAAATTGAATGTGTACAATGATTGTCACGCGATTGATTGGATTTTGCTATAAATTGTCGTCCTCCATCTCTCACCTTGCGTCTTGAAGAGTTTCTGTCTGCACAGTATCAGTAGAATCAAAGCCACGGCCAAGAAAACCAGACCCACAACGACGCCAGCAATGATGCCTGCGAACAAGACACAACAGATGAAAACGCAAAGGTGGAGCGTCCTCACGAATGCTCACAAATGTTGTTGCTCCAAAATTGTGTAGCCATGTTTGTGCCCGGCACAAAGACAGAGTCATGTCACTCTGAAGGCTCAGATGCCGTGGAATGGTGCTCTATACATCGCCTGTTGTATTTTCATGTGATGGGAAGGCAGAAAATGTTGTGTGTTCCACTTGTAACATCACAGATTATTGTGTAATTAACCAACAGCCAGACTGGAGAGATGAACATTTCATCATCACGATGAATGCTTGTGTGAGTTATTAGTCAATATGAGTTAATAATGGAGTTTGAGATGGTGCTGTTATGGTTCAGAGAACATAAGCTACACTAGGTTTATATTTAGTTTTTGATGGCCTAATGCTATTGCTGCTGACATTATGAATTCTTCATCATTCAAACTATCAGCATTGCATCAGAGAGCCACAACCCAAAAAATGCTTACATCTGATTTTGGCAGCACCTTTAAAAACTTTGAAAAAGTTTGTGTTTTCATTGGTTTGTTTACCAGAAGGGTTTTTCTTTTCTTCTTTTTCTTCTTTTTCATCACTGATTTCCTCGCTTTTAAGTGGGTTTTCGGAGAGGGTTTCCTCTGTATTGTCGCTTCTGTCAGCTGTGGTAGAGTCACCGGCCAAAAAGAGACACAGACATCAAGCAGAAGGGATATTACAACTAGTAAAAACCCACCCACACATATGTTTCGGCTCACCGAAACACACATTTTCACACCCTCCTCACTTCAGCTTCTGCGCCCACTGTTATTTACACGCTCATCGTATGTTTAATGTCTTGAAAATGTCAGGACAGGAAAAGGTACCTATGGGCGCTCCGAATTTAGCAACAACAACATGAAAAACATACATATTTAAATGAAGCAATCATTTACCGGCCATTATTTGGATTTGGAAACCAGAGAGAGAGAGAGGAAGACAGATCATCAGGAAAACGGATTAACTGAAATAGCTTTGTTTTGCATCTATATTCGATTTAAAAATAAACTCTCTAAAACTGATACACGTTTTCAACTTAGTCAGTTTAAACTAATATTCTAGCTTTGCTATTTGTTTAAAATGACAACAAAAAAGGAGATGATACAGCTAATGACAAATTGTGTGATTCACAGTCAGAGTAAGCATTGTTTGTTCCTCTGTTATTGTGTGTCAGTGTACTCACCCACAGAAAGATGGAATTTGGTGTATTCGCTGTCTCCAGAGACGCACCAGTACGTCCCAGAGTCTTCTCTGTTCAGGTCTTTGATGTACACATAGAAGTGCTTTAACCTTTTGTTTACTCTCAAAGTAAACCTTCCGTCGTTTACATTGTTGCTCTCTTGATTTGTACAGATTAACTCCTGGCAGTTGAAAGGATTATCCCCTTTGCACAGGAATTTCTTGCTTTCCGTGAGCATTTCGGGGTATTTACATTCAATTTTTGCTGTCCCCGGGGGATCGGGAGTTATTGTTGTGGGTTCCATGTCATCCCAGTCTGAAAAAAAAAGAAACAGATCTAAACTAAGCTTGTTTGGTCTCTGTTAAAAACACCTTTGTTGCACTGATCACGGCAGAATAATTTAAATTCACTTCAAATAAGAGCTTACTCAGAATACGGAGATGGATTTCACTCAGGCATGTGGGGGGATCGTCGATACCTCTTACCATGGCACACCAGTATATTCCATCATCTTCCTGAGTCAGGGTGGAGATGGTCACGCTGTAGGCTCTTTTTTGTTTGTCGTCTGTGAGAGAAAGCCTACCTTCATTTGTCATTTTTTCAGCGGGAGATGATATAACCTTTTCACAGCTAATGTTTCTGTTGTTTCTGCAGAAGTATCTGGTGCTGGATTCTTCCTCTAATGCATATTTGCAGTTGATGGTTACTGAGCCTCCAATAGACGCAGTCCGTTCAATGAGTGCTTCACCTGGAATAGAGACGGACATGAAAGGATGGATCGTTTTCTCTCAGGAGGTAAGTTTTTTTTTTCCTTGGTAAATTGTAAAATAGTTTGCATGGGAATTAAATGAAAATGTCAGGGCCTATTATAATTCAGACGATGCATCCTTATAAATAGATCATTTCTGAGCATGTTTTTAAGATGAAGTTGATCAATACCAGTTGCCCGTTGTTAAGTTAGCTGCATAGCTAGAACAAAATAGTAGCAGCAAATGAGAGATATTTGCAAATGAATCTGTCAGATGAATGTACATGAAAGTACAGTGATGTCAGAAAAACTAAAAGCAAAAGGGCAGAGGTATGCTCAGAAAACTGCAAAAACTACAGGCTATTGCTTTAAAAAACAGTTGTTACTCTTAATTCTGACAAAAACTAGTTCGTTTTACACACCTGCATTAACAGAAAGACTTGTTGCTCTGTTGTACTTACAGTTATTGCTAAGAGGCACTCCTTCTTTTCCTTTCACCGTATGTAAAGCTGCACAAACTGAAAAAGTCAAGAAAATAATTTCAGTAAAACCTAGTCTAAACACTTTTATTTTCTCACCAAAGACAAAAGAGTGGAGTTACCTGTCAACAAGCAGATGGTGACTCTGAATAACATCCTCATTGTGAAACAAGTGACTCGACCTGTCTTCAAGGAGTCAGAACTTTGCAACTACTTCTGTCCAACTACGAATCCTGCCAACTTCTTCTTTATGGCTCATTACTTAAAATATTTGCATTAAAAAGAGGAAGTACAATCTCAAAAAATGAGAGAGAACAGGGGAAGAGAAACATGAGTTCTGACTGATATCCAGAGCAAATCATCCACCAGCCACATCTCCTCATCTCTTCATTTGTTTAGAGCGAAACGCAGCTAAACTTTGATGAACAATGTCCACAGTGTCTGTCTTATCCTTGGATCAAATTAATCATAATGTAATCTATTTGTGTCCAGGTGGCAGGTATTATTAGTATACCCGTGATGTCATCAGATGTAATTGTGTCTTATCCAGAGGGAAGACTGGAATATTCTAAACTCAGAGCCAAAACGTGTTGTGAGTGTCAGTCTAGCCTTTTTCTTACTGAAATTCAAATGAGAGAGAATATATTTTTCACATTATTATTTTTACAATCAATATGTGATGGTAATAGTAACTAAACCACCTATTTAGCTGAGGAAGATGTAGTACATCCAAGTGAGTTGTACTTATAAAACTAAAACTAAAAAAGAACAATTTACTAAGCTTATAACTTCAATTTTCAGAGTCCACTTGACTAAGCGGTGAAGGATAGGGTTAGCGGTTAGGATTTATAAACCAGCCTATTGATCACTCCCAGTGAAAGGTCTCCATTGATAAGTTTAGATAATCCGGACGATTTAAAGATACCATTGATACACTGAGCCTGCTTCATGGTACAGGACCCATGTCCTGAAGAAGAGCACAGTGTTCGAGCTGTGGGTCAAAGGTCACCATGAGTTCCTAAGGAATTGAAAAGGCTCTTTTTTTTTTTACATGGAACAACAAAAGATCATCTGAAACTGTTAGCAATGCCTTTTCTGTGCTGTGGCGAGCCCTAAAGCCTGCTTGCGATTTCTTCGAGATGTTCTTATTTAAGAACCCCGAGAGTGAACATTTTTCCCGAGTATTTGTCGGTGCACGCAGCATCTCTCCTGTCACATGAACTGCTGATGACTAAAAGGGTAAATGGTTATTTAACAGGGGAAGACCAGTTTAGAGCTAAGTCCTTCTTCAAAGAGCCGTCCTGTCTCACCCAGGCCTCAGAGCACCGGAGCCAATCCGAAATGGATGGGATCAGCTCACCATAGCAACCAAGATAATGCAGGCATTCGAATGACATTCCTCCAACTATTATAAACTTCCCTTTGCTTTTAGAGACATCTCTGTTGGAAATCCACTTTGAGAATTTATGGAGCATCTTTCAAAAACTTCTGAAAAAATTAAATGTTACTGAACACACACACAAGCAACTTTTGAAGCCCACACAAAAAAAGTTACACACATGGGAATTCAGTTTATTCGTACAGCAATATAAACATAGCAACCAGTAAAAAAATAATAAAAAAATTGAGTTACAGTGTAATGGGTCCAAAGCTACTCCCAGCTGAGGCCATGGGGGGAAAAAAAAAGCTACAGTCCCATGTGACTGACATGACACAAGAGGCTGTTGTGGGTTAGAATGTTTACTCAACAGATTATTCCACGCTTCATGAGTGATTTTAACTTTACTGGGGGACAAAAAGTCAAACACACCCTTAAACATAAACACAACCCCTTACAAATTAAAGACCCAAATCTAATCTAATTCAGATATGATTGTCAGATTTCTTGCATCATGGTGATGAATAAGCCTCGTTGTCAGCCCTGAAGAAAGTACTGAGCATTTATTCATGGATTGCGGATTCGTCATGGTCCTAATTACTTAATACTCGCTCGTGCTCTGCATCTGTTACCCAAAGATTCCAACAAACACTGTCCCTATTTGTCTAAGTCTTCTTTTTTTATTATACGCCGAGAAAAAAAAAACACACATCTGAGCAGATAGTTTTCACAGGCGGATTTGACTTTTTCGTCAAGCTTGTTTTCAAAACTCTCTGGCCGACCTCCCAAACCTGCATCGAAAAACAGTAGGCGTAAAACACACGTAAGGCGAGCCCTTTCGAATGCTCGGGGGAAGTTGTTTTTTTTTTCCACAGAGCTACATTAAACCTGCGCTAATTGGTCCCAGGAGATGAGCGATGGCCACCGCGCTCAGAGGTTGCTGTAGACGGTGGACGTGTGCCTCAGAGCGGAATACGTGGCTGTTTTTGCTTGAGCTGGGACGGCGGCAGAGTCTGAGCCGTTAATGAAGCTGATGGTTGAGTAGAAGACGTCTCCTGGCCCAGAGGAAGGCTCAGATGTGATGGTGGAGTCAACTATTCCTGGCTGAGCCTCGGTGTGGTTTCGGTGCTGAACGGAGCTATCCTGGGATAGTGTTTGATGGACTGGGCCTTTCTCCTTTCCTGAGTAGAGAGCGATGCAGTTTGGAAAGAGTTAAATCTCAGCTACTTTTTCGAGGGATTTCAAAAACCAACAGAGAAGATGTCCTCCTCTGTTTCACCAAAAGAATTGAGTGGCAATCAGTATACGGTATATATAAAATGCAATAAGCTGTTGCCCATTAAGTCCATTTTAGTCAAACAAGTCAAAGTACAAAGTAAAAAAAATGCATCAGCGCTTGCTAGTTAAGCTTATTCACATTTTCCGAAACCACATTTGCCTTTGGAAACTTCTGTGCGTTTAAAATATCTGTTGTACTTTCAGACTGGAAGAAAAGTTGGGGTTTCTATGCAGCGTTTGAGTACAGCACAGACATAGTGACCGTAGTGACCACGTCTTCCTCCTTGAAGCTGTACTGAGTGATGTGGCATTAAATGTGTGTGGAAAGTAGAACTCTGGTCAATAGCCTTTGGTTAGCAGGCAGAAACCATGTCTCCCAGCCCCAGCTGGGGGAACCCAGTCTGTCAACTTTCAAGCCTAAACTTAAAACTTTCCTAAACTCCATTGAGTTTAAGTATGTGATGTGATATTGTGCTTTATCTTTATTTTTACAGGCATCGGAGTTTTAATTACCGGGCACTATCCACTGTCCATTTGTTGTTGCTGTGTCTCCATTTGTTTATATTTTTTCCCAACAAGCCAACTTTCTTTTGAGTCGGACTCAATGTTTCTCTTCACACACATGGAATTTTTCCATGAAATGGAGTAAGTTTGAATATTTTTCAATATTTTGCTGTTTATACCAGATGATGTGCTGGTGTCTCTTCTTGTTTGTCTGAAGAAGATCAAAAGGGCTGTCGCCAAAGACAGAACAACCACACCAAGCCCCGCTCCAATGTACACCGATCTCCCTGCAAATGAAAAGGACAACCATCAATAGTCAGTGACGATATATTTGCTGGATTTTAGCCTCGGCCCGCTAAAACAAAAAGTTGCTTACATGAAAAAGATCCGCCTGGGATGCTGTGAATCCACGAGTTTCCTGGAAGACAACAAAATGTAGTCTTATTTTGTTTTCTTTTGCCCCTCTATTTAATCTGTTTTAACTATTTTATTTAATTATTATTTATTAATTACCTGTAACTAGATTCTGTATATATATATAACAAGCCAACTTTCAATATATAATAATACATATTGAAAGTTATATATATATATAACAATATAATATATATATTATATAATATTATATATTAATTATATATAATATACTATCATTAATGTGTTTTAGCAGAACTATTATAAGTCCAGTAAAAAAAAAAAAAAACTTTTTAAACACAGACTTTTGTCCTAATGAGGAAGAGAAACCCAAAAGCTATAGGTAATTAAACTTACCTCTCACCACTGTGAGCGTTATTTTGCTGTATGTGTCAACGCCAACTCTTTCTATCCCACACCAGTAATCTCCAGAGTCGTCCATGTCCAGAGCAGAAATCGTCACATTGAAAACGTTCCCTCCATCTTTTATTTTGTATTTCTTGTGGGAGTGTTGGTCCGACCCTGTGCTTTTTATCAGGACGTCTTCACTACTGCACGGAGCTTTGCAAAAATACTTGACGTTGGAGAAGGCATTGGAATGGGAGCATTGTATTGTGACCGAGTGTCCCTCCTCTCCCGTCACTGACCGGGCATCGGCCTCCCAAAACCCTAAACAGTGACCAATAAAAAGGTAACACAGAGAAGTGAGTATTTTTTATAGAAACTGTTGCTTGATAAATGTAAAGGCTTAGTTTGGAGGTTTGGTTTAAAACATCTACCAACAAAAAAAACTCAATAAAAAAAATCAAAGAAGAAATGAATAAGGATAAAAGACTGAATCTGTGTGAACTTACCCACCAGTAGAAAGAACATAAAAACCCAACACATCTCCAAATTTTTCATGTGTGCTCGTCGCTTTCTCTTAGTGGTGGCAAGTCCTTACCACTTAAGTTTGGTTCCTCTTTGTTATTGTACTTCCTGTGTCTGATCAGTTTCCTCTAAAAAGTGCTAAATGTCCCTCCTTTTTGTCTCACAAGGTCAGCAAAAAAGTAACACGTGAGCAGCTCCAGAAACAACCGCTTTGTTTATTTCGTCAAATATTTCAGACAGAGACATTCGACATCTTGAAAAATGCTTTTTTTCCTGGATTTAGACAAATCTCACAGTTTGAGACGAGAATTTGAGATGTAATCTATCGTGTAACCTACGTAAGAATCTTTCTGAGCTCATGCGTAGAAAATGCAGATAGCAACTTCCCAGATACAAACCGTTTCTCGAAAAACATTCTTTGCTGTAGATATTGGAAAGTTTAAAATAGCTTAAAGGAGAAATGAACTGCTTAAACTATCGACTTTTGTGATCATTAAACTGGCTTTAAAGTTATTCTACATGCCTTTACCACATTTAACGCCTTTATACAGCATCAGACTCTGAAAAGGAAGACACGCAGATGGTGTATAACAGGGATGTCTATTTAAACATGTTGCATGTTATTTCCTCTCTCGGTGGGGTGAAAGTCATGTGACAGGTTCGATTTTAGTGCGGAGGTTTCCATAGAGGCCGTGATAGATGTGATCTTCCAGCTGGCTGAGTTCCAAATGTTGATACAGGCTCCTTCGCCCTCTTGTATCCACGTCGACGTAGTCACCGAGGCCGAGAGAGATTGCAGATTCACGATATTTCGATTCAAACGGGGGCCGGAAGTCGGTCTGTGCAGGTGGTGAAACTGAAAGATCCCGGCAGTCGGATTTAAGCACCGACAGCACACCTCAGTTTGAGATTTTACTCCGGGCACCATTGTCTCATATTCAGATGATGCCTGTTGGGAGGACAGATCAGAGATGAAACTTCAGACACACACTCACATCATGTCTGGAAGATGATGTCATTTTTCACGAGGCAGCTATTTTTTAACTAGCATCAAAGGTCTCGGCAGAGCTGTTCTACTTTCAGCCTCCAAACATTATCGGACATAGAAATACTCAGAATGGTGTCCACTTTTGGATGAGTGACTTTGAGAGCCGTGTACTGGCCGGTTCTTCTGCTGCCAGTGTTACTGGGAGCAGCCGGTCACATGGACACACCTGTGTTTTCTGTCGTCTTTTGCGCTTCACAGCCAGCAGGAGACAGCACGAGAAGAGACACACAAACATCAAGGCTGCTAAACAGGACGCAGCAGCCAGGATCAGCTGATGGGAGAGAGCTGCAGAAGAGACCAAAAAACTGGGGTTTATCTCCAAGATTCCAACAGAGAAAAGAATGAGATATTTCTCAAAGAGGGGACTTTTTCAGTGAGGGGGGCATTTCTCATTATTGGGGAGTGATGGGGCTAATCAAACCGGAGGCCCCCCACCCCAGTGGCTACTCGGCAGACCAAAGAAATGGGCGTGTCTGTCCAACATGTGCTCAACATGTGACCCTGTCAGTGAGAGACAAAACCACAGGGTCACCCAGAGGAGGAAGTGGATGAGCAGTGACTCAGTATTCATGTCAACCTAAGCTGTGTGACAGACAGCTACCTGAAATACCAGCAAGCTCTTCACTTATTTAAATGTAGTTTCACTTTGCGGTTGTGCAAATTTGTGGTAACACGACTATTAATAATTTGTCAATTCAAATCTGTCTTGATCGCCAGCGGAAAGAAAAAGGAAAGAAATTACTCTTGTTGTGCAACTGTGAGATAATCAAAGACAAACTTCGTTTTTTTATCGCAATTTTCTTTTCTTTTTGGAGGAACATTACAGTGATGTCACTGCAAAGATTAACTTTAACTGGACTCATGGATGTCCAGTGAATGGAAAAGTCCCGGTCTTATCGATGAAGTCCAGTTAACCTCAGCAGACACACAGGACTGCTGGTAAAAACCCACAAAGAGACACACACATGACTTACTGTGTACTGTCTGTTCCCCGGTCAGTTCAGATACTTCATTAGCTGAAAAAAGGTTGGAAAAGATTATTTTGTATTTCGAAGACAAAACATAACAAATTTAACTTGAACCAATTATTTTCCTTCTTTGTACGTTTTAACTTTAAGTTTGCATTTTGTGTTTTCTCAGTGGTTTGCAAAGGGCGGCGTCCTCTGTTTGAAACATTAAACTGACACTTTTTCCATTTGTACTGGAAAGTTGATCCACTATCAAGATTAGCTGAATTCTGCATAATTCTTCAATTTACTTGTCATAACACATTCGGTATTGCTTGAAATGATATAATAGGTCTGTTATCTCTCAGTGTAACATAAAAACACTTTTGGTTTGGCTCCAGAGGAATAGAAACTTCATAAAAGCAGATCTTTGAATAAAGTAACACCACTTCACAAGCCAGTTCTCATTTATGTTCTGTGTGATGATTTAAAAAAAATAAATGTTTTACCCAATTTCACAAAGGATATAAAGTTACGCTACTGTGAGATAAGGGGAAAAAAAGCCTATTTCCCATCACATGCCTGAGTAAAATCAGCAGAGCCCCGTGGCCTGGTGTGCGCGTGCCCGCTTTACCTGGGGAAACATTCAGCTGCACCTCACTGATGACATCAGGGAGCAGGCTGACGTCGACCCCGCACCAGTACGTCCCGCTGTCGCCTGAACTGACTTTGTCCACCCTGACGATGAAGAAGGCCCCCGTGGTGTTGTCGTACATGGAGAAGCGCCCCGTGTTCTTCCACTCGTCGTGTTTTTCCGTCCGGATCAGGTGGCTGGAGGGCTCGTTGTCATCCACGCGGTAGAAGTACTTGGCGTTCTTCTCTCGGCCCCTTGGGTATTCGCATATGAAGTCAAACGTCTGACCCTCCAGGCCCGAAAGCGCTTGGGTTTTGACGCTGTTCAGAGCTGTCGGTCAGAGGTGGTGTCAGCTAAGGCATTTTGCAATCAGTTCAAATTAATAGCCAATTTACAAGCCATTCATCAAATGTCGTCTTTACAACAAATAAGTGAACATCTGGTTGGATAAGCTCACCTTGGATTTGCATTAAAGCAATGATGATAGTCAGAGATGTGCTCCATGAGATCCAGGTTTTTCCAGTTTCCGTAATTTTGGTTCTCGTCCCCATAGTTTGGTTCTCCTCCAGCCACACTAGGCAGCAACACATTCTAGACTGAGGTTAGTTACAGGTGCTTTCATGGCTATATGCTTAAACTTCTTCTTCCTCTTTCAATTAAAACACATCCACACATAATGCTCCACCTATGAAAGTGAAATCATGGCTGCTCATGAGAAATTAAAAAAGGCTTTTAATGAGCTGCTTTTATTCATATTGGGAAAGCATTTGCATGAAAACATCTTTGGCCTCATTTAAGAGAATATTTTGTTCCTTAACAGTAATTTCGTTGTCTTAAATTGTAGATTCTGTCCTTCAAGACCTTGACATGTCTTTTATTTTAATGATTAACCATATAATGCTAAGCCCTTTGGGATCTATACTGGATTTTCCACAATTTATAGCTCTACCGGGATTATTGTTGTTGATTATTGGGATTATAAAAATGATGAACGTTCTTCATTGTAAATCTTGCTGCTCATGAACGTGAATGCTTTGAATTGTTCTCATCAGACACTGAGAAAGTTCCCTAATTTCAGACTTTCAGTGTCCTGTTCCAGTATTAGTTATATATATGTCATGTTTTCTTTTTACAGGTGACATCTCAACCATTACTACGGATTCTTCATCTAGCTCCAAGTAAATTTAGGAGGAAAAAATGTAATCTGTAATGAATAAGCAGAGACATGTTCTAACATTTTAGATGACTAAATTCCTTGCTCTAACATTTGTGAAAACAAGAACATAAAACAAGTCAATATGAAACAAATACACACACACACAAATAGCAAATACATTAACTTTAATCAGTGAAAATTCAAGTTGGTAAAGGTAATCAAACAACTTATAAACCGACTTAATGGTCGACTTCAAGACGAATCCAGCACGAATCCCAAAACTGCATATGTGTGTGATTTTACAGGAAAGGTAGCTGGAGATGCACACTGTAGACGGAGAACATTTAATATTTTAAGCATTGTGTGTGTCAGTGAAAGTGAAACCCACCACAGTAAAAAAAAAAAAAGAAGTGCTGCTTGTTAACTTAGATGGAAATGTTGTTCTCTGTCCATAAATTTGTACTGGGACTCCAGAAAGATGCTTCAATGAATAATCTGTTATTAAAAAAAAAAAGACAAAGTCAGTAGTTCAAAACAAATCCATACTATCCAGGTCCTGTATGCAGCCCTTCAGGGCTGCCTGAACTGTCCAGCAACACTAAAGAGGGACCCGACCACCTTGTGCTGTGCTACAATCGTACAAATATGCGCTCTAGCAAAAGCCAGTGAGGCACAGCTCTCCACTGTGTCTCATTGCGGTGAGCTGTACTGAATGCATGGCTGCACAGTCGTGGGTACACCACAAATGCCCCAGAAAGCTACTGTACTGCTTGGCATTTCATAATGATACGGTCAACTTGACGTAAAACCAAAACAAAAAAAAGAGAGATGATTACATACGAATCAAAATAGTGAAAAACCCCAGCTTTTACTGCATTTACTGCAGTTTACAATTGTGCCAGGAAATAAACAAAAAAACAATAGTGTTCCCTGTAATGAACAAGGAAAATAGAATGATGATTCGACTGAAGCACTTATTTCGCTCACCTGCCAGCAGGTGGAGAAACGCATAGGCATTTCCGTTGCACTGAGCATTGATACATTGTAGGCTTAACAAAAGTGGCATTCTATCTAACATACGTTATGAACAATTACACTGTAATAGCTCTGACGTTACTGTTATTCCACAGAAGGATGCCAGGCAAACTAAACACAGACTCTCTTCCAACCTTACATGAGCTGGATAAATGCCTGGGACATAGTTACAATTCAACATGGTGTATGACCAACATATGCAAAGTTGGCCATCAATGTCCCTCAAAAGAAAATAATCTTTGAAATCAGCTCTGATTTCTGGACAGTTCAAAGGAATTTCATGCTTCTTTGCTTCTGTTATCGCTTCCTCTTTTGGACGCTACAAAAGGCAAAGGATTGATGTAGATTCTAGATGTGATAACATGGTCACTGTGCTGATGATTTGATGGTAAATATGGGGAATGTGCAGAGCCTTTGAGAGGAGGGAGGTTTTCATATGTGGGAAAAGCCAGACTGGGTTCAGTTCCGGCTGAAGCGGACACTTGTGGATCCTGTCTTCGGAGAGTGTCACCACCTGAGATTTTGGCAACACATCGTACCTTCTTATCATCATACTGATGTTCGACCTGTTGCAAAGAAGGAGAAAAAAATGCATGTGTGTTAACGTATTGCTAAGCTTTATTTTGTATTCAATCTTTACAGTAAAATATCAATTTCAATTTATCATCTACAGTTCTACTTGTTGGCTATTTTATGGGATTATTCTTGACAGTCATTCATTATATGAAAGACTAACTTTCCTGTTAGTTAAATTCAATGGAGTTGCTTAAATAAACCATTTTTGTTTGTTCAAGTGGTCGGATGGAAACATCAAGTGAAATTAATCAACTTGTTTGAGTGAAAAGAACAAAGAATGACTGTTGTGAGGTAGAATTTATTGTAATATATCAAGTACTTTTTCTAAAATTTGCACATGGTCTACCATTGTATGGTTATAAGGGGGGGGGGGGGGCAAATACAGATGTATGGGGAAGTGGTCTTTGATGAGTCTGGTTTAGATTTAGCAGCATTATGTGCCTTAAGGGGACAAGGTTCAGCAGAACATACTGACTGACCGGATCTTTGCGAGGCTTAGTTGTGTATGAAACAGACCCTGAATCTTTGCTCAAGTGTACTAAAGTGACCCAAAATGGATCAGCCTATGAGCATTTAAATATGTTAGTGACCGGTATGTCCACACTGTGTCAGAGTGTCTTTGCAGCATTCTGCAGGTACAACTTCTACAAAAGGAGAAATACCAGAACTGACTGCTATTTCTTCCAAAATGCCAGCGTGCATCACATATCAAGCAGTGAGAAGTGTTGTGGTTTCATAAGAAAAGGCCTCTTCACTGGGTACACTTTTGAAACCATATCAGGTTGATCTAAAGTCGCTTCGGACAAAGTGACATACCTCCATCTCAAGCGCACTGCTCGGGTTTCTGCTGCAGCATTTCCTGAAGCACACCGCCGTTATCAAGATTGTGACGATGGCAATGGTCCCAAAAGTAGCACACGACATGATGCCTGTGTAAGCAATAAGACACGCAGGATTTTGGATGGTAGTCGGACTGCAGCTGTAAAAGAAGAGACCAAACAGAGACTCACCCATGCTGATGTCCTCATCTCCATCAGGCATGGAGGTTGTTTCTGAAAGAGAAGACAGAACATAAGATGGCGTCTATTCATTTTTAATCTTGGGTTTTAATTCATTGCTTGCTTGGTGTCTACCTGTTGAGACGTTTTCCAGCTTTACAGTTTTTGTTCCAGTAGTCAGTGTTGTTTGATTGGAAAGGTTCTGATATGTCCATGATGAAGAAACAACTGGTTCAAGAGTCGCAGCTGCTGCAACAAAGGCAGATCTCAGATTATTGACATATTTTCATCAATTAACAGTTAGATATGTTGTAAAATGTAATCAAAATAGGTTTATATAGGCATACACCATTCACACACACACATACATGTATGTAAATATGTAAATAAACATAATTATAAGTATAGATATGTATGTATGTTTATCCTGAAAAATCCTATTCCATGTCCTTTCAGTTTTTAATGTCAGTGGAACATTTTCTTCAGAAAAGCTCTTTTGATGTGCATGACAAAGCATTTAATGCTGTTTGATTTCGAGCTGTACTTTACAGCTTTTGTGGTGGTAAACCGCACATATTTGTTCTTGCTTTTGCTTTTTTTTGTAAACACTCCATAATGATATTTTGAACCTTAATTTGTATCTACAATTTCCCTTTTGTGAGCGACAAAAAAAGTCCTGAGAATTTTCAATGCCAACTTAGTCCGAGGCCAGATTACCTAAAAGCCGTGGGCCTGAAATACCATATCCTTTGACTATTCTGTTTCATACCTTCAATACATTTGATTTACCTAAATAAACACAGAATGCCATTCTTTATTGATTTAGACTAGATTTAGTTTCATGGGAGATTCAAGCAATTTACATCTGAAATATTAAACGGTAAATATGAAGAATTTGTGTATTCATTATGGATTTGCCTCCACTGAGTGAATGTGTGTTAATACACATAGGTAAGCAGATGTTCAAGGTGGCAACATGAAGCACATACCTTTGTGTACAGTGAGGAGGACTGATGTATAGGTGTCTAGACCGAGTCTTTGCACTGCACAATTGTATAGCCGGGAGTCTGACAGCTGGAGGTCCCTGAACATCACAGTGAAAGCTCCGTGCCCAGAGTCCACCAGAGTAATCCTTCCTGACGCTGCCATCCCACCGGCTGTCACAGTTAGCAGAGTGTCTTCTTCACTTGTACACGGATCGTAGCAGAGGTACTTGTTGTTATTATGTGCCAGTCTGTGAGAGCACACGAACGAAACCTCGCCGCCTTCATCTCCTTCGACGCTGATCTCAGCGCTCTCTGTCAATACAGCTGTCCAGATTTCGTCAGGTTATCAGATAATCACCTTATTCAAAAATGTCAATTTAAATAAGCTTGAATGTTCCATTTTAAATGAGTCTTACCGTACAAAAAACAGCAGAAGAAAGAAACGGTCTTCATTTTTGGCCTGAGAAGTTATCGCCAGTGGACCTTGGTGGTTCTTTCTTATCTGGTCTGGCCTCTACAAGAGCTACGCTCTGAGCTGTGAAACCCAACAAGTCAATCCTTCCTTCTGCATAAGTCAAATGAGATTACATCTATACATTCACTCAATACTTCAACCAGGCCTTTGTGGTTTTGACTCTTTTGAAAGAGCGTAGGAGTTTGAAACGCCTCTTCAGAAGTGAGAAAAACAATGTCTCCTGCATGCCTATGCGCAGTTTCAGATCATAGTCGTCGTGTCAAGTTCCAAATTTTCCCATTAAGTTGAATATAAACAAAACAGGAATTGGTTTTATAGTGTTTCACTTGGATGTGGAAACAATACTTTACACTTTTAGAGGGAAATGTTCACAGTAACTTAAAATAAAAACACGTTTCAGTCTGGAACATGAGCTTATAAGTGCAGACAGTGTTCAATTGTTTCATTGTGTGATACATGCGTATTTTCGCTCAGTTCATTTTATGGCGATAAAATGACAGAACATGACGCTAATCGGAGAACTTCATCTGAGTTTGACTGAATCTGTCCTATTAAATATGGATAGGCAAACCAATTACCCAGTCATACTGAAACGGTGACTTTATGAGCCCATTACGTTTTTAGAAGCATTTGTGTGGGTTTATTACACATCTCTGAATACCTAAAAATAGGCAATGTGTGAAATCCTTTGTAAAAACACGTAAGGACATCTGATCACTAAAATCAATTGACTTACACCAAATCAAGATTTTATTTATGCTGTTGTGTCTGTTTTTAATCACATGAATTATGCAGGCGCTAGATTTACCACAGGCCACATCCTGAGACATGCTTAGTTTATTTTTTTTCTCTAATGCGTTTATGAAAACAGTGTACATATGGAGAGAAGGGTCACTTATTCCCTGACTGCAATGATATGTGATAAGAAGGAAGACTTGCTGACTATCAGAAAAAGTGTTTGCATTGCCCTCTGCAGGGGCCTTGGAAACACTGCTGTTGAATTTTGTGAGGTGAAACAACACAAATGCAAGATACGGTTAATTTAATTCATTTTAATGTATCAATTCGTTTTACCTTTAAATTGCTATCTTCCCAGTCAAACAAACACAACGGAAACGCAGTCACACAGAATTAGATTCAACTAATTGTCCTTTATTTGATTGAAACAAGACAATGGGATTTGCTGTTAAAAGCTTTAAAAAAAAAAAAAAACACTAATGGTCCAGGTTTTTGGGATCTAGTGCCTCGTAGACGGCAGCATACTGGATATTGTCGTCAGTGCTGGTTTCTGGATTAACATCGGGCTCCAGAGACTGAAGTCCCACAGCAGTCTGCGCCGACTCATTTTCTGCATTTTCCTCCCCCTGTGAATGACTTACAATTATGATTCATTTAATTTGTCATCAGATGACAGATACATAAACCAACAGCATTTGTACTTATACTTCACCTCAGGTTTGTTTCCTGTCGTGCTGTTCTGACCTAAACCAAACAAGTCACACAGTTTAACCAGATGTTCATGCAGACTGTTCGGCTTTAAAGTTTTAAGGAATGCACCTCACCTTCATGACTTCGCCAGTGTCTGTAGAATATTAGAGGGATGAAGGCACAAACCAGAAAGGCCATGCTTCCTGAGACAAGAATGACCACTGTGGTGTCTGCAAACAAGCAAAACACTTTTAAAGGAACTGGTCCACCACTTTGTGGCATGGGGAGGGGGCAGTCATCTTTTTTCAATCATGGGAAACAAAAAAAATAATCGATTATGAAAGAGGAGAACTACATTTTCATTTGTAAAGGAAAGGTGGAAGACTGCTGGACATTTTCTCACGAACACCGATTATTATATGTAATCTGTCTGTGCTTATTGTGATATCACTTCATCGTTTTCCCATAGCCTGATGTTTTTTTTAGCTCAAAACATGAAAAATGCGTTCCTTTCATCATCCTGCGGCATTAAATTTAGAAAATCCACGAGACGACGGGAAAAAGGTTTAATGTCTTTGAGAGGGTTCAAAATGTTATTATGAGACTTACTATTTCTGTCAAGATGAGATAAGTCATATTAAAGCTCGTTATGGGGGTCACATGGCACGGAATACCTGTGAGGCGGGTTACATTTTTCTGGGTTTTATTCTTCTTAAAAGGGGGCAGAACGGACGGCGTTGGTAACAGTTCAGGACCGAGTGAAAAGCTCCCTTGGGATGGAGCTGCCTCTTCTCTCTGCAGGGTCATATTAATGGATGGATGATATCCAGGGGAAACAGTGGAAGCTTTGAGAAAACAGAGGAGAATATGACCGGAAGGGCAAATTTGCGTGTATATGCATGCTCATATGACATTGTTGCTGTCTCTCTGTATAAACAAATGGGGGGGAAAAAAAATCACAAGATGTTGCTTAAAGTTCATACAAAACTGACAATTCAAGAGCTGAACAACGGCTTTATGTCTCAGTCCAAACTTTGATCATCTTCATATGGTTAATATTGTCTAGACTCAGTTGATTTTACATGACAAAGGTTTTTCCCTCGTTTAACACTGATACTATTCAGATATAGATACAGACAACATGACAGCAGTTTTTACATATACATATAAAATATTTAAAGATTTAATGCCTTAAAGACTTATTGCCTTGATATATTTTTTTGCAAGAATTGAGCCACTCCAAAATAAAAAGTGAACCAAGAACCTCACTTAGATCTAGATTTGCACATTTGACCAGCGACTCACCATCCAGGACTTTGAGATTGACCTCCTGGTTCGATGCGTTCAAGGTTCTGTCAACTTCACAGTAATATGTCCCGGCGTCCGCCATCCTCAGCCTCCTGATGGTCACGGTTACCCCGTCTCCCCTGTCGTCCCCCACGCTGTATCTCCCCCGCCGGGTCACAGCCGGCCCCCTCATCTCAGTTCGAATGAGGGTGCTCTTCCTGGAGCAGACTCCCCGGCAGAAGCACGCTCGGCCGGGGCCCGAGCCGCCGTCCGCGGTCCAGTTTCCAAAACAGGGGATGGAGACCTCTCCACCAACATGGCCGCTCACCTCCAGCATGGCCGAGGCCTCCACGCACACCACTTGTGGATGAAACAAAGATCATTTTCTCTAAGCGATACCCTAACGAGTCTCTTTTCAGTACTGAGCATCTGTCTGTAATTCCCCCGTGACGTTTGTTCTGCGTTTTTTTCTTGGAAAGTTGTTGACATCGTACAAATCTGAGGTTTGATTGTCCACTTTCATACCAAACAAAGTTTTGCATTGCAGGAGACGTCAATAAATTGTCAAAATGAGGCAGAAAAAAGCAAACGAGCAGTTTAAACGCTCAGAGGAGCTCAGAATAATCTTAAGTGTCATTGTCATTTCAGCCATGTTATTTCTAAAAATTAAGGGAGTAAATTAAGAAATTCTTATTCCACATTTTACTCATTTAAACTGTATCTCGCAGTCTTCAGCCTCTTCTTCCACACGTTAACAGGCGCCTCCTTTGCGGATACGTGGCCTTCATTTGAACTCCTGCCGTCAGACAGTTTAATGTGTGTTTTTTATGGGTGCGTGTCTGAGTAGAAAAAAAAATACGCAGATAAGAAAAAGCGTTTACAGGGGGGGGGGGCCCCCCCCCCCCCCCCCCCCCCCCCCCCTCCAGTGGGTGTGGAAAACGGAAGGATGGAAAAGGTCTTTGCATTCAAAAGCTGTGAGTTCCAGTCAAGCCGGGGTATGTATTCATCTCTGCTTCTTTCTTTTGGTTTCAGTGTTGAATAAGTGTTACACGGTGACATCTGCGACACCTTTAACCACCAGATTCAGACAAGTTTATTGCAATGTAGAGGCAATATTATGATGCATTTCAGACAGCAGAGTGTGTGATGGTGTGGAGGCAGAGGCCAGGAACCAAATCTCAATCACGTCATTTAGACAAATATCTATATGACTCTGTATCATTTGGACATAATATTGGTAATTTAGCTGTCCTAAGTGAGGATTTTATCAGATATTAAGGACTTCCCAGGTCACCTTAAAGAGAATGAAATGGCTTTACAAAAAACCGACAGAAACAGAGGACAACAGCTCTCTGGATTCCCTCAGACTATCAGTCACGATCATCTCAGTTGGACTTTCGAGGCAGCGATGTGAGGTTAGAGGGGGAGGACTTGTTTTGGAAAAAAGAAAATGTGCACAAACATGCGAGGACATTCCTGCTCATCAGCAAAAGTTACACATAACTAATAGGACATTACATTAACGCACCTTTACACAACAGACCTGAAGGAAAAGCCCAATTCTTCTAAATCTTTACATTTTATGGTGAATACTTGTTTCCAGAGATGGAGCAAGTAAAAGCGAATCTGCTTAATCTTTTTATTATTTTGGGAAATTTTTATCAATCTGATATAGTCTGAAATAAGTGCAAAGTGACCCTTTTCTGTGGATTGAGACATCTAAACTGTCTGCATATAGTCTAATCTCATAACCTGTGACATTTAAAGATCTTTTTAGGTGGATACTTAAATGACAGATATAATTATACTGAATTCATATCAGCTCAGAGTGTTCTATTAAATAAGCTTAAGGAAAACCCCACAGCTTTGAAACTGATTTTTTTTTCAAAAACAAATATCAGTTTTGCCTTGATAAATGTCGATTTACATTTCTTTAAAGCTTTGACTTAAAGCTTGCTGCAAAGTTTCTCCCAGTATGTTCCATCTTTTTCCCTTGAACTTTCAAAACGCAACTGCTCCTAATACAATTGAGAAAAGATGCAAAAGATGCACACACAAAAAAAATAACCTTACCTAAAAAGCAACCAAAGGAAAAGAGGAGAGATCTCATTCTTTCGTCACAGGTAGGAACGCCCCAGAAAGATGTCGCTTCTAGTTAGTCGACCGGTTAAGTGCCATTAAATGGATCCTGAATAAGTCAGAAAAAGGCCCGGACGCAGCTGTGGGGTGAGCTGGGCATCTTCTCTGTGGCCACCATGTCCAAATGCGCGGCGTCCGGCCGCCTGTCTCTATTATTTCATTCTGCTGGGGAGAACCAGCCCATGACTGCGATAGGCTATAAAGTCTCTCAGTGTTCCTGTCGGGCTCCCCCAGCTGTCTCCGAGCGCCTCCAAACATCTCCAGCGCATTAAGCCGGGGGGCATCAAACTCAATAAGCGCTCTGTCTGCTGACTGAGTCACGGGTGTCCGAGGGCAACCGGAGGACTGTTTCCTACAGCAGGATGATGATGGCACACTCAAAACCCCACGCTGGAACACTGGAAAGCGATGCGTGTTTTCAGAAGACATTTCCAGAGGGACGGCGATGGTCCAGATCTTTAACGTCAATTTGGACACTTTACGTCTCCTTGGTGTAATGGTGAGTATCCCTGCGTGTCACACGGGAGACGCGGGTTCGATTCCCCACATGGGAGACACATAATTGTGAATTCTTCTTTGTAAGGCTTTGGATATAAGCGTTTAATGCATAAAAGCAAAAATAACAGTTTCCAAGTTACACGTCCAAATGAAGTGTCTTTGATGGGATTTTTTATATTTTTTTATTTTCCATGCACATAGAACACATCTGTAAGCACATCTGTGATTACATCTGTGCCTGCAGCGTCTCTCTCTACCAGTACCAAACGATTGAAAACAACATTTTCATTGGATCAAGTTTGATTAGTCTGTCCATAAGAAGGATCTTGAGCTCCAGTTGTCCTAAATTGCATCCTGGCTGTCACTCATTAGGGATGGCTTGATTTATTCGGCAGCCTTTTATATTTTCATTTTCTTTACACACCCCCCATGGCCCATCTAATTTAATTTAACGTAATGTATAAACTTGGATTAGTAAGGGCTCCTTTGAGGATTGATGTGTGTCCAACCCTTTTACCCAAAGTTTTTTTTTCCCCCCCCAACGGCTCAAATTATCCTGAATAAACTGACTGGGTCTTTTAGCTGTACGTCTATAACAGGCAAGATTTTAAAACACGCGATTGGTCGAGCATGAAAATGTAAAAACGTCTGAATAAAGTCTGCACCAAAACACAATTAGCTGTGCTAAAGTAATACACTTAGAGGAAAAAAGATGACCTACTCAGTGTTATCATCACATTAGGCCGAAACAAAGTTACCTCATTATAAGGGCCTGCTATTTAGATCAAAACAAACAGCAAGACATTGTGCTTATGAAACAAGTTATGTTTTATTGTTGGCTCGTTGAGAATCTCCTCACTGTTATTTTTTTGGTTTGAAAAAAAAAAAAAAAAAAAGAGACAAAAATCAACTTTTCAACTCAATTCCACACTTCACTCAAAACGTTCACACAGTTCCAGCTCCACCAGGCCGGCGTCCTCGTCCCAGTATACGAGCTAATGGGAACGAGGGGAGTAAGCAGGCCTGATAAACATCAAGCTGGATGTGCTTGTCAAATCTTGACAATGTCAGTCAGACTAACATGTTTAAATGTATTTTTAAAAAGACAGAATTCAGTTAAGAGTAACGCAAAAATTGAATCAATCCATCGTAAATGCATTGACTGTGTTAGCGGGGCTTTGGTCTTTTCGCCATTGGTTACTGAAAAGAGAAATCTTGTTCCTGAGAGCCTATCTGACATTCCCCATCCATATCTATGAAAATAAACAGAGCTTCATGTTGTAACTGCATACAGTACAAGGAAAACCCATGTTCTTGGTAAAAACTTTTATTATGAACACCCTATAGAATCAAACGCATGTATTGTCTCTACTGTACAGTTTTCAACAAAATGTGCCGTCGCTCGGCAAACCAACACCAAGTATTTACATTCTAGGTTTCAAAATGCAGCTCACTCTGTGTGTGTAAACTCCCTGAAGCTGGCCTTTAAAAGGTTTGTACAAGAGGGACATTCTGACTCCTGAGTCCTGCCCTTATTGCTTGTAGAGAATACACCATGCATGTGACTGTCCGTATGCGTTTGCATACAAAAAAAAACAAAAAAACGTTGGCAGCTTAATGGCGTCCTGCGGGTCCGTTAGTCTTTTTAGTTGCGCGGGAGGACCCCGGCGATGGTTTCTCTGGCGCTCTGAGTGAGCCGCTCCGGAAACTTCACGTCGTACTCCACTATCAGGTCGCCGCGGCGGTCCGGCCGTTTGGGATAGGGCAGACCCTCCCCGCTGACCCGCCGCTTCAGCCCCGGTTGCACCACGTCTGTGGTGGACACCGTCACCGTCCGGCCCTCCAGGGTGGGGGCGTTCACCGTGCAGCCACACAGAGCCTGGGGGGGCCAGAGCACAACACAGCTTAGAAAAAGTCACCACGACTTCTCGATTTTTCTGAATCTTTCAAAACTTTCACACAGAAATGCTGCCCGAAGCTACACGGAGTCCTGACTTACATCTCTGAGCGAGATCTTGGCGGTGTAAACGACGTCAGAACCATCCCGCTTGAACACCGGATGCGGCTTGTCTTTCAACACAAACACCACGTCGGCTGGAATGTTCCTCGGAGTCTCATCCCCCTCTTTGGGAAATGTGATTTTGGTGCCCTCTTTCCAGCCCTTCTTTATCTGAACCTCTAGAATTTTCTCCTCAGTCCGAATTGAGCGGCCGTCGGGGTTCAGCCTCTTACGGGAGATTTTCATTTTCTTGGTGCAACCTGACAGAACCTCCTCCAAAGACACCCGCAGATCGTGGACCACGGGCGGGTCCTGCTGCTTTTTCACCACACTGGTGTGGCCGCCCATTCCTCCCATTCCCGTGCTGAAGGAGCGCGGGAAGCCGCCCATTCCGCCGCCCCCCATCCCGCTGCCCCCCATCCCAAAGCGGGAGAACGGGTCGTCAGTGTCCATGTCCTCCTCCATACCGCCATTGCGGGCGCCGAAGAACTGTTCGAAGGGGTTGCGTCCACCGAAAAATTCTGCGAAGATGGCGTGAGGGTCGCCCTGGAAGGTGTAGCTGAAGGTGCCAGGTCCGCCGCCGCCGCCACCACCGGTAGGGCCTCCACCTTTCAGTCCTGGATTTGAAAAAATAAATAAATACATTTTTTTAAAGTCAGTAATATCATAACTCACTATAGAGGGTTAAATGCATTTTATTCTAATGCAGGAGAAACCTTGTAATACATGCTCAATGTTTTGCTCACCAATCTCTTATTTTCCACTTCTATGACATTTTTTAATTGAACTTTTGTCTCTTTAATCCAAGTTCATTTATCAAAACAATTCCAAATTCCTCAAGCAAAAATCAACATTTTAGGACATCTACGTCTATCATTTTTATTATCATTATTATTATTAGTTTTCAGTTTGCAAACAAACAAATAGTTAGATAAGAGGTTTCAATATGACCCAAGTAGTTATTCAACAGGGATTTTAACATGGAAAAAAAGTAGGAAAAAACCAAACAAAAAAACAGCCGAATCAACATATGACTGTCAGACGATGAAGCCTTCAGCTCACTGTGTTCTCACACCACCATGAAATATTCCGCAAATCCCTCCAACATCCTGCCTGTCTGCTCCAGAGCCCTGAGGTGAATTATCACTTGTCTGTCTCCTTATTTGGAAATGTTCAGGCCACAAACACGTTGTGTGTCTGCGTGTGCTCTTTCACCATCGTTTTTATAACTGTGCAAATCCACAAACCTCAGCTTTTACACTCAAGCTCTTTTTAACATTTCAATTATTTAGGTGTATCCAAATGAGTGGGGCTGTGAAATGTTGCCTTAACCATACTAACGTCGAGATGCTAATGAACAAAGAGTCCCATAGTTATGTTTTTTTTTTTTTCTAAACCTTATCAGACTATGTCATATCCATGTGAGAGAATGTAGGAACAAACCACTTGTACAGTATGGCCTGTGAATAAGGCCCCCCCCCAAAATAAAGTGACTTTCAATGGCAGCGTTAGACCACGTGGTTCGCTAATCCCGCCTTTTCCTTTTTAAATCCCCAAACCTCCACCCCCTCTGACCTCATGATCGAATATTTTCTGTCTCGGCCTGACTGACAGACTTATTAGAGGCACATTATTGTTTGAAATGCTCCGTTAAGCCTGGGCCTCGCCTCTTTGGGCCTGGAGCTAGTCAAGCCTTGGATAAAAGGACACAGGGAGCAGAAAGCGCCATGACACACACACACACAAACAACAGTCAACGTTTGTTTGGGACCCTTCACGTTTGCTAACTTTATATTTCAGTCAAACCTGGCAGAAACGTCATTCAAGTAATTACATTATGGTTTTAATATGTCCTGAGTAGAATAAAAAACTGTAAAAAGTGATTTCAATGCTTACCCTCTTCACCAAAACGATCGTAGATGTCTTTTTTCTTCGGGTCGCTCAAAACGTCATAAGCCTCGGCAATTTCTTTGAATTTCTCCTCGGCTCCCGGTGACTTGTTTTTATCGGGGTGGTAACGCAAAGCCTGCTTACGATAAGCCTTCTTTATGTCGTCCTCTGACGCTCCTTTCTTAATTCCCAAAATTTCGTAGTAGTCCTTGCCCATCTTGGCTGTGCCGCCGTTAGTGTAGCAGCAAAGTGGAAGGTTTTCCCGAAAGAAACCGTCTAAGTTTATCCGGCTGATGTTGTCTGGTCCTTCCTCTGTTTAAACGGTCCACGGGGCTCCAAGTATTTTCTTTATAAACAGTGTGGAAACTTCGAGACTTTTCCATAAGCAGCCCGAACAATCGCAGCTGACGCTGAGCGGAGCCACGCCCACGTGGGGGCGTGGCGCCATGCTGCTTTCATGTGCTGTCGGGGAAAATCTCTTTGCATACCCATCGTGCCTATTGTCCTTTGCAATATCTAAATGTGGTTAAATCCGCTCACAATTAGTCATAGCAACTGCTGCGATAAAGGCAAAGCACAATAATGTGATCTTGAATAAGCTTTGTCTAAAGTTGGATATAAAAGAGACAGACTAGCCTTCAAGGGCGTTGGATGGTTGTCAGGATCTTTTGTTATGTTTGGGTGTTACTGGGTTAGAGGCCTACTTTGCTGCTGAGTGACAGAGCAGTATACTGGGATATTTAGACCATGTTATAGTAGCACTTTGCACTACCAAAGATCCAACTGTCTTCTTAAATTACATTATTGATATCTGCTTAGAAGTTGGATGAAGAGAGACGTGAAACAGGATACTGTAGTTAGGCCATTTAAATCAAGCTAAGTCGGAAAAACTTCAATACACTTATCTCAGAATGTATGTGTAAAATTTCACCTGCAACTGTTTTAAGATTTACATAATTAAAAGCAGCTGAGAAGGTTCTTTCCTCAGGACAAAACTCTACGATGTGTGCCTTGGAGTCTTGGTGAAGACCTGGGACCAGATGTGCTCACTATAACTTTAAATTAATCGTTTTTTCCAGTGGAGTTTGAGGAGGTGGTAAAAAGTGAGGTATGCAGATCTCTGTGTAGACTTTTGCTTCTGTGACCCAAATCCAGACAAGCAGTTGAAATTTGATCAATGGAATATGTGCAGATGCTTACCAAAACTCAGACTACAAAGTATGGAGCAGTTCAGATCAGTCCAGAGTTCAAGATTTATTAATAATTTAATTAAATGTAAAAACAGGATCGAAATATACACAATACAGATAACATGTTTTAAAATAGAGTTTTGTCAAAATAGTTGCTCTTTTTCTGTACAAGAAAAAGAACAAGTTTGGGTTGTCATGTGAAAATATACATGACTGTTGTGTTAGTGTAACCTGTTTTACAAGAAAAATTCAGACATTCAGACTTGTTTTTGGTAAAAGGTACCCAATTCACATTTCTACATTTGAATTAGATTTTTTTTTTAATCTTACAATTGACCCTTTACCTTTTTGTCTTTATTTTCTTTAGATAAAAAGATTCATATGTTGCAACAGTGTCACATATTGTGTCACAAAAAAAAAGAAAACTCTATACATGAAGGAGAAAGATGATTGGCTGATTGCTGACTAAATGGGCGTGATTACCTCTCAGATGACGTCGCTGATTGGCTGGAGGCAAGCGCGTGGTCTTCCTTACCAGCCGCTGTGTGGAAGAAATCCTGTCACTCATTGGGGGTATTAAGGAAGAGGGGCTAACTGCCAAGATGAAGCACTACGAGGTAAGTTGTGCCCACACATTTTTAAATAATCAACTGGAAGCCGTATGGGAGTCAGATTTAAGGAATATATTCGGAAGTTGGTTCTCTGAGCGTTAAACCCGTTTGTAATGTATGTTATGTTGTCAGCGTAAGGAGGAGAGGCTGCATGCTAATCAAACACAGCCCATATTTCTATGAACTGGGTATTTGGGTCTTAGTGGTTCAATTCGAAACTAGTAATGAATAAAAAACGAACCGTTGCCTCGTAGATATGACTATTTGTACCTATGGTTTGCATTTTTGTCATTCCTTGTTTGAAATAACGCGTTCAGAGACTTCACTGCAGGATAACAATGCCAGCATCGCCATCTCTGGCCGAACTGACTCATGGCGCTTCTTATCTGGTTCTTACTCAAGATTGCAGGTGAACAGTCAAGGGTGCATTCTCAGCCCATTTTTTCTCTCTCCCAGTGGCTGTTATATATTTCTTGATATATCTGTATATCACATACAAATACTAGGTCTGAGTTTGTACAATAACCAGACCAAAAAGCGGTTTTAAATTCAATGTTAGCTAAATGAACGATGGTACCCCAGAGACACTCACTTTTCACTCTTCTATTATATATATATTTGTCTTTTCAGTCATTTAGCTTCAGCATGATTTAAAAAGATAAAATAAAAAAAAGAAGAAGGTTTTAAGTGGCAGCTGGATCACAGTGATCCACAGTTTCAGAAGCATCTTAAACCCATCAGACAGGATTTGAAGCAGCCTGAAAGAAAATGACGCAACTAGTGGCCCTTCTGGTCCCCCTTCTTTCTGTTGACAGGATTGGCCTTTGACACCTGTGGGAGCCAGAGCAGAAATAAGTCAAAAGAAAACGAAGTGTTGATGTAGATTTATCATATTCAGGAATTTTGTTGATCTTGTTGTAATCAAAGACTTGCATGCGACCTTAAAGTTTGACTTTAACCTCGGAGTATGTTTCTGTCAGAAAATGTCGAAATGCAAAAAGCAGCCCAGCATATCGAATAACGAATAAAACACTTGGCTAACACGGCGATCAAACAGAAATGTTTGTTCAGCCAAAGTTTCTTCAGCTCCGTTGCAACAAATAACATCACAGGTCATCTTTTCTGTCCACAGCCACAGAGGTTTTTTCTTTTCCTTTTTTTTGTACTTTCCCACTTAAAATGCATAAATAAAATGTGTTTAGTTCGATTTAATGTCAGATATCACTCGGTACAAGTCCAGAGGGCACAGTCTCTGCATCACCTCCGTTGATTCCACTTGACCTTCCAGATAGTGAGAGGCCCAGAGTTATCTGCCCTACAGAAGGCAATTTTCTTTGCTTTTACTCTTGTTATGTTCAGCATAATGCTTAGTATATATAAACTGTTCAGACACAGTTCAAGCTACATTTGTGTTCTTAAACTTTTATAAACGTACTCATGTCTTGACATGACTTGCAAAGAACAGTTTCCTCAGATATTACCTCTCCAAAGAGCAGCCTTTCTGTTTAGCTATTTAAAAAAAAAAGACATTTTAATAGCAAAAAGGAGGGGGGAAAAACCCCCACCTGGTCGAGCATCTTAAAAATGATTCTGTAGTTAAAGCTAACGACAGTAAGCCACATATTCGGGCATGAATATAACAAAAACATTTTTAAAAGGGCAAAACCTTTCCTAAAGAGGTAAAATGTTAATCAATCTAAAAAACTGTGGATAAATGGGTTTAACACAACACAGGATATTAACACACAAACATTGGCTCATGTCGAGCCATTAGATTACGATTATTTATTTAATGAAGACACAACAAAAATACTCGAAGGAAACTTTCTGAGCATGTCGAGCGAGCTCAGTCATCTCTGGCCAAAACTGCCGTGCGCAGCAGTGAGAAGGACACGTGAATGCAATCATTCATTGTGTCTCAGTGGGAATAGAAAAGGCTCAGGAGGAGAAAAGAATAGAAGGAAAGCTCAGGAGAATGTCAGACAAGTCTGAATTTAGGTTTTCCATGCATACTCAGCACCAGGGCACCAGTGATACACGGGGTTTTCTGGCTCTGAACAGTTGGTTTGAGCCACACAATGAATAGAAATTACTTCTATTTACCAGATCAATATTATTTTTAAAAGTGTAGATTAATAAAAAATGACATTTTTTGCTCTGAGATCTGACTGAGTACAGTTTTACGATAAAACAATTAATATCCTTACTTTGCACAGAACTTATAAAGTGCAGGATTTGTTAAATGAGTCGTTCATCTGCAGTGAATTCTTTCAGTTCATCTGTCAAATCAGGCCAGCCTTTAATTAGCAGCTCCATTGTTATTTTTTATTGTCAGTATTTGGAAAGGCAGAATGGAGCCAGAGCCAGTGGAACTAAAAGCGTTATTATAGAGAGACAGAGTTCACTTTATTCTGAATTTACCTCAAACTTTGGCCGACTTTGGTGCACATGGTTTGGTTCCAGCCATTAATTTCTTCCGTCTTTGTAATTGGAGCAGGCGGCTCCGGCCTCACCACGCTGTGGCGGACTCAGAGCTGCAGCGTCCCAGACTCGGGACTCCTCCGTTCTATTTCAAGGGTTATCCGTCCAAACGCAAAAAAAGGACAAATGGACTCTTACCGTGGAGGCAGGCGTTCAGGCCAGGCCAGCGGAGTGACCGTCCCCGGGGCCGTTCAGACGCTCTCGCCATGGCGACGGCAGGCCGGTTCTCGGTGCTGCGCCCTGGGCTCCGGCAGCTTTAGCGGCGAGGGCGCACGCAGCAAGAGGCTTTATATAGACCAGGAGGGAGGGGGAGGCTCAGTCCAGTCGGGGCTGCTTGGCACCCCCACTGGAATGGAGGTTTTTTTTTTCTTCCCAGAAGTCTCTACCGGTGGGTCGTGTGTCCCGAGTATTTTATAATGTGTCTTCAAAACTTAGAATATTGTTAAAATATCTCTGTGAACAGAGCGGAAAAGGTCAAGGAAGATCTACGAAGCCTTGGTGAATCCTTATTATAAGGATGTATTAGTTTGTTTTGTGGCCTCGGATATGGGAAATCTGTCTTTTCCAGATAACTTCCAAATAAAAAGATGACTCCTTTTTTAATGGATGAGTGGAGCAGATATCCTTAACTTCCCTGTTGCCTCTTTGTGACTGTATCTTTCATTCAGACTGGAAACCGTATCCAAGTCTTGGACCGCAGTGAGGGGGGGGGGCTTCCCAGATGGGATTGCCCCCCAACCTAAGCCCACAGAATCTGAAGTATTATCACACTGGGGTGGCAGGAAAAGGCAGCTCTGCATGCCTGCGAGCGAGGGATCAGATTCCTGTTCACCTCAGTTTTATGGTACAACAAGCTGTAAAAACCTCCAGGGCTGCCGGAATGAGACCCTAAACCGGCGCCTTCAGGTGTCCGCGGTCCAGCGACGGACATATGGCCGGCAGTTAGTGGCCGACTGAATGCATGACATCACCACATAGGTCTGCCGGGAGGCGGGCGGCCATGCGGGCTTAGCATGAGATGTTTATAATTAGCCGTGGAGAAGACCAATGGGTCAAACGAGTAATAGGGGGTGCTGTTTGTCCCGATCCTCCCACTTAGCTGGAGTTTGAACGGAATCGAGGGGGGGGGGGGGGGGTCATGGGGTGTCCCTTTTTAGGGCCGAGTTGTATTTCAAAACCCCCCGCGCCTGCATTTCTGAAAACAGGCCGCTCCTCAACGCTTTGTGGGTCACTTTTGAGAAATATGCCCTCGGATGAAAGTTTGGCATCGGGGATGCTGGGCATTCCAGCGCATGCAACTGTCCACACACACACACACACACACACACACACGAGCCATATGTCGGCACCGCGAGGGTCGGCTAGCAGTTAAATAAAGCGGCGCACCATAAGCGAAGGAATGAGAGATGGGCAGAGAGGGAGGAAGAGAGGGAGGGGCGGCGGAGGAGCGGAGGAGAGACAGATTTATTTCCACAGCTGAGTGCAGCCCCTCTCCTCTCTGGCCTCGCTTGGACCCGAGATCAGACCCCCCCTAACCCCCCCTCACCCACGAAATAGTCACAGGAGAGCAGTGGGGGAGAAGGGAATAAACCGAGAGCAGGAGGAGACGCGGGGGGACATGGATGCCTTAGCTCTAGAGGCCACCAGCGGGAAAAAGCCCAACAACGCGGCGGCTCCGGGGGCGCCGGGGGCCCCCGCCCCGGCCAAACGCAAGCCCGCCAAAAAAACTAAAAAGGCTGTCGTTTTCTTTGAGGTGGAGATACTGGATGCCAAGACCAAGGACAAGCTCTGCTTCCTGGACAAGGTAAGCGCTCACTTCTCCTCTTCATGTGTGAACTGTGTCCTATTGATGCCATTTAAATGCTGCTTTAGGGCAGCTGAGCCCCAACAGTAACCATCTTTGGACATTTGATCATCACGGTGCCTTTGCTTTGTGCTCGTGTGTGTACCAGAGACTCGTCCAGAGCGTTGGAGGGCTGCTGTAACCCTCACTGTCACACTGGGAGTGTAAAGGGGGGGGGGGGGGGGGGCACACACTGGAGTGCCTTTCACACATGTGACGCAGTGCTGCTGGCTGTAGTTATCAGGGCAGAGTTTTAGTATACGGCACTCAGAGGGATGAGCCAAATGTAGAAACAACTTCGCTTAACAGTACAGAAGTTTTTCTGGGGGGGGTTACATATTCAGTGGATAATTAACATGTCAATATTCCCACTTAAGTGAGTGGGAGCACTGTTAGGCAGCTGGATGGACGCCTGGTGCAGATGTTTGGCTGTTATGTCGCTGATGGTGGAAGGGAAAAAAGTAGAAAGGATATATTTATGAGGAAATATGAGCAGACACATCAGTCGATTTGTAATGACGGGTGCGTTATTTATTTGAATTTTTGTATTTTTCTTTGGGCGTTTTTTGTGCCATCCCTTAATTTTTTCTGAGTTGTTTACATCGGCTGGTCATCACCTTTGTTTTCAAAGCAGAGCACAAACCTTTGATGTCGCCTCGTCGAAAGATTTATGTGTGGAAAGAACATTTTTAAGACCTGAATGAAAAGTTTTGCTTGGGTCTTTGAAGATTCCCTTCAGCCTCATGTCTGGTAGAAAAATCTTCTACCAGAGTTCAGGTCTAAAAAGCCGCCTTTGCACAAATCTGTGTAATATGAGTCTTATTCGCTAAAGTGGAAGACAAGTAGCTCAGTTTGGATTTGTCCTGAAGCGGATCTTCAACAGATCTAACTACTTGCATGTTGCGGCATGAGTTGAACCATGACGCAACCAGTCGGAGGGCTGGGCCTCCACTAGTCCACCAGGAACGGATCCTGTGAACACTCACCGATCACTCACCTGCTCCGAGAGTTTTTCAGGGTTTTGGGATTCGCATGTGGGGTTGGTTTCCAGTCCTACCGAGTCATCAGGGTGTGGTCTGCTCACAGAGAGAGTTTTTGTTACTGTATCCAGGCGTATGTCAGCCTGTTTTTGTGGGAGAACAACTCGTCATAGATCCCCTCATTTTATTCCAGCAAATTGTTTCACAGGTTGAAGGACTCTGTAATTTAGACACGGGGTTTTAATTAATTTGCTTCATACTTATGCTATGTTTTAAAAAAAATTAAATTAAAATCCGGTGTGTTATTGACGTGTGTGTTAGTAAAGTCTTCAGTGATTCTTTTGGATAAGATTAAGATGAAACCGGGTGGTTTGTCGGCCTTATTTCCAGTGATCGCTGCGTGGCTTGGCTTGGCTTGGCTTGGCTTGGCTTGGCTTGGCTCTGGTCGTCCCTCTGTCAGATGTAGCATTAGCGGGGGTTAGTGTGTTGTCGGTGGGAGGCCCGCTGGTGTATAGAGTTGCATTAGCCGCTGTCACCCAGGACAAACGCGGCTTATTAGGGGCTCCCGCTCCGGCCCACAGAGTGCGAGGTGCTATCCCAACTGGATTAGGCCGTGTTGTCGGCTTAGGGGTGTTTCCATGGTGACGACGTCCGCCGAGTTTGTCACCCCAAGAAGAGGCGGCCTCACTGTTCTGATGGGCTGCAGATTCGGTTCTGGACAGAGGGCCCTCGGGGAGCGTCTATTCCTAAATCAGGCTGACGGAGCCGAGCTGGGAGCTTCCAAATCTAAGTCAAGTCCTGTGGCGGTGCACGTGCGGCGTCCACGGGGTGACCTCGATTCATCAGCCCTCAGCTGCGGGGTCACAGAGCGAGCGTCTTTAAAGTCACACCTCAGAAAACCAGCCAGTAAAATGAACGCCCATCAGTCTCTTATTCTATATGATCCTGGGCAGAAAACCTAGAGCTACTCCTTTTTTCTTCATTACGGGGTTTATAATGAGAACGTACTTCATGATTCTCCCTGGGCTTCACAGGCGTTTGAGTCTAATGCCTTTTTATAGGAGTTTTCTGGGACGAGGACTTTTTTTTCCCATGGGCAGCCTCCACGTGTGACAGGATGCGCGGGCCGGCGCTGTTCGTGTCGGCGCCCCTTTCATGGGCCCTCCGGTGGACGCCGGCCTTAATCCACAGCAGGGGTGTTTTATGGAGGAGGGCATGAGTGGAGTGAGCCTAATCCAAACGTAGATGAATTGTTTGTTTAGTGGTCAAACAACTGGGGTCATAATGCAAACTTAATTTTTGTGTTATTTATCCGTTTTATTGCCTCCGCGTGCTCCTCGTGGTCCTGTTTTGTTTTCACTGGGGTTTGATAGGATGTGCAGTCGAGGCTATTACTGGCAGCCCCCCCTGGGGTTTGTATTTTATTAGCTGTTAAATAGCTGACATCTGTGGGGTGTGCGGGAACAGCGCGGCTAAATTTACCACCAATCGTCTTTGTGAATGGAAAACAGGATTATCGTGTCTCTTCCTTTTTGTGTGTGTGTCGTGTGTGTGTGTGTCTGGGACGTCTCTCCGCTCACGTACTGTGGTGTTATTTGTAGGTCGAGCCGAATGCCACAATCGGGGAGATCAAGTCTATGTTCCACAAGAGCCGTGAGTCCCGTCTCCGTAGCTTCCACGAATCTGACCCCAGATGAAGGAAACCCGCTCAGGGCTCGACTTACAGCGTGTATCTGTCTGTTTCAGACCCCCAGTGGTACCCAGCCCGACAGTCCATCCGCCTGGACCCCAGTACGTCAGCGCCCGTCCCTCTTCTCTAGTCTTTCTTCTTTTTTTTTAACATAGTCCACTCGCTGTTTCAAGTAGACGTAAGGATCAGAGGTGTTTGTGTTTCAGAGGGGAAGTCGCTGAAAGACGAGGATGTCCTGCAGCACCTTCCCGTCGGAACCACCGCCACCTTCTACTTCAGAGACCTGGGAGCTCAGATCAGCTGGGTCACGGTGGGTACCCCCCCCCACAGTAGGTCCGGACATGCTCTGTCTCTGGACGGAGACCGGGCCCACGGATTCCGACAGATCAGGGAAAAAAAGCCACCTTTGCCACCTCGCAGATCTTCCTGTAACTCTGTCCGTTCTCTTTTCAGGTGTTTCTGACAGAGTACACCGGCCCTCTGGTCATCTATCTGATGTTCTACTTCAGGGTTCCCTTCATCTACGCGTCCAAATACGACTTCACCACCAGTAAACACTGGGTCGTGCAGTAAGCTTCTCCAACACACCTCTGCGAAAGCCTTCAGCCTCCACCTCAGCCTGGTGGAGTTACACTATGCAAAGCTTTTCTAAATGCACGGAGAATATAAAAAGAAAATCAAATAAAAATCCCACTGCGCTTCAAAGGCAGCAGCTGGTTTTCGGGTTTCAACCAAAGCTGCAGGTGCAGCAAGTCTCCAGCAGATGGCAGCCCAGTGCCATCTGTCGCTGGCAGTTCATTCACCAACCGAGTACCTGAGTAATAGTTAGTTTAACCAACTGAAAGGGCTTTGAAATGCACTCACGGGATGAGCTTCGGTTAATGCGCTGGTGTGAAAAGATAGGAGCTCATTCAGTGGTGATGTCTGTTATGACCAGGCTTCAGAGGCTAATAGTCCTCTGTGTAATCCCAACTCCAACAAATGGAGCTTTTTTTCCATGTCCGGTAATTAAAGCTGAAAGGTTCTGTTCACCAGTGACTTTTAGGGGGATTACGGTCCCGTCTGTCTCATCGATGACAGCAGAACAACCATCACCGGTTCGGTAGCGTTACTGTAACACGCTGATGGATCACATGCTAATCTGCTTCTTTTTCGTCTGGAAAAACCTTTGCATTACTTTTCAAACTCTTGTTGTTTTTTTTTCCAGCCTGGCCTGCATGTGTCACTCCTTCCACTATGTGAAGAGACTTCTGGAGACGCTGTTCGTCCACCGCTTCTCTCATGGGACGATGCCGTTACGGAACATCTTCAAGGTCTTTATCTCAAACTCTGTCGTTGATCATTCTTTTAATCGCTTGATGATCAAGAAAAAAAAAAAGGCATCTTCTGCCTCACGGAGCCTGTCTGTTGCTGGGTTTGCCCCAAACTGTGCACTTTTATCGTAAAACCCCAATAAAGAAAGCTACAAATCAAACAAACGGTGCCTGTCCCTGTTTCAGAACTGTACGTACTACTGGGGCTTTGCAGCATGGATGGCTTATTACATCAACCACCCACTCTACACCCCCCCTGGTGAGTTTGCAGCCGCCCGCACATCTGTCCAGTCAACCTGCCCCTGTGTAGAAAAGTCCTTCCGTCCCCTCGTTGCTGATCATGTGAAATTCCTCCTTTGCAGTTTACGGGGAGCAGCAGATCAGACTAGCCCTCATCATATTCCTGGTAAGGTTATTTCCACTCTCTCTGGTAGTTTCTGATTTGTTGGGTTTTTTTTTAAATGTCATCGGATACTGAGATGTCACGATCTGTGTTGTCTTTCGAAGTTCTGTCAGATTGGCAACTTCTCCATCCACATCGCTCTCCGGAACCTCCGTCCACCAGGTAAACGTCCATCCCTGCACGTGTCTGACCGTTCGCTTTAGGCTTCAGGCTCTCCTGTGCGTCATAAATACTCTCAGCCAGTTCTAAACCAGTAAAGTCGGGATAATATCTCAAACCCAAAGCAGTTACTCCGCCGAGACCTTCCAGCTCTCTCATTTTCTCGGTCCTGCTGTCTCCATCCAGGCTCTAAGACCAGGAAGATTCCCTACCCAACCAAAAACCCCTTCACCTGGATCTTCCTGCTGGTCTCCTGCCCCAACTACACCTACGAGGTAACGCCTCTCTCCGTGTGACCATAAAAAAAAAAGCTGTCAGAAGTCACCGCATGCGTCCTCAAACACTTTTTTTCCCTTTGACTGGTGCTCTTTGTGTATATGTCTATGTGTGTTACCTCCAATATTTGAGGCTGCAAATGCTGTTTGGGATGATCTGAGATGTCACAGTTGACAGCTAATAGTTTGAAAGTGGCTCTTCTTCTTCTTCCTCTTCCTGCCCCTGCAGCTGGGCTCTTGGCTGGGCTTCACCCTGATGACCCAGTGTCTACCGGTGGCCTTCTTCACCATGGTGGGCTTCATCCAGATGACGGTCTGGGCCAAAGGGAAGCACCGCAGCTACCTGAAGGAGTTCCGCGACTACCCCCCCCTCCGCTCGCCCATCCTGCCTTTCGTCCTGTAGAGGACTCGCCGCCGGCTCCCCGCAGTAGTTGCCCCCCCCCCCCTCAAATCCACACTGGAATTCATTAGCCCCCCCCTCTCCTCTAACCCACGTTTCCCCTCCCCGCCGCGCCGAGTGAAGATGTGTAGCACTAGGCTTGAGCTAATTCTTTTTGTATTGCAGAACTTATTTTGACAGATAAACGGGCTCGCGTGCGTTAAACCTCTGAGCTCCGCTCCCCCGAAACCACCTGCTACATTCTGAGCATCGTACAGTGTTTATTGTCTCCTCTCTACACCATCTGATGCCGTTCTGGGGACTGATTCAGCTCACGGTCCGTGACGAGCCGTTCAGTTTTAATACCTGTAATTTCCGAAATCTGGATCACGTTGATGTCTGAGGTAATTTATTAAAAAAGAAAAAGTAACGGACGCCGAGTTGCTGTGGTTTTGTCTCGTCTTGGACTCGGCGCTCTCTATGGAAAACTGATTCCTTCATCTGTGGGACCTGACCTGAACCAGGTTCAGGGGGCTGGTTTAGGATTTAAATCCTAGAAGTAGGATATCTGGGACAACAAGCTTGTAGAGCTTAAACGATATTGTTTAATGTGAACAACAGCAGGTATGTACAAAGAACCAGAATCACTGATCATGCAGCTTCCGCCTGAGCTTCGATCCTCTTCTTCCTCAGCTGGAGCCTCCTCTCCCTCTCATACTCCTTCATACGCATCACGTAGCTGAGGGCGACAAAACATAGTAACAGAAGCATTTGAGCAATTTTGACAAAGGCAAAACCGTTAAGTCTGAAGGGAAAGGTTTTAAATTACAATCTGAGTTTCAGATCCAATTTTTCATAAAAAGGTAAAGGATTATTGTGTTTGGATCATCAAAAAGTTAAATCTAACTTTAAAATCTCACAAAGTCTGGAGAAGAATCTCGACTAAACAAGCCTTCCATTCTGTTAAACCAGAGAAGTCTTTGAGACTTGATCATGTGAATAAAAATAAAAACCATCTAAGACTTACTCCTGGTGCTCGCAGTAGTCCCAGTCGTGTCTCTCGTGCTTGCAGGCCAGGAAGTTGGGCCAGTTGTCCCTCTTACACTTCATGAGTTTCAGAAGGTGATGGGCGCAGTAGTCCCTCTGCTCCACAGGCAGCTGGGCCAGGTTCATCTGCTCCTGAGTCGCCAACATCTCTGGAAAGAACATTTCAAACATCCAGTCAGGCCTCATTTATCAATGTCAAGAGCCCTAAAGAAAAAAAAACAGTTAAATCTTTATACCAAACTAAAGATGATCACAAATGTTTGATTAGATTTTATTAAACTTTGGGGTAAAATAACCACAGACTAAATGACTTTTTACTGCAAAATAATGAAGCTTTTCACATAATTTCTTAGAATAAAAAACACGAGTCAGAAAAATATCAGATTCAGCAAATGTAAAAAAAGAACAGCCTTAGATAAACATTTAAGACACATAATGCAATGCAGTTTCGTCAACTGGTTATCTTAAAAAACAGTTTTTATTCATTATTTATATACTAATATCGAACGATTTTAAAGGGTCTTAATGAACAGATTTGCAATAGATTAAATAGATCAAACATGAACCCCTGATCCTTCAGTGAGAAACAAACCACCAAAAAAACCTCCTTTACAACAGTCAAATGTCCCACATTTGATTGGAACAGGTTTTAAATACAAATACCGTCAGTATGTGTTGTTTTTCCATCCTTTTGTCTAATTTGATGGCGTCTTTTATTTGTCCCCGTTTTGGATGTTAGCCTTATGGTTTGAGGTCTCTGGTTAAACCCGAATTTCTGAGGACGGGTTTCAATTTGTGTGTAATTCTTTGAGCTTATTTCCTTTAAACCCGTGTCGTGACATTTCAGTTAGTGAATTTCTGAGTTTGGCCCAAAGATTTTTGGGTCCTGTACCGGAGACTTCTTAGGAACAAAACCTACTCAACCGGTGGTACATAAACAGGACTCTAAGCACACATTTAAAGCACAGACACACGTTAACCCGAGCTGGCTTCTACACACCGACCTCTCTCCTTTCTCTCTTCAAAACCAATCTGGGGGTCGAACTCGAATTTCTTCGCTGGGTCCGGTTCGGTGTCCGTTTCGGTGACATACCGTCTGGCGAGGTGAGCTCCCATGGCACCAACGGTGTATGCACACTATAATCTAAATTTGATATTATATGCGATCTTGTTATGGTACTGCTGATCAAAAGTTTACAGAATATGTTTATCTGTTTGCCATTCGGTCACCTCCACAATCTCCCCCCGTCTACTTCCGCGTTTCACCGGAAATGAACCGGGGAAGGAGCTCCGGCTGCTCTCCTCTGTCCTCTGTTTGACTCACTATCGCCCCCTACTGGAGCGGAGTGGCCCCAGTTTTATTTTGTGAATGGACGCGAGGTAAAAGATGCAGGAAGATTTATGGGATTCTTCTGTCTGCAGAGAGCTTCAGGTGAACATGAACAGGGCTATTTCTTTTTTTTAAATAATACTAAAACATGATTTTACGACGTACACAGCATGTAGGTCAGACGTGGATGCTGTGAATACTTGTTTCTCCTCATTATCACAGATGGGGAGTATGATTCTGGAATTGACACTGGGTCATCTGACAGAAGTTGTGCCCTGTCCACAGCACGGACCATGCTTTTTGTTTTTTATCAAATTATTCCAACTACTGCAGAAGGTTAAAAGCCAGATTTGTTGATTATTTATGATCATTTAACAAAAAAATGATCCGAGCATCAGCTGAGCATCAGCTGTTTCTGCCCACTCTCAAAAAGAAAATGTTGGGAGTCTTCAACAAATTCTGCCAATGCAGGTTCAGAATAGTTCTTTTGTATAGGCTTTGTTTTATATTCTAAGGTTCCAAGTAAAATAAAAAAACAATGATAACAAATGTACAGTTCTGGCATTGGTTTGTATAGCATGATGAATGAAGCGTTAAGAGAATTTAGTTTGCTATGATATGCTGGGCCATTGCACCACTGAGGACTGTCATGTCCAGAACAGCTGGTTTACAGGTGTTATTTTGTGGGAGCACATAAAATGCTTTGCTTGGCGCCTTTTGTGGAACAAACTGCTCTGAGTTACAGTCAGCTCAATCAGGGACACATTTAGTCCAAAAACTGGATTATTCAAACCACAGAAACCAATTCAGACGGGCATTTCCAATAAGGCTTTTTATTTCATTTATGTTATCACAGCACTGTCTGTCACTGATAGAGGTCGTCATCACCCTCTTCTCGGTTCAGGCCTGGCCTGCCTGAGCCAGAGCCTGACCCTTGATTTCCAGACCGGGTCCCGGTAGCAGAGGGAAAGCTGATGGGGAGGAAGTGATGGTGTTAGCGATAAGTTCGCTGATCATTTCTGAGGAGCTTAAACTTGTGTAATGCGCGCTTTTACCGGAAGTTTCCGAAACCCCGGCTCTGCTGCAGAGTCTGAGCGAACATTTCGTATTTGCGGATGTCGTTGTCGCTGACGGAGCGCCGAGCAAACCGCATCGCCTCCTCAAAGTGGTCCTTCCTGATCTCTGGGACTGGATCAAAGTCCTCATCCTGCAGATAGAAAAAGATACAAAGAGTATATGTAGAATATATATATATATATATATGTGTTTGTGAGTTCCCAGTCCAAAGGCTTAAAGTTAAAAACAAACACAGCCGCCCTTTAGGGAACTTTGAATCTGTCACAATCACAGCCTGGCACCACTCTGAGACGTGAATTTCCCCCTGGTTTACGAATGTGATCCTAAGAGCTTGAGTTAAGGGAACTGGGCTGGTGAGATGTTTAATCTCTGATGTCCAGTTGCTCAGGCTCTTCAGGATTTTCCCGTTAGATGCTATAGTACATAATACGTTGCCGTCGCGGACAAAATGAGGAGCAGCAGTGGCCGCTGACCATGGGGACGCCTGGTCTGCTCTGTCTCTGACGCTCTGCCTTGATCTCCGCCTCGATGGCCTCCCGGATGGCCAGTTTACAAGCCCGCTGGCAGATCTCAGTCAGGTCGGCCCCAGAAAACCCATCTGTGATGCCAGACAGGAATTCCAGGTCCACATCCTGCAGAAAAAAGGAGGAAAAACAAGAATCAGGAAGCTTAGGTTAACTTTGTACTTCTTTATTATTCTTTTTGTGTGTGTGTGTGTAAAAAACTGGTGGGATTATGACACTTTATGACACTTTACTATGACTTAATGCTTTTCCTCCTCTAACTGCAGCCACTTTTCCCAGTTCTTTTCTCCAATACTTAAAAATCATGAACGTGTGTTTTGTGGAACGTCTCACTGACTCTGGCAATGGGAGACTTGCGTAGGTTTGCTTTCAGGATTGCCGTGCGGGAGGCCTTGTCCGGCAGCGGGATGTAGATGAGCTGGTCCAGACGGCCCGGGCGCAAGATGGCTGCGTCTATGATGTCCGGCCTGGTGAGAGGAGAGGAGAGGAGAGAGACGAACGGAAATCAGGGACGCTTTTTTTTCCCCCTCTGTCGTGCACACGTGCGGGAACGGTGGGCGGCACCTGTTTGTTGCGCCGATGATGAACACGTTCTTCTTGTCCGACATGCCGTCCATCTCGGTGAGGATCTGGTTGATGACCCTGTCGGCGGCGCCGCCGGCGTCGCTGGCCCCGCCGCCCCGGGATTTGGCGATGGAGTCCAGCTCGTCAAAGAACAGGATGCAGGGGGCGGCCTGTCTGGCCTGTGAGCGGGGGAGGGAAAGAACCATAGGGGAGGATTTTAGCTGCGATCCCCGTGACGCCGGGAGAACGCCAAAGCTGGCCGCACCTTGTCGAAGACGTCTCTGACGTTGGCCTCCGACTCCCCGAACCACATGGTGAGCATCTCGGGCCCTTTGATGGAGACGAAGTTGGCCTGGCACTCGTTGGCGATGGCCTTGGCCAGGAGGGTTTTCCCGCAGCCCGGGGGGCCGTAGAACAGCACGCCGCGGGACGGGGTCATGCCGAACTTCAGGAACTTGTCGGGATACTCTACGGGATACTGAGGAGAAGAGGGGCCGTGTCACGTTACGTTTTTTTTCCGCTTCCGTGCAGCCGGACGAGACCAGAGCGTGCGTGCACCTGAACCAGCTCCTGGAGCTCCCTCTTGACCTCGGTCAGCCCTCCGATGTCCTCCCAGTTGACCTGAGGCACCTCCACAACCGTCTCCCTCAAAGCCGAGGGGTTGCTCTGACTCAGCGACCACTGAGGGACGTTGGCGGCGTTACAACAAAAGAGACACAGCGACATCAGAGAGGAATGTCCGTTTCTGCCTCAGGTGAATTGCGGAGAATCGTTTGGCGTGCACGTGCGCGTGTGTGTGGAGCACCTGGAAGTCGTCCATGGTGACGGCGAGGGAGTTGAGGAGGTCGGCGTCGATGGTTTCGTCCTCCAGGTCTATGAGCGTCATCTTCTTGCGGATGGCTTGCAGGGCGGCCTCCGAGCACAGGGCGGCCAGGTCGGCGCCCACGTGGCCGTGCGTCTCCATGGCGATCTGACACAGGCATGAATTTAGAGTGTGCTCAGAAATGAAGTAAAGAAAGGTAAATGGTAAAGAAATAATAGTCATTGGTTTAATCTGTTTCCAGAACATTTTCCCACAAATTATTATTATGATCTGTTTTTTTTCCAAACATTTTTTGTTGTATTTTGCCATAACCCACACTTAGATACACAAACTTGACTTATTAAGTTTCTTCTTAGTGGTAAGTCTGGGGGCACAGACTGTGAACTTGTGGCTCAAGTACCAATCTGAACTTTTACATACATATTTTTTTTGTTGATGAAATCTTGTCTTGATATCTATGTGGTCAGAAGACGATTGGTTTAAAGTCACTCAAGCCAAAGAGTTTTTCCAGTTGACATAAAACTGAATTTGGTTAATTAGAGTAACTTTATTTTATTACGTTAATGGCTCAAAATTCCACATTTTCATTCTCTACATTGATAGTTCATCTGTTTTCCCTCCCCCAGCTCACCTTTTCCAGGTTGACGTCATCGGCCAGTTTCATGTTTTTGGTGTGGATCTGCAGGATCTCCAGCCTCCCAGTTGAATCTGGGATTCCAATGTCGATCTCGCGGTCGAACCTGCCTGGAGAGGCCACACTGTGTATCTTTTAGCATCTCTTTGTGAGCGTGTGCACGAGGGCCTGTGTGTGTGTGTGTGAGTGTGTGTGTGTGGGGTGTGGCCGCCCTGACCGAAGCGCCTCAGAGCGGGGTCCACGCTGTTGGGCCGGTTCGTCGCCGCCATGACGACCACGTGAGCCCTCTGCTTCAGGCCGTCCATCAGGGTGAGGAGCTGCGACACTATGCGCCGCTCCACCTCCCCGTGAGTCTGCGGAGACACGCAAGAACCGTCACGGGTCAGGAAAAGGAGACCGGGTCGCCGGCCGGTTTC